GTTTCCTGGCGGTCCTTCCGTTTCTTTTTGCGTCTTCGTCGTGTTAGCGCCTTGTCTGTTCGGGTGGTCTTGTCCTTCCTCTCGTGGTTGTTTCAGGACCGTCATCTTATGCCTAACTGTCGCTTCGTATCGTGCGGCGCTGGCGGAGCCGCTTCAGCTTGCTTTCGGTATCGATGTTACGTCTGCGCCGTTTCGCAAGCTGTCTCGTGCATTGTTTCACCTCCGGCCTGCTCATGCGTCGCCTGAGCCGTCCTGGTCTTTGGACAGAGTGCTCGCTTTCCTTTCATCTCCTCGTTTCGTTGTGGCCCCTTCGGTCCAGGATTGTTTTTCCAAGGCACTTTTCTTGTTGGCTTTGGCCTCTGGGGGTCGGGTAGGGGAGCTTCATGCTCTCCTCCGGCGCAGGGGTTTCTGCTCTTTTGGTCGTGGTGATAGTTTTGTTCGTTTGCAGCCGTCTCCTTCTTTTCTGGCGAAGAATGAGACTGCTGCGTTCCGGAGGGGTCCATGGGTGGTTGATGCTTGGTTGGTCAGGCCGGGGGTGCATCATGTTTTGTGTCCGGTTGCGGCGCTTCGCCGTTATTTGCGCGCCACAGCTTCTGTGTCCGGGGACGCGCTGTGGGTTGATCCGGTTTCCCTTCTTCCCTGTTCGCGGGTTCGGGTCTCTCAGGTCGTCCGCAGGGTTATTAGGTCCAGCCAGCCTGCGGTCTATCCCCGTGCCCATGACGTTCGTAAGTTCGCGGCTCTTGCTGCCGTCTTTGGGAATATGTCTTGGTCTGATATTCGGGCGCGGGGATTTTGGCGGTCGAACAGGGTCCTGGCTGCTCGTTACCTTGTGAATGTCCCTGGGCCTCGTCGGGCCTGTGTTGCTTTGGGTCGGCGGTTGCAGCCAGTTGTCTCGGCTTCGAGTTGAGGGGTGAGCGACGACCGCCTCCCGGGTAAGTCCCTCTTTTTCTGTCTGTGGGTAGTTAGCTCCGGGGAGCCGACGGGGCTCCCCCCAGAAAACCAGCGTTGAATGTAATGAAACGCCATTTTCTGGGTGAGTCCCGGAGGCTCCCCGGCATCCCTCCCTCCCTCCGGTCGGCGGTTTTTCGCGTTTTTGACATCCAGCCTCAAGAACTGAGGTGTGGGTAGCCGGCGCGGGGGGTCTGGGGCTCCCCCTTCCCCCTCCCGGGGAGGGGGGAGCTGCGCAGACAGCGGCGCGGCAGTGTGTGACGTCACACTAGTTTGCTTGTTTTCGGTTGGGGAGTTCTATCCACTAGTTCGGTTTTAGGTAGCAATTTTAACCAGAATAGGGGTTTGTTTTGGGGCGCTTACCTTTCTGGGTGCCTGTTCCGGTCGATGGCAGACATAGAATGCTTCCAACTACACGGGGGCTTCTATAGGCCATTGCTCCCCTTGCCTCTCTGAGGGGGCCCGGTTCTGGCCGTGGTCCCCGGTAGGCCTAAGAACTCCATACACATGACTGATGCCAAAGTCTGACATTAGCATATCAGCCTGGGATAGCTCCGGGGAGCCTCCGGGACTCACCCAGAAAATGGCGTTTCATTACATTCAACGCTGGTTTTTTGCCCCTCCTTTCGGATGACCACTCTGTTCCAGGTCCGGCTTCTCTTGGAACCGGGTTTGTGGATGGTGTCTCTGGACTTCCAGGATGCATATTGGCATATTCCCATTCATTCTGGGTTCAGGGATTAGTTAGGTTTTGTCGGGGTGGCAGGCTTACCGCTTTTGTTGCCTACCTTTTGGGCTGAATCTGGCACCTCATATTTTCACATCTTACCTAGGTCGTAGTGGCCCATCTACCTCTGCTAGGTGTTGGCCTACCTCAACAACTGGCTAGTATGGGCTCCCAGCCGATCTGCTTGTCGGATGGCCAGGGGTTTGATTCTTTCACAGCTCGCCGGGTTCGGCTTCCTGGTGAACTGGAGGAAGTCCCATCTGGTTCTGTCTCAGGTTCAGACTTGGCTGGGCCTTGTCTGGGATTCCCGGAAAGTGTCCTTGTCTCTCCCTCGGGCAGCATTGCTCCGGCTGCAGTCTCACCGTCAACTGTTTGTGAGGTGGACCCGGGTCACCCCGTGGATGCTCGAGCAGCTGTGCGGGAGTTTGAATTTCGACGTGATTGTTTACCCACTGGGCCGGGTTTGGCTGCGATGTCTGTTCTGGTTTCTTTGGGGTCACCCCTTCCACCGCTCTCGCGATTGGTGGGTTTGTCCTCCGGGGGCCTTGCGTCGGTTGCTTTGTCTCAGGCTTTCTCTTTGGACTTTTCTGGGTTTAGTGCCTTGGTGCCTCCCTGACACCTTGTTTGATGTGTTCATGGATGCCTGCTCTCTGGGCTGGGGCTTTGTTACCAGTGCTCACCAGGCCGGCGAGAGGTGGTGGGCTCCGTCCTCCTATCGGGCTCACAGCACAGTGTGGGAGCTGTGTGGCTTGTGCTGCATCGGATTTGGCTCTCTCAAGGCTCTACAATCCGTCTTTAATTGGACTGCTCTTCGGTGGTTTATTGCCTGAACTACAGGGGGGGTCTACAGTCCTTTGCTCTTTGGAGCTGGTTGCTTCGGGTGGCTCTTCTACTGAATTCTCGGGGTTTAGTTCTCGGTGCGGTTAATATTAGGGGAGTGTCTAATGTCCTGGCGGATGGCTCGTCGCTGTTCATTCCTCTGTCCACATAATAGACAGTTAACGCCAACTCCTTCAGTTGGCTCAGTCTATGTGGCACCCTTCCTCCGACTGCGAGGCTGTTGCGGTAGATGCATTTTGACAGGACTAGTCGAGGTGGGGTTACCTGTTCCTCTTCCCCCTTGGTTCAGCTGTTGCTTCGGGTTCAGGCTTAGCTCGAGTCCTATCGAGAGAGGGTTCTTCTTCTGACCCCATGGTGGCCGGCCCAGCCTTGGTTTCAGGCGCTGCTTGCTCGGTGTCCGAAACGGGGGCATTTTCCACGGCTCCACCTCTTTCAACAGATCGGGCCGGTTAGGTACCTTGCCTGTCCACTCTTCTCTTCTGCGCTTCGCGTCTGAAGTTTCTGACACGGGTGTATCACCATCTGTATGGTCACCAGGTGGCTTCTCTAATGGTATCTTACTTGCGGTCTTCTTTTCGGCAACAGTATGAAATCTCTTGGTGGTCTTTTTGCCACTTCCATTCCCTTCGTATGTTTCGATTTGGTCTTGGTCTCGGTTTGTGTTTGTGTTTCTAGAAAAGCCTCGTGCACATGATGTTCGGAAATTCGAAGCGTTGGCTGCTGTGTTTGGTAATGTCTTGGGCTGACATTTGGGTGCGGGGAGTTTTGAGGTCGAACAGGGTCCTGGCTGCCCGTTATCTTGTTATTGTGCCGGGCCTTCAGCGGTCTTGTGTCACCTTGGGTCAGGGGTTGCAGCCAGTTGTCTCATCTTCGTCATGAGTTGTGCAGTGCTGCCGTCTCCCGGGTAAATCCCTAATTTCCTGCTCTTTGGGTAGCTAGCTCCAGGGAGCCAACATGGCTCCCCACAGAAAACCAGTGTTGAAAGTAGTGAAATGCCATTTTTTCGGTAGAGCCCCAGAGGCTCCCTGGCACCCTCCCTCCCTCTGGTCACCATTTTTTTGTTCCGTTTAGTCAGTCTCCGAATTAATGGTCCAGCAGCCGGCTCAGTGGGCCGGTATCCTCGCTTGGAGAGTTCACGCGAACGAGCGGCAGGTGGTGTGATGACATGTTGCTTGTTTTCTTGTTTGTTTTGGGGGGAGTTTTTAACCTTTGTTCGCTCTGTTTGCAATTTTCCTACCAGTTGGGGTCTGTTTTGGGGCGCCTACCTCTCTGGGTGTTTAACCACAGTCGATGGCAGACATGAAAATTTTCATACAAGGAAGTTTCATAGGCCATTGCTCCTTGTGCCTCTCTGAGGGGACCATATTCTGGCTAGTGATCTCCGGTAGGCATGACAACTCCATACAACTGAAGCCCCATACTATTATTAGCTAATATCAGTCCAAAAGCTCCAGGGAGCTTGTGGGGGCTCTTTCCAGAAAACGGCGTTTCATTACATTCAACGCCGGCTTTTTGCACACTTTTGTAATTTTCCAAGAGTGTTCCTTCTTGTTCCCGAAGTTTAATCACGTGGTCTCGTACCATTGTTTTCCTCCATACTGTATATGGCCATACAACAGCCTAGGTTGGCTCTTTGCTTTTGCTGCAATATAATTCTCAAACTGCTGGCCCTCCTGCTCTGATTCTTGTGTACTCATTTCTGGCCCTCTCAAGTGCCTTGCTATTTGCCTCTGTACTCATGTCCCTATAATTTGTCTGCGCCTTTTTTTTTTTTTTTGTCTTTTCCTCCTTACACTGTCTGTTGAGCCATGGGATTGCCCTTCTCCTCCATGCTGAGAGGTAGGAACATTACTTCTTTGCATTTCTGTGTTATGAGTTCCATTATCTCATTTGCTGACTTTCCCTCCGTTTTAGTCTTTCACTGAACCTCCTGCTGGTAGCTCTCTTTCTCATTTTCTTATTGTCTTGATATGCTACCTCAGGAAATATTTGTATGTAGTGTTCACAAGTCTTGCTCTCCATGTTTCATATTCCCTGTATATGAAACATGGAGAGTGTAATTACCTAAGTGTAATTAAGTATAGTTACAGGATGAGAGATACATACTGTATTTGGTGTCCCATCTTCCCAGCACTCTTTGTCGTATAACGCTTTGAAACTACTGACAGTTTTGGCCTCCGCCACTTTCTTGCTTAACTTGTTCCAACTGTCAACCACTTTGTTTGCATCAGTTCAAACAAAGTACTCACCTAGTACTAGCCTAGTTGTCCTTGCGGGGGTTAAGCTTTGGCTCTTTGGTCCCGCCTCTCGGTTGTCAATCAACACGAGGTGAGGATTGTGGTTGTGGTGGCGGTGAGGTAATGTGGTGGGGGAGGATTCTTTATTGACCTGTCGATATTCCTGTCGTTAAAATCCCCCCAAGTATTAGAAAAGGAATGTTTCATTCCACCATTCCACTCAGTTCATTATTTTCTTTTCATTACAGAAGGATGATGTTTCTGGACAGCAGAGCCATTTCTTCAATATTTACTCTGACTGGGATCTTAACAGTGACAGTGCTTTAGATGTGGTGTCGCAGAACTGCCTGCCCCTTGAGTTAGACTTTGTGCCTTATCATCTTTACCACACCAAAACCAAGAGCAAAAATGGATGGGAGGTAGGAGCCTGTGATTACAAATTTAAAATCTTATGAGAAATAAATTAAGTATTTATCTCGGGGAGGGTCCCCTCGGTGGTTTCATGAGCACTTGGGCTGTCAAGCCTCGGGGAATTGCATCAAGCCTCTGAGACCCACCTTGGCTTACCAAGAGCCAGGACCAGAATTTGGTGCTCTCTGTGAGGTGAGAGGAGTTTGGAGGTCAAACCCAAAACTAAAAACAAAAAACTAGTATTGAATGTATTGAAGTGCTTATATCTGGTAGAACCTTGGGGCTTCCTGAGGACCTCTCTGAAGCCATCTCACTGAGATGCTTTCCTACTACTGAGTCGCATCAGCCATAGTAGTCTTGTATGGCCTACTGGGGACCACAGCCAGACAAAACCACACACCAGAAGATAAGGAGACAACGATGTTGCTGTTTGCCCTGGACTATTATCAAGTCCATTGTGATGGGAGTGAGGTTGTTGTTGTTATTTAAGATTCTGCTACTGGTAACAAAAAGTTCCAGGTACCACGGGCTATGGTGAGCCTGTAGTGGATTTACCTGGCACAGGAACAGGGCTGAACTGGGAGTGAGGGAGGCACAGGATTAAGTAAGGCAAGAGTGAGGTGAGGAGCAGGTAAGAGGAGGAAATTCCTAGAAGGTAAGAGCAAGGCAAAAGGTAAGAAGAAGAAGAAAGGTACGGATGGGATGGGTGCAACAATGGGTAAAGGAAGAATGGAAACGTAAGAATAAGAGGAAAAAGAAAGGGTAAAAAGGATGGGTAGGCTTATGTCAGGTCAAATTTGTTAGAAAGGTTAGAGCATTTGAGTATTTACTGTGAAAGGGAAGAGTCAACAGCAACAAAGCCAGGATTAAGGTTCATGTTGGGTAGGTTGTGTATCGGAGCCGATTCGACAAGACGGCATCTGTGAAGAGTAGAGGCAGGAAAGATTAGTTTAGAAGACCAATCAATAGGATGATTAGATTCCCTAACATGACAGAAGAGAGCATTATTTGTGTCTGCAGACTTAACACTTCTTTTGTGTTCCTTAAGTGTGTCATTTAGTGTACGGCTAGTTTCACCAAAGTACTGTAGAGGAGAAGACAAACAGGAAATAGAGTAGACACCAGCAGCATTAGAAGCAGGCAGAGCAGTGGGAACCAGATTGCTATGAAGAGTGTTAGTTTGTTGAAAAGCGAGCTTTATATCAATAGAATGAAGGGTATTAGTGAGATTTTTAAGTTCAGATATGAAGGGAAGGCAGAGCACAGTGGTTCTAGTGTTGGAAACAGGTTTGGGATGAAAGAAATTTCATTTAGCTTGAGAATAGTCACAGTTGATGAACACAGAATTACAACTCCCCAGAAGAAAACAAAGGAAACCAGCAAACGAGCAATTGTCATTGACTGCCACTATGTGCAGCTTGTCCGTGCAACCCTCCCCTGTCATTGACTGCCACTATGTGCAGCTTGTCCGTGCAACCCTCCCCTGTCATTGACTGCCACTATGTGCAGCTTGTCCGTGCAACCCTCCCCTGTCATTGACTGCCACTATGTGCAGCTTGTCCGTGCAACCCTCCCCTGTCATTGACTGCCACTATGTGCAGCTTGTCCGTGCAACCCTCCCCTGTCATTGACTGCCACTATGTGCAGCTTGTCCGTGCAACCCTCCCCTCCCCGGGAGGGGGAGGGGGAAGCCCTGGACCCACACGCCGGTCCCTCACACCTCGGTTCGTGGCTGAAGCACATCTGGGATGGATGTCGACTCTGGCCTCAGAATTTGCTGGATTTTGTGCCCTTGTGGTGGTTCCTGCTGTTTGTGGCGTGTTGGCCAGGAGTAACATAAGAACATAATAAAGGTAACTGCAGAAGGCCTATTGGCCCATACAAGGCAGCTCCTAATTATAACCCCCCAATCCCACTCACACACATATCCATCCCACGCTTGAAACAATCGAGGGACCCCACCTCCACCACACCACGCGGTAATTGGTTCCACAAATCAACAATCCTGTTACTGAACCAGCACTCGCCTGAACCAGTAACATACTGTACTGAGGGCTGCATGCGCTTAGGGCTGCCTTCCCTAAGCGCCCTGTGAGTACTACCCTTGGGTTCTGGGGTTCCCTTCCACAGGGCGTTCAGGAACCGCTTCCGTAGGGATCTTTTGCTGCTTGGCACTTGCCCGCTCTTGGGGGTTGGGTGGGGTTTCATTCCTTTTGTGTAGCCTTGGATAGGAGGTGGTGTCATTGCTGGTAGGGGCACAAGGTACTACGCAGCTTGTCTCCTTATATACAGCGGCCAGGTTCTGTTCCTCCTAGAGACATTGTGCTTTTGTGGGGTTTTCTTTTTCTTTTTGTTTATTTTGCCTGGTGGAGGTCTGCCCCCTTGGTTCTGTTCCACCTTGTGGTATATTGGTGGTCCTCCTCTAGGCCCCCGTGCTTGTACACATGGCAGGGGTTCTGTTTTAGCAGTTTCTCTTGGTATTTTGGGTCCAACCAGTTAACAATACCTTGCCTGGGGTTTGCTTAGTAGTCAACCTATGGGCCCTGGAAAACCCCATTGGGGCACATTGGACCTATGGACACGTCCTCTGGGATGGTTGCTGTCCCCTTGTCTCAGGGTGACACTTCACTGTTTTGCCTCCATCATGCCTCCTGCTGGGTCGATGAAGCCTTTGACCCAGACTCCTGCAAGCCTTGTTCCTTGCTTGTGCTCCAGTTTACATATTCTACTGAGATTGATGTTCTGGTACAGGCGATTTCAGCATTGCATGCACGGTATTGGTTTCTGCACCATGCTAGGTTGGTTGCTCACCCGGATGCCCTGAGGCTGCCTGTTTGGGTTATGGGGACCCGGACATGGGGGCATTAGTCACTTTGACTTTGATTTCATCCGTGCTCCCGAGTCTTTCTCAGGTTGGTGTTATTTATCCAGCTCCTTCCTCCAACCCCCCTTTCTTACTCTACTCCCAGCTCCCAGACGTCTGAGGGTTATGGAGTCGGGCAGGGTTTAGATGGAAGTGAGACTCGGGCAGCTTTGGGGACTGCCCCATCCGGGTTGGGGACAAAGGCATTTGAGCCGGTTCCTCCTGCCAAAGCTTCTGGGTCTTGCCAGCACACCACCTTCTTTTCTGCTTTTCCCTTGGACTCGGCCATTTCTGTGGGGGCTGAAGGGTGTGGAGGCCAACTCTGCCCTGGGTCCTGACGTGGAGGATCCCGGGACTGGGGAGGAGTTGACTTAACAGACATGGGACTGTGACTGGGGCCCCGTTTGACCCCTATAAGGTGTTGGTACCCTCTTCACAGGGCTTGTTATTGCAGGGTGAAGGGTTTTCAGATCCCTCCCTCCCTGTATTAGTATGATTTGTTGTCGGCTCCTCCCTGGGTTCTCGTAGGTTCTTCGGTTCCTTTCTTCCAGAGGTTTTCAGCTTCTCGAATCCTGCCTAGGGAGGTTCGGGAGGCCCTTGCTGCATACCTCCTGCGAGACCCGGATTATGCCTCGGTGATGGATCCATTTTCTTTTGAGTTCGGAACAACTTTTCCCATTTGGGTGCATTACAAGGCACCAGAATCTTCCTAGCTGGCGGACTGTCCTTTCTTTTCGTTGGGCACGTGGCATGGGTGTTGTTGGACTTGCGCGCTTGATTGGCAGGAAACGTCTACTGTTGTACAGGTTTACCTGGGGGGGGGGGGGGGGGGGCGAGTTGAGCGCCTTAATGCGTGCTTGTTCGTCCCTGTGCTTCTTAGGGACGTTGGCATTGTGCAGCTCCATGTGTAGGCCCCTTCCCTTTCAGCTGCCTTGGTTGCTGAGAATTTGCACGCCCGTGGGCACTTAGCCTTGGTGTTGTGTTTCTTTTCCTTTCTTGATCTGTCTTCGGATTGGCTTAAGGAGGATGCGGAGGCGCTGGGTGCCGGGTCTTTGTCCGGTGCACTTGCCTCTGCGGCTCAGGTGTTGGCTGCCATGTTGAAGTTGTTTGTGCCAATTCTCAAGGAGGTGGTGTCTGTATTTTGCTTTTCACCTCGCGTGTTGACAGGCTGTGCCTGCGCTCTCCTTGGAATTCGCTTGGGCACTGGCTCTTAGGTTTTTGTCGCCTTTTCATTGCTGCATTGTTCATTGCCCCTCCTTTCGCATGACTATGTTGTCCCAGGTCCTGCTCCTGTTGGAGCCGGGCGCTTGGATGGTGTCCCTGGACCTCAGGGATGCTTATTAGCATATCCCAATTCATCCGGGGTTCAGAGACTGGCTCGGTTTTGTTGTGGGGCATCAGAGTTACTGCTTTCGTTGTCTCCCGTTCGGGTTAAACCTGGCACCTCATGTTTTCACACGCATTACGCGGGTCGTGGTGGCCTGTCTATGTCTTTCTTATGTGTTTGGGTGTTGGCATACCTCGACAACTGGCTGGTATGGGCTCCCAGCCAGTCCGCATGTCTGCTAGCCAGGGATTTGGTTCTTTCCCAGCTTGCCGGGTTTGCGTTCTTGGTGAACTGGAGGAAGTCCTATCTGGTTCCCTCCCAGGTTCAGACTTGGCTGGGTCTTGTTTGAGACTCTCGGACCGCTTCCTTGTCTCTCCCTCTGGAGTCTCCTTCGCCTACGATCCCGCCTTATCGTTTTCTGGAGGGTTTCCGGGTCTCCCGGTGGTTCCTCGAGGGTCTGTGCAGGAGCCTGAACTTTGCGATGTTGGTCTATCCGCCGGGTCGGGTTTGGCTGCGTCGCCTGTTATGGTTCTTTCGGGGACGTCCCTTCCGCCTCTCTCTCAATCACTCGGTTTGGCCCCATGGGGCCTTGCGTCGGTTGCTGCGTCGCCGGCTTCCTCTTCGGGTTTTTCGGGGTTCAGTGCCATGACGCCTGCCCGAGCCCTCGCTCGATGTGTTCACAGACGCATCGTCGCTCGGCTGGGGCTTTGTGACCAGTGCTCACCAGGCTGGCCAGGGGCGATGGGGTCCGTCCTTTTGATGGGCCCACAGCATGGTGCAGGAGTTCGTGGCGGTTTGGTTTGCGCTTCGCAGGGTTCGGGTCGCTCGCAGATTGACGATCCTGCTCCAGTCAGACTGCTCCCCAGTGGTTCATTGCCTGAACCGAGGGGGTTCGATGCATTCCCTGGCTCTTTGGCGCTGGTTGCTTCAGGTGACTCGTCTGCCGAGTTCTCAGGGTTTTTCTCTCCTGGCAGTTCACGTTCGTGGGGTGTCTAACGTCTTGGCAGACGGCCTGTCTCGGTTCGTTCCCCCTGTCCACGGAATGGACGGTTGACGCCGACAAGTTCAGTTGGCTCTGCCAGACGTTCAGGTGCCCGGAGGGGGACCTCTTCGCGTCGGCATGGTTGCGGCGCCTTCCGATATATGTGGCGCCTTTCCCCGTTCTGCGAGGCCATCAGGTCAATGCCTTTTAGCAGGACTGGTCAAGGTGGGGTTCCTGTACCTCTTTCCCCTGGTTCCGCTGTTGCTCCAGATCCTGACTCGCTTGGAGACTTCAGTGCGGCGCTGGCGGAGCCGCTGCAGCTTGTTTTTGGTATTGATGTTACTTCTGCGCCCTTTCGCAAGCTGTCTTGTGCGTTGTTTCACCTCCTGCCTGCTCATGTACTGCTTGAGCCATCCTGGTCGCTTGACAAGGTGCTCTCTTATCTCTCTTCTCCTCGGTTTGTAGTGGCCCCTTCGGTTCAGGACTATTTTTCTAAAGCTCTTTTCTTGTTGGCATTGGCCTCTGGGGGTTGGGTCGGGGAGCTTATGCTCTCCAGAGTAGGGGTTTCTGCTCGTTTGGCCCAGGTGGTAGGTTTGTTCATTTGCAGCCGTCTCCTTCTTTTCTGGCGAAGAATGAGACTACTGGTTTCCGGAGGGGTCCTTGGGTTGATGCTCGATTCGTCAGGCCAGGGATTCATCATGTTTTATGTCCGGTTGCGGTTCTTCGTAGTTATTTGCGTGCCATGGACTCTGTGGCCGGGGATGCGCTTTGGGTTGATCCAGTCTCCCTTCTTCCCTGTTCCAGGTTTCAGGTCTCCCAGGTCGTCTGCAGGGTTATTTGGTCTAGCCAGCCTGCGATTTATCCCCGTGCCCATGACGTTCACAAGTTTCCTGCTCTTGCTGCTGTTTTTGGTAATATGTCCTGGGTTGACATTCAGGTGTGGGGTTCTTGGAGGTCGAACAGGGTCCTGGCTGAGCGTTACTAGGTAAACGTCGGGCCTGTGTTGCTTTGGGTCAGCGGTTGCTTCCAGTTGTCTCGACTTCGAGTTGAGGAGTGAGCAGCGACTGCCTCATGGGTAAGTCCCTATGGGTTTTGTCTTTGGGTAGGTAGCTCCAGGGAGCTGACGAGGCTCTCCCCAGAAAACCAGTTTTGAGTGTAATGAAACGGCATTACATTTCTGGGTAAGACCCGGAGGCTCCCCGACAACCTTCCCTCCCCCCGGTCGGCTGTTTTTTCTCGTGATTTGATATCCAGCCTCAGAACTGAGAGGTGGATTGCCGGCGTGGGGGTCTGGGGCTCCCCCTTCCCCCTCCCAGGGAGGGGGGAGCTACACAAACAGCGGTGCGGCGACGTGTGACGTCGTGCTCGTTTGTTCGTTTCTGTTTGGGGAGTTTTATCCACTTGTTCGCCTTTATGTCGCAATTTTTCACCAGAATAGGGGTTTGTTTTGGGACGCTTACCTTTCTGGGTGCCTAACCCGGTCGATGGCAGACATAGAATGCTTCCTAGCACACGTTTTTTTTTTATAGGCCATTGCTCTCCTTGCCTCTCTGAGGGGGCGAGGTTCTGGCTTGTGGTCCCCGGTAGGCCCACAGAACTCCATACACATGACTGATGCCAAAGTCTGACATTAGCATATCAGCCTGGTATCACCCAGGTTAATATGCTGATATATCAGCCTAACCCAGAAAATGGCATTTCATTACATTCAACACTGGTTTTTTAACAGAATTGGATGCTTAAACGAGGCATATCTTTAGTACTAGTAAAAATTAAAGCACCGTAATATTGACCCTTTCTATGGGTTAGGTGAGTTGCTAGGGTTCATATGTTTCTGGTTATGCAAAACACTAAAAAATTTCATTTCTGGTTAGTCAAGTTTGGTGCATTTTTTTTTTTTTTTTTTACAATGTGGCAAATACAGGGAATGGGCAGTGATTTTATTCTCATCAATAGGTTAATCTCTGGTTCTTATTTTCATAAATGCTATCATAAATTAGGATAAAAATCCACATATGTATTTTTGTGAAATTTATGTAAAGAATTTACACCAAATCTTTCGCACTCTCCTGAGTGCTTTGTCAAGGTCAGGGTGTGTGATTAGGACGAGACTTGCATCTCAATGTCTAATCATAAATTGCTATCATAAATTGCTATCATAAATGCTATCGGCCAAGGACCGGGCCATGGGCACGTTGAGCCCCGAAATCATCACAAGGTAAGATAGTAAGAAGAGATATTTCTTTTAAGTGTGTGTGTGTAATTGTGGATATGGAAGACTGGTTTATTTCATTTGTTTACAGATGGTGTGGCTGCTGAGTGGGGGCGATTGTTGCATTCACCTGTACCATTCGGATGATGAGAGTCATAGCTATCAGGAAGTGGATGGCTCCGAATCTTTCCCAGAGTTCAAACAAATGACTGACATCACACTTTGGATGGACATTTCTTATTCTTCGGACAATACGAGGTGCTCCATAGTTCCTTTAACTTTTGTAACATATGATATTGTTTATGAAGACGTTAGGTTATGCTTTCTGTCATTCAGTCGTACTTTTAATTTTATTTTGTTTTAATTTATGTTTTTCATGGTAAGAATATCCAGCACTTGTTAACCTTTAAACTGCTGCTGTAGCCCACAAGCAGTAGCAGCTGGTGTACCAATTGCCTGTTGGAAACTAAATGGAATTACCTAAGTAATTACTTAAGTGTAGTTACAGGATGAGAGCTATGCTCGTTTATAGTGTGAAGTTTGAAGCCTGTTTGTAGTTTAATGCTGGTCAGTACTGATGATTTAGGCCTCCACTACCTTCTCACTTAGCTCACTTGTGCATTAGGACTATGTACACAAGTACTAATGTCTTAAAGATTCTATGGAGATGTCATTCAACACTTAAGAGACCTCTAACATTCATTTGCCATATTAGACAAAATCCTGAAAGCTTGAATTTCTTTTCTGGGCATTAGTGAACAAATGGCATCATATATCAGGAGCCTCACCTTCCAGTTGCTGATGTAGGAACCAGTGAGACAATGCAAACATTTCCACAAATTTAATGGACCAGGAAGATATTAGTAATGAAGAGAAATCTGTTACAACTAGTTAACTGGAAAATTAATTTTCAGACTGACATTCTCAACATTTCTTTATCTCACTATAAGTAAAATAAAATAATTAGAATTTTGTTTTCTCCACCAAATGGGAAGAAATGAAATGAATATAATATACTAAAGAAAGGGAAAAATAAATTTGTTGAATTTTTCATTTTATATGCACAAGGAAATTTGCCTAATTTAGGGTGTGTAGTTTGAGGAATAAGATCATATACAGTGAAACCCAATCAAGATATATGAAGTGAAAGTGACAATGTGTTGATATATCCTAGAGCATTATTAAATATATGGCTATATCTGGTGGTACAGTACTTGCTATGTCTTTGTATCTATGCAACCTTGGTAGCTTAACCAGTCTGGTTGTCCTGTATCCCATAGACACTGTCATGTCACGATTTAGATGACTTTTCGAGCTCACCAAAGATGAAGCTTGCATCACTCATCTTCACCCCACAAAGGGGTGGGAAGCTCATAGAGATCGGAAATAATCAAACGACCATGATACAAACATTATGTATCTCACAAAGGCATTATAACACTCAAGTGCCCTTCGGAAGTTGTTTTGTAACAATGTGTCAATAATTAACCTGTAAGAATGAAAAACCTCGTCACTCAACTACTCCAGCTGCCACCAGGTGGTGTCACACTGGCTAGAGGGTTGAGGACGGCGGCTACCTTACTATAGGCTAAGTACCTCTTTGGTAAGGCAAGACACATGATAGGAAAAGCAAGTTAACACTGCTGCACACAGCAAGGAACATGGGCACTGTATTCTCTATACCTGGAGATGTACCTTTGTCTCCCCCAGCCTTCTCCCAATGGTGCACCATGCACAGTTATGATCGCATTTTATCTTTTCCAAGATAAAACTTTTCAAACATTGATAACCGAGACAATAAAATTGAACTTTAACATTTTAATAATGCCCTCTCGGTGCGATATATTTTTCATGTTGTCACAAGTTATAGGTTTCTAGTTATGATTTAAAATATATCTGTGGATAGTTGATATGGATGTTGTGCATTAATTGAGTAGGATACAGCAGGTGTTTCTTTGCTTTTTTGTCAGGCGAGTGTCGGCAACGTGCGGTGCGGGGGGCGCTGTTCACATGTTCTATGTGAATGTGGAATCTACGCCTCAAATAACGGCAAGTCATGCAATATCGTGGGATTATCCATCTGCGGCTGTTAAGATCTTTGACTTGAACACTACACTGTCTGTTCCCAGTTTTCTTCAAGAAGGTAAGTTTTGTTTTTGTTAATAGACAGATTGTTCTTATGTTACTGCTTGCCGCCACTTTCCCATATACTCTGTAGTAATGTTGCTGCTTGCCGCCACTTTCCCATATACTCTGTAGTAATGTTACTGCTTGCCGCCACTTTCCCATATACTCTGTAGTAATGTTACTGCTTGCCGCCACTTTCCCATATACTCTGTAGTAATGTTACTGCTTGCCGCCACTTTCCCATATACTCTGTAGTAATGTTACTGCTTGCCGCCACTTTCCCATATACTCCGTAGTAATGTTGTTGCTTGCCGCCACTTTCCCATATACTCCGTAGTAATGTTGTTGCTTGCCGCCACTTTCCCATATACTCCGTAGTAATGTTGTTGCTTGCCGCCACTTTCCCATATACTCTGTAGTAATGTTACTGCTTGCCGCCACTTTCCCATATACTCTGTAGTAATGTTACTGCTTGCCGCCACTTTCCCATATACTCCGTAGTAATGTTGTTGCTTGCCGCCACTTTCCCATATACAGTACTCCGTAGTAATGTTGCTGCTTGCCGCCACTTTCCCATATACTCCGTAGTAATGTTGCTACGGAGTATAGAAGGAGTAAGTAGGAGTAGAGAAGTTGGAGAATACATATTCCAACTCTGAATGAAGAGAAAAACGCTTTCCATAACACTGTCCAAAACTCACCCTGGCAACACAGATATTAGCACACTGTGCCCTGGCAAGATAGATGTTGCCAAGCTGTGCCTTGGCAATGGAAAGGGGGAGAGGCCAATGTGTTCCATAAAGGATTTCGTTCAGCAATTCAGACCCCAGGGGCGCAGTGCAAGGGTTGGGTGATGCTGTGGGCATAAGCTGGAACACAGTGCTCTGCTCTGCTGCTGCTGTATGTGCTACTCATGGTCACTCACTCTGTACTGAGGCTCTCATACCCAGGAGGGATGCCCATGCAGACACCTTCATAAAGAGTGTCTGTTGAGGCCTGAGGAAGTATGAGCCCAGTGTACTTGGGGAACTTTTAAATCTCGTGTGATACTTTAAATCGTCCCTAATTGGCTCGTGCGGTGGGATCAGAAATGGTGTGATCTTCCATGACTGATATACCCATTTGAAGGGTTAACTGTGTCTGTTCTTATAGCTGACAACCTATCCCCCCCCCCATGGTATGTGTAAGAAAAAAGTAAATTAAAATAAATTTTTCTACCTTATATTGATTGAATGTGTTCCTTAATCAGGGGAATTATACAAATTATATGTGATTTACTTTGGCCATTGTGAAGAATAGAAATCTTGTGATGATGTCACAATTGATAAGTGTTCATGAAGCAATAGCCCCCATGGTAGTTGCCCTGCTATGGTGCAGGTGTTGGGACCTTGGGTACCTTGTGGCTCTTTGTGGTTCTGTGCTGCTGCAGAGGCTCTTGTGTTGCAAGGAGAGGAGTCCTCTCCTCTTCCCCTGCATGCTTCTCTTGCCTTGTAGTCAGAGCCACATTTTAGTTCCTGTGCTGGTAGGTCAGCGAGGGTTTTAGAGGACTGGTGTGATTTCAGAAACTTGCTTTTATCAGGGCTTAAGCTTGGGGAAGCTTGGAATGTTTTTATCATTTAACACTTAACTATTAAAAATTTCGAAGAATCTTGCAATTTTATTCTATCTTTGTGAAGAAATGATTTTATAAATGCAGTAATGAAACAGTATTAAATAGTTCTCCAAATTTAGTTGATTAGATTTGTTATTTTAGTCTACAGGTCGCAGAACAGAACTGGTAGAACAGATGCTGCGTCATGTCCTCACGTTGTGGTGGGGAATACATTGGAAGCCTGTTTTGTATACAGGTATGGATGAGTATTGAATTTTGCATCTACAGTACTTCATAAGAAAATATGAAACTGCGGCAGGTCCATTAGACCATACGAGGCAGCTTCTATTTACAGCCACCCAAACTCATTCATATATATGACATGACTATTTTTCTTACAGATTTATGCAAAATTCTCTTTGACATAAAAATGATGCCCATTTGAGTTCTGAGGTATAGCATTCTATTGCTCTCTGAAGCAGTCTGACATCTCCTTGGGACAGTACCAAACATCAATTATGTATGGCTCTTCTTGGGAACAGGGGCCAACCAAAATCATGTCTTGCTCTTCTCAGGGACAGGACCAAGCAACAGCCATTTTAAGTTGACAGTTATTACCCCCTGCATTGTTCAGTATCTTTTGGAATGTCCCGTGAATCATAGGAAAAATGAAGTCAAAGGACAAAAAATATCCCATCTCTAATAATCTTTTAGAAGATAAGTTACATTCATGTTCACTCAAAATTCACTCCAAGCAATACTTGGCCACAAAGACATAGTGCCGACTATCACTCTGCTGATTTAGGATAAAAACCCACACTTGTGTATTTGTGAAATTAAAGTAAGGAATTTACACAAAGTCTTTTACACTCTCCTGAGTGTTCTGTCAAGGTCTGAGTGTGTGATTAGGACGAGACTTACATCTCGATATCTAATGACTATCTAATAAGTCTCGTCCTAATCACACACTCAGACCTTGACAAAGCACTCGGGAGAGTGCGAAAGACTTGGTGTAAATTTCTTACATAAGCTTCACAAATACACAAGTGTGGGTTTTTATCCTATGTTATGATGTCTGTGAGAAGACATTACCATTACTTACTCTGCTGGTTGCTAGTTGGGCCACCTGACCATTAATTGAGACTGCCACCGTGCATCACAACCTACAGTGTCCGTGGAGCAGCCAGGAGTTGCCCTCATCACAGTATTCCTGGCATACCTAGTCGACACTTGTCAGTATTCCTGGCATACCTAGTCGACACTTGTCAGTATTCCTGGCATACCTAGTCGACACTTGTCAGTATTCCTGGCATACCTAGTCGACACTTGTCAGTATTCCTGGCAGACCTAGTCGACACTTGTCAGTATTCCTGGCAGACCTAGTCGACACTTGTCAGTATTCCTGGCAGACCTAGTCGACACTTGTCAGTATTCCTGGCAGACCTAGTCGACACTTGTCAGTATTCCTGGCAGACCTAGTCGACACTTGTCAGTATTCCTGGCAGACCTAGTCGACACTTGTCAGTATTCCTGGCAGACCTAGTCGACACTTGTCAGTATTCCTGGCAGACCTAGTCGACACTTGTCAGTATTCCTGGCAGACCTAGTCGACACTTGTCAGTATTCCTGGCAGACCTAGTCGACACTTGTCAGTATTCCTGGCAGACCTAGTCGACACTTGTCAGTATTCCTGGCAGACCTAGTCGACACTTGTCAGTATTCCTGGCAGACCTAGTCGACACTTGTCAGTATTCCTGGCAGACCTAGTCGACACTTGTCAGTATTCCTGGCAGACCTAGTCGACACTTGTCAGTATTCCTGGCAGACCTAGTCGACACTTGTCAGTATTCCTGGCAGACCTAGTCGACACTTGTCAGTATTCCTGGCAGACCTAGTCGACACTTGTCAGTATTCCTGGCAGACCTAGTCGACACTTGTCAGTATTCCTGGCAGACCTAGTCGACACTTGTCAGTATTCCTGGCAGACCTAGTCGACACTTGTCAGTATTCCTGGCAGACCTAGTCGACACTTGTCAGTATTCCTGGCAGACCTAGTCGACACTTGTCAGTATTCCTGGCAGACCTAGTCGACACTTGTCAGTATTCCTGGCAGACCTAGTCGACACTTGTCAGTATTCCTGGCAGACCTAGTCGACACTTGTCAGTATTCCTGGCAGACCTAGTCGACACTTGTCAGTATTCCTGGCAGACCTAGTCGACACTTGTCAGTATTCCTGGCAGACCTAGTCGACACTTGTCAGTATTCCTGGCAGACCTAGTCGACACTTGTCAGTATTCCTGGCAGACCTAGTCGACACTTGTCAGTATTCCTGGCAGACCTAGTCGACACTTGTCAGTATTCCTGGCAGACCTAGTCGACACTTGTCAGTATTCCTGGCAGACCTAGTCGACACTTGTCAGTATTCCTGGCAGACCTAGTCGACACTTGTCAGTATTCCTGGCAGACCTAGTCGACACTTGTCAGTATTCCTGGCAGACCTAGTCGACACTTGTCAGTATTCCTGGCAGACCTAGTCGACACTTGTCAGTATTCCTGGCAGACCTAGTCGACACTTGTCAGTATTCCTGGCAGACCTAGTCGACACTTGTCAGTATTCCTGGCAGACCTAGTCGACACTTGTCAGTATTCCTGGCAGACCTAGTCGACACTTGTCAGTATTCCTGGCAGACCTAGTCGACACTTGTCAGTATTCCTGGCAGACCTAGTCGACACTTGTCAGTATTCCTGGCAGACCTAGTCGACACTTGTCAGTATTCCTGGCAGACCTAGTCGACACTTGTCAGTATTCCTGGCAGACCTAGTCGACACTTGTCAGTATTCCTGGCAGACCTAGTCGACACTTGTCAGTATTCCTGGCAGACCTAGTCGACACTTGTCAGTATTCCTGGCAGACCTAGTCGACACTTGTCAGTATTCCTGGCAGACCTAGTCGACACTTGTCAGTATTCCTGGCAGACCTAGTCGACACTTGTCAGTATTCCTGGCAGACCTAGTCGACACTTGTCAGTATTCCTGGCAGACCTAGTCGACACTTGTCAGTATTCCTGGCAGACCTAGTCGACACTTGTCAGTATTCCTGGCAGACCTAGTCGACACTTGTCAGTATTCCTGGCAGACCTAGTCGACACTTGTCAGTATTCCTGGCAGACCTAGTCGACACTTGTCAGTATTCCTGGCAGACCTAGTCGACACTTGTCAGTATTCCTGGCAGACCTAGTCGACACTTGTCAGTATTCCTGGCAGACCTAGTCGACACTTGTCAGTATTCCTGGCAGACCTAGTCGACACTTGTCAGTATTCCTGGCAGACCTAGTCGACACTTGTCAGTATTCCTGGCAGACCTAGTCGACACCTAGTCGACACTTGTCAGTATTCCTGGCAGACCTAGTCGACACTTGTCAGTATTCCTGGCAGACCTAGTCGACACTTGTCAGTATTCCTGGCAGACCTAGTCGACACTTGTCAGTATTCCTGGCAGACCTAGTCGACACTTGTCAGTATTCCTGGCAGACCTAGTCGACACTTGTCAGTATTCCTGGCAGACCTAGTCGACACTTGTCAGTATTCCTGGCAGACCTAGTCGACACTTGTCAGTATTCCTGGCAGACCTAGTCGACACTTGTCAGTATTCCTGGCAGACCTAGTCGACACTTGTCAGTATTCCTGGCAGACCTAGTCGACACTTGTCAGTATTCCTGGCAGACCTAGTCGACACTTGTCAGTATTCCTGGCAGACCTAGTCGACACTTGTCAGTATTCCTGGCAGACCTAGTCGACACTTGTCAGTATTCCTGGCAGACCTAGTCGACACTTGTCAGTATTCCTGGCAGACCTAGTCGACACTTGTCAGTATTCCTGGCAGACCTAGTCGACACTTGTCAGTATTCCTGGCAGACCTAGTCGACACTTGTCACTGGCTGGTGACTTCATCATTCAGGAAGTGGTTTATATTCTTGAAAATTGTTTTAATGTGCAGTGGACTGATGTTAGTGAATGCACAGTATATCTGTCTGTAAGGTTACACACTCATTTCTGGGGTGAGCCTCGCTGGCTTCCCAAAGTCATCTCGCTGAGATGGCTCCTAACTACTAGATTGCCTCAGTCATGGAGTTGTGTTTGGCCTACTGGGGGACCAGAGCCAGAGCCTGGCCCCCCTCAGAGGCAGAGAAAGCAGGTGACACTCCACCAGGAAAGCAACCAGAAAGTCAGCGAACCATTACAGACCACTGCTGAGTTCAGAGAGTCTGAACCACTCCGTCTTCCTGGTAAGTCTTAGTTTTGTTCTCTGTGGTTAGCTTCAAGGAGTCGCCCTGAATTCCCCTTCCCTCTGGTTCATCAGTTCATTGTGGGTTGTTCGTCAGGTCTAGAACCAAGTCTGGTGAGGGCTGGGGCCACGCTGCCTGCTGGGGGGTAATTAGCATTAACAAGTTATGCAGGTTGTTGAGTGTAGCCCATCCTTTTGAATTGTTACATTACAAAAAATATTCTAAATTGTCTCAAGCTAACCTAACATTTAATATGGACTCATGCATAGAAAACATGGTTGTTTGTGAGCTACTATGATTTATAGTACATCATATTTTGTCCGTTCAGTATTTTGACATCAAAATGTGATGTATTATCAAGAAAACAGGTTGTTGAATGAATCTCTTGTTCTGTCTGAATCATTTGCCGAGTTATTTGCTGGTTTTGAGGCTTCATTGTCAGTGAAGCCGCCTGTTGTCTGTAAAGCTTCAGTGACTTTATGGAGGCTTTTTTCCAGTGGGGCGGCAGGTTGTCACTCGTTCCCTGTCCCTCTATGAGGGGAGCCAGGTCCTGTACCTCTATGAGGGGAGCCAGGTCCTGTACCTCTATGAGGGGAGCCAGGTTCTGTACCTCTATGAGGGGAGCCAGGTCCTGTACCTCTGAGGGGAGCCAGGTTCTGTGCCTCTGAGGGGAGCCAGGTTCTGTACCTCTATGAGGGGAGCCAGGTCCTGTGCCTCTGAGGGGAGCCAGGTTCTGTACCTCTATGAGGGGAGCCAGGTTCTGTACCTCTATGAGGGGAGCCAGGTTCTGTACCTCTATGAGGGGAGCCAGGTCCTGTGCCTCTGAGGAGAGCCAGGTTCTGTACCTCTATGAGGGGAGCCAGGTTCTGTACCTCTATGAGGGGAGCCAGGTCCTGTGCCTCTGAGGGGAGCCAGGTTCTGTACCTCTATGAGGGGAGCCAGGTTCTGTACCTCTGAGGGGAGCCAGGTCCTGTGCCTCTGAGGGGAGCCAGGTTCTGTACCTCTATGAGGGGAGCCAGGTCCTGTGCCTCTGAGGGGAGCCAGGTCCTGTGCCTCTGAGGGGAGCCAGGTTCTGTGCCTCTGAGGGGAGCCAGGTCCTGTGCCTCTGAGGGGAGCCAGGTTCTGTACCTCTATGAGGGGAGCCAGGTTCTGTACCTCTATGAGGGGAGCCAGGCCCTGTGCCTCTGAGGGGAGCCAGGTTCTGTACCTCTATGAGGGGAGCCAGGTTCTGTACCTCTATGAGGGGAGCCAGGTTCTGTACCTCTATGAGGGGAGCCAGGTCCTGTGCCTCTGAGGGGAGCCAGGTCCTGTGCCTCTGAGGGGAGCCAGGTCCTGTGCTTCTGAGGGGAGCCAGGTCCTGTGCCTCTGAGGGGAGCCAGGTCCTGTGCCTCTGAGGGGAGCCAGGTCCTGTGCCTCTGAGGGGAGCCAGGTCCTGTGCCTTTGAGGGGAGCCAGGTCCTGTGCCTCTGAGGGGAGCCAGGTTCTGTGCCTCTGAGGGGAGCCAGGTTCTGTGCCTCTGAGGGGAGCCAGGTCCTGTACCTCTGAGGGGAGCCAGGTTCTGTACCTCTATGAGGGGAGCCAGGTCCTGTGCCTCTGAGGGGAGCCAGGTCCTGTGCCTCTGAGGGGAGCCAGGTCCTGTACCTCTGAGGGGAGCCAGGTCCTGTGCCTCTGAGGGGAGCCAGGTCCTGTGCCTCTGAGGGGAGCCAGGTTCTGGTCCTGGTATTCCAGGCAGAACTTGTGTGACTGATGTGGCCTTTTAGTATGGAGCCACGAGAGCTCCTCCAGGAAGACTTAAGGGAGCCACCAAGGCTCCTCCAGGAAGACTTCAGGGAGCCACCAGGGCTCCTCCAGGAAGACTTCAGGGAGCCACCAGGGCTCCTCCAGGAAGACTTCAGGGAGCCACCAGGGCTCCTCCAGGAAGACTTCAGGGAGCCACCAAGGCTCCTCCAGGAAGACTTCAGGGAGCCACAGGGCTCCTCCAGGAAGACTTCAGGGAGCCACCAGAGCTCCTCCAGGAAGACTTCAGGGAGCCACCAGGGCTCCTCCAGGAAGACTTCAGGGAGCCACCAGGGCTCCTCCAGGAAGACTTCAGGGAGCCACCAGGGCTCCTCCAGGAAGACTTCAGGGAGCCACCAGGGCTCCTCCAGGAAGACTTCAGGGAGCCACGAGAGCTCCTCCAGGAAGACTTCAGGGAGCCACCAGAGCTCCTCCAGGAAGACTTCAGGGAGCCACCAGAGCTCCTCCAGGAAGACTTCAGGGAGCCACCAGGGCTCCTCCAGGAAGACTTCAGGGAGCCACCAGAGCTCCTCCAGGAAGACTTCAGGGAGCCACCAGGGCTCCTCCAGGAAGACTTCAGGGAGCCACCAGAGCTCCTCCAGGAAGACTTCAGGGAGCCACCAGGGCTCCTCCAGGAAGACTTCAGGGAGCCACGAGAGCTCCTCCAGGAAGACTTCAGGGAGCCACCAGAGCTCCTCCAGGAAGACTTCAGGGAGCCACCAGGGCTCCTCCAGGAAGACTTCAGGGAGCCACCAAGGCTCCTCCAGGAAGACTTCAGGGAGCCACCAGGGCTCCTCCAGGAAGACTTCAGGGAGCCACCAAGGCTCCTCCAGGAAGACTTTAGGGAGCCACGAGAGCTCCTCCAGGAAGACTTCAGGGAGCCACCAAGGCTCCTCCAGGAAGACTTAAGGGAGCCACCAGGGCTCCTCCAGGAAGACTTCAGGGAGCCACCAGAGCTCCTCCAGGAAGACTTCAGGGAGCCACCAAGGCTCCTCCAGGAAGACTTCAGGGAGCCACGAGAGCTCCTCCAGGAAGACTTCAGGGAGCCACCAGAGCTCCTCCAGGAAGACTTCAGGGAGCCACGAGAGCTCCTCCAGGAAGACTTCAGGGAGCCACCAGAGCTCCTCCAGGAAGACTTCAGGGAGCCACGAGAGCTCCTCCAGGAAGACTTCAGGGAGCCACCAGGGCTCCTCCAGGAAGACTTCAGGGAGCCACCAGGGCTCCTCCAGGAAGACTTAAGGGAGCCACCAAGGCTCCTCCAGGAAGACTTCAGGGAGCCACGAGAGCTCCTCCAGGAAGACTTCAGGGAGCCACGAGAGCTCCTCCAGGAAGACTTCAGGGAGCCACGAGAGCTCCTCCAGGAAGACTTAAGGGAGCCACCAAGGCTCCTCCAGGAAGACTTCAGGGAGCCACGAGAGCTCCTCCAGGAAGACTTCAGGGAGCCACGAGAGCTCCTCCAGGAAGACTTCAGGGAGCCACGAGAGCTCCTCCAGGAAGACTTCAGGGAGCCACGAGAGCTCCTCCAGGAAGACTTCAGGGAGCCACGAGAGCTCCTCCAGGAAGACTTCAGGGAGCCACGAGAGCTCCTCCAGGAAGACTTCAGGGAGCCACCAGGGCTCCTCCAGGAAGACTTCAGGGAGCCACGAGAGCTCCTCCAGGAAGACTTCAGGGAGCCACGAGAGCTCCTCCAGGAAGAGGCGTTTCATTACATCCAACACCGGATTTTTCATATAAGCAGTTCATGCTTAATATTTTACCTTGTATCAATGGTTTGGCCGAGCTGCAAATTCAAGCTCTCTTTCTCCTAGTTTGTTAAGCTTGGGAGTGTATTCATTCATGTTTAAACTTGCCATGCTTCTTTGGTGCCTGCTTCCTTTATCAATATGGTGCTGGCTTTTCTCTTCCTTGGTTTCAGGTCTTTTCCTTAGAGGATCTTTTTCTCCAAACTCTCCTGCATTTGTCTTTGGTGACAGGCAATCAGGTTAGTGAGTTTCAAGGTTTATTCAGTCATCTTGGGTATATATCTTTGGTTTTAGGGACTTTACTGCATTTCCAGCTCTTCACTTGTGGCCATTAATGAGACTGACTATCAAGAGGTGGCCTATCTTGGTTTGGTTCTGGCTACTATGCTTTTCTGTGTAGTTCATCATAATCTGTTTCCTTTGACTTCTTCTTGCTGGTATTTCCTAGTGTCTTGAGACTGTGACGAGATTGTTTACCTTAGTGTGTGTACTGGCTCATAATGCACCAGTTCACACTTTCAGAAGTTACCTCTTATTTTATCCACTTTCATAAACCAGCTAAAGTATTTCACATCTGTATCATTGGCAATATATTTTTCCTGTCTAGTGCCAATTACTTACACATAGCTACCTAGTGACAGAGACCTAATAGTGCTCATTAATTTTGCAGTGATTTTACCAGTAGCTGTGAGGGTTATCGATTACCAGAGTGCGATAGTGGCGATGTTGTCACCTGCTGCATTGTGTGCGACATTGACCAAGACGGCAAGAATGAAATATTAGTCGGGACTTACGGACAGGTAAGGTTCATAAGTGTTTTTTTCTATAAACGGCTCTTTCATGTCTAATGAAAGATAGTTTAGTTCCCATAAGATTGTTATTGTACTATACTGTCTTTAAATATTGCTGTATTATTGTTAGGTACTAGTATTTAAGAATATTTATTGGATAATAAATAATTCATCTCACACATGAAAAGAAAGAAAGAAATGTGATAATGTTTTGTCCCACCTTGAACTCTATCACGGTGCAACTCTGACTTGGTAAGGTCGAGGATGGCCTGAATAGTCTTCACATTTTTTGTGTGTTGGTTGGGATATTTTTTATAGTTTATTTAATTTACTGGACTTATTGTGACTTATTCCCTACATACTGGATAATGTATAATTTATAGAGTTTACATTCATGGTACAGTAATTGTATTATGTTGTGAGGAGGACTCTCTGTTGCTCCCATAGCCATAGACCAAGTCCACCTAGGACATTATTCAGGCACTTCCTCAGTAATTTTTGGGCCCCATTGTCACAATGAAATTTTGCATGTAGTCTCGGCATGGACTTCCTGCCGACACTATATGTCTGGACCTTTAGAAAGCGGAGTTTAACCTCATCATTGAGATAATGGCTGAAAAAAATTAGCATTGAAAGTAATGAAACATCATTTTCTGGGTAGAGCTCTGGAGGCTCCCTGGAGCTATTGGACTGATATTAGCTAATATTAGTATGGGGCTTCAGTGATATGGAGTTGTCATTCCTACTGAGGACCACTAGCCAGAACATGGTCCCTCAGAGAGGCGCATGGAGCAATGGACTATGAAACTCACACATATGAAAGTATACATGTCTGCCATCGACTGGGCACCCAAAAAGGTAGACGCTTCAAAACAGACCCCCTCCTGGTAGAAATATTGCAATCGGAGACTGAACAAAGGCTAGACACTCCCCCAAAGAAAAACACATTAATAAGCAACACTTCATCAGCAACACGTCCAGGGCTCCACCCAGAAAATGGCATTTCATTACATTCAATGCAAGTTTTCTGTCGGGAAGCCCCGTCGGCTCCCTGGAGCTAACTACCCAAAAAGAAACAATAAAGGGGACTAACCTGGGAGGCGGCTGCACCCCATAACTCATACCGAAGACAAGACAGCTGGCTGCAACCGCCAACCTGAAGCGACACAAGACTGCTGAGGGGTCCTGGCACAGTGACAAGATATCAGGCAGCCGGGACCATGTTCAATCTCCAAAAACTTTGCTCCCGAATATCCATCCAAGACATTGCCAAACACAGCAGTCAAAACTGCAAATTTAAGACCATCATGGGCACGAGGGTAGACTGCAGGCTGGCTAGACTGGTTAACCCTGCAGACGAACCAAGAGACCTGAGCCCTGGAACAGGGAACAAGAGAGACTGGGTCAACCCAAAGCGCATCTCCAACCACCGAGGCCGTGGCATGCAGGTAGTGGCGTAAAGCCACAACCAGACACAAAGCAGGATGCACCCCCGGCCTGACCAACCAAGCATCAATAACCCACTGACCCCTCCGGAAGCCTACTGTCTCGTTCTTCGCTAGAAAGGAAGGAGATGGCTGCAAATGAATAAAATGTCCACCTGGACCAAAAGAGCAGAAGCCTCTGCGCCAGAGGAGAGTGTGAAGCTCCCCGACCCCGAGAAGCCAAAGCCAACAAGAACAAAGCTTTCTGGAAACAGTCTTGGACCAAAGGGGCCACAGCAAACCGAGGGAAAAAAAGAAAGGAGAGCATCTGGTCTAAAGACCAGGATGGCTCGAGCGGTGCATGAGCAGGCCAGAGGTGGAAAAAGGCACGAGAAAGTTTGCAAAACAGAGCCGAAGTGATGTCCACCCCAAATGCAAGCTGGAGCGGCTCCGCCAACGCTGCACGACACGAGTGACAGGCATCTTATGCCGAATACTGTCTCGAAAGAGATGGCAGTCCAGATGCCTGGACCGTCAAACCCGGTTGTATCCACCGTAATATATCTGGGCAAACTGGCCCTGGTGAAGTGAGCAACCCCGGAGGCCCAGAGGAGAACTGCCCTACTGTACCTAGGTAGCACCTAATAAGGACTGTGGCAGCCTCCCAACGGGCAATAAAGCAAACTAAAGAATGAAAGAGAACTCTGAGACCGCACCACAACCCAGGGGATCGGAAAGAGTTGCTGCTGCTGTGATTATGCAAGCTGGGCAGATCAGCGAGCCCCAATCAGCAATCAACCACTCCATACCCAGGGCCAAAGGAAAGTACTGGGACCTAAGCTGACACCAAGGGCAAGGTAGCAAACCAAGCAGTCACTACCTCTATGGGAATGGGGACCCGAAGAATCTAGAGGCCCTAAGCGCATGCAGCCCTTGGTACAAAACTCCTGGCCACCACCAGTAGGGTGAAGCCAATCAGGTAACCGAGGCCAGAGCAGGTGTCCACCCCGTAGAGCTTCAGCCGACAAACTGATGGTCAGGCTGTCGGCTCGGTGGGCTGGGACTCCTCTCCCCGGGGGAGGGATGGTCGGCGTGAATGAGCGGAGTACGGTGTAACCATGTGTTGCTTGCTTTTCTTTGGGGGAGTTTTTCACCTCTGTTCGGTCTCAGGTTGCAATATTTCTACCAGGTGAGGTCTTTTTTGAGGCGCCTACCTTTCCGGGTGCTCAACCCCAGTTGATGGCAGACATGAATACTTTCATACATGCAAGTTTCATAGGCCATTGCTCCCTGCGCCTCTCTGAGGGGACCATGTTCTGGCTAGTGGTCCCCGAACCACTAGACGGGGCTCCCCCCACAGAAAAGTTAGCATTGAATGTAATGACATGTCAATTTCTGGATGAACCCTGTTGGCTCTCTGAAGCTACCATGTGTTGAGATAGTGCCATCTGTTAGGTTGCATCAGCCGTGGAGCTCTATAGGCCTACCAGGGACTGGCAGCAAAACATGGCCCCCCTTACAAAGGCGCAGGGAGTGGCGACATTTATTGGCGACAAAATGCAGGTCAATTGCCTCGTATTGTGCAGTGCTGGCGGAGCTGCTGTAGTTTGCATTTGGGGTCAATACTGCCTCTTCTCAATTTTGCAAGCTGTCACGTGCATTCCATTCACCTGGGCTCTAGGAAACTTGAACCGTGGACCCCACGTGTGTGAGGACGGAGCTCTAATAGACCGAGCTATTGAGTAGTCTTAATAAGGAAAGTTTCCAGAAGCACCAAACTGGAATTTTCAACTTTCCCTGACTACTACTGAAGCTTTGAGGAATTAGTGATCCACACTCACATCATATACAAATAGGTTCGTGTCTCCTAGAGCCCAGGTGAATGTTATGTTTATTTACCCAGAAGTGTGGATGACAATTTTGTTTCGTGCATTGTTTTGCTTTTGGCCTGCTCATGCACTGCCCGAGCCTGCTTCGTCTCTGAAGCGTGTTCTTGCATTTCCTTGTCACGGTTTATCGTGTTCCCTTCGATCTGTGATTGTTTTCTTAGGTCTTTGCTTCTGGTTTCTCTTGCTTCTTGTTGTTGGGCTTTGGGTATTCAGGAGAATACAAAATTTCACTTGTCAATATTACAATTTTGTTGAATACAACAACTATAATGGTGATGACTTTAATTGATACATTTAAAAATATTGCTTTCAGATGGTGATAGTGTATAAGCACAATGAAGAGGAACCGTTCACATGGGACATTTGTCACAAAATAAGTGTACCGTGCCCGGTTCTCTCCCTGGCGTACTGTGACGTCATGGGAGGTGGGTCATACCAGCTTATAGTCATGACCACCACTGGCATACATATTTTCCAGGTATGTGTAGAGCTATGTCAAATTACTGAAATGCATCAAATTTAATTTAATTTGTATTTCCAACAAATTGGTATTAACCTAAACAAGTTTTCTGATTACAGCCCTTGTCACTCTGAACATGGATGCCACATTCTGTGTAGCTATGTCATCCAGTTCCCAACCATGAAGGGTATAAAGTTCAGTCTGCTGCAAAACAACCAGCTTTTTCTGTTTTGCCAGAAAATGTGCGACACAGAGCCAAGGAAGTATCAACTACAAACAAAAGCTGTAACAGCTCAGCCAGTGCCGCACGATACAAGATGATAGTAATTGACACGAGATGCCGAGCAAGAAAAAAAAAAAAAAAAAAAAGTACTACATGCTCCCAAACCGAAGAACAACAACAAAAACAAAGGAAGTGGCAAAAGGATGGTTACGAACACTCATACTGCCAGGGCAAAGAGGAACACAAGTGGGACACTGCCAAAGAAGCCACTTGTTCGCCATAAAAATGGCAATAACACATTAAAAAATACCAGGTGCAAGGAACGGAAGATTTGGCCAAACCAGCGAAATATGCCTCTGGGTCAACCTCTAATAAGAGATGGAGCCATGGAAAAACACCCTGGTTCAGAAACTAAGCAAGCAGTGCCTGAAACCAAGATTGAACTAAGGAGACAGTAGGATCACCCTTCCCTCATGGGGAAGGAACCTTAGTAACGTAACCCGTTCAAATATGATGAAAAGCCACAAAACCTGTTAAAAAAAAAAGTGGCAATCACCCGAGCGCCGTCTTGAAGCCCAAGACAGACCTAGGACAAGGTGGCCATCAGGAAGGAATGAATTGGGCCAACCTTGTAATGCAGTAAGTGCGATAACTGCATTACAGGGTAACATAGTCATCATCATATATTGATTTAAACCTTTATTATCTGAGTTTTGTACTGAAGATGCAAATAAGACTAGAATAGCTCATTATGGATATAATGGAGTTGACCTTGACTCACCAAGATATTACTCCTATCATTTCATGGTTATGTTACTATGTGAATGTAATAATAGTCATAATTACACGAGATATATATTAATGATGTTTATATGGTTTTCACAACTCCATATGATTATAATGATGTATACCAGGTAAATTAATCATCAGTTAAACTATTATTGTGTGTCGTGTACTAGGAGCGGCACATTGGTGTCATATGCACTCTATACGTTGAACCAAGCTCTCACAAGTCAAGCCTGGCCCCAGGATGGGCTTGGGGAGTAGAACAACTCTCAGAACCCCATCCAGGTACTCTGGATTGACAGCTAGGAATTCTACCTCTGACTCTCCTGGTTTGGCTTCAGTGGAAGCCAAACCAGTCCCTAATAGTAGCCCCTAATAGTAGGGGCCTCGTAGCCTGGTGGATAGCGCGCAGGACTCGTAATTCTGTGGCGCGGGTTCGATTCCCGCACGAGGCAGAAACAAATGGGCAAAGTTTCTTTCACCCTGAATGCCCCTGTTACCTAGCAGTAAATAGGTACCTGGGAGTTAGTCAGCTGTCACGGGCTGCTTCCTGGGGGTGGAGGCCTGGTCGAGGACCGGGCCGCGGGGACACTAAAGCCCCGAAATCATCTCAAGATAACCTCAAGAAGAAGAAGCCTTGTGGGTTCAGCAGAACCCCAAGTTGCAATTCTTTTGACCATGTCGTGGCCTAGTCGTCTATAGTGTGTGTCTGGGAATACCAAACGCATAGGTTCAAATCCTCATCACAGCTCCTGTGGATTTTCTCATTAAGATTATCATCATCACAATTACCAGTATTATTAAATTTGTACAATTATTTTCAAAGTATTAAAAGCAGATATATATGAAGATAATTTGAAATGTGGTTTAATTCATAAGCTTTTCTAATATCTATTTGATTAATTTGGCAGCACAACCCATGGGAGCTTGCGTCAGTCATTCTCAGGAGACTGGAAGCCCTTACGAAGCTCAAGACGGACCGTACTCTCCCTGATGACCTGCTACATGTACCTAGTCAACAAAGGGAAAAAATCATTTTATAAATGATGAGGGATCGAAGATATAACGATTCATCCCAAGTACGTGTATAATAAAGATCATTACTGAATTGAATACGATTTAAAATGTTTGAGGAAAATTATTAACTTTTGGAAAATTTAAAAAATACCATGTTTAATTTTCCTTTATATATTGCATATGGGTCATGTACTGTACGTTAAATAGTAACAGTGACTCAGTTCCCCGTAAAGTAAAGGACAACTGAAAGGTTCCATCAAAGGTTCCATCATCTTGGAGGTGTGTTTATAAATACTGTACAAGTGTGACATTACACAAACACTGCAACAACAAAAACTGACTAGATTAATCTGAACATGTCGACCAAACAACATCCTGTCTTGTGTGTGTAGTGAAGAATCTGATAAACAAAATTTAATTATTCTCTGGAAGTATTGAAGAATGTTGATGGAATTTGTAAATAGTTAAATAATATTCTCACTGTGTGAAGGAAGGGAATGACAATTCTTGAATGACAAGATTCATGGCAAGTCAACATATACATTAAATCACAAGAAATGGTCAGCCATCCTAAAATGCCTTTATGGCCATAACCCCCAACTGAAATTTTTTTTTTTCTGGGGTAACCCCCAGTGGCTTGATGACACTACCTGGCTGAGAGTGCTCCATGCAAATGGGTCATATCAGATTCAGAGTAAATTTGGACTACCAGCATTCAGAGCCAAAACCTGGCCCTCCTCACAGAGGTGCAGAGAGCGAGGGACAACTTGCCACCACACCAGGAAGCCTCCAGAAAGGCACACAAGCTTTACAGACAACTGGAGGGACACCAAATGCCACCACCAGCTGGCCCAGCTTCCACATGCGGCCATCTTCCTTACCTGCTCATTTGTTGATGTCTAGAGTGACAGAGGCTTACCACGTCGGAAAGACCGGAACACCAACCTGCTCCAGGCTGAGCTCTGGACATCCTTGGACTTGTGCCTGTGGGGGGCCATTTTCTTTATCAGTTCTATATTTTAGTTTTGCTACATGGGGATGGCTTCTTGTGGAGCTTGTCTTTGTTGTGATCTGGGCTGCATGCACTCTGGGTTCCTTCTCAGGGTGCCCGCTAGTACTGCCCCTGCACTGACATTTTCTCTGATGGGAGTTCGCCCCTCAGAGGCCGTGTCAACAGGGCGGAGAGCCTCGCTTGGGGTTATTCACGAGTCTTTTTGACTCCTCTGTTTGAGCCCTTGCCTCGGGCATTCTATTGGTTATGCTGCGGTGCATTGCTGTTCACATGTTTGTTTATACAACATGCTGCAGATGCCATCATAGCCGGGTTGTTTTGGTTGCACTTAGTGTTTGTCTTCTGGCAAGCAGCCTGTGTCTGGGTGTCTTCCTTGGCTAGCTGCCTTCAGGTCCAGGAAATCCTCCCCTTCCCCTTGGTGGGTATTTTGGCCCATTGTTTCAGCCCATTGAACCCTGCACTCACCATGTGAGTGTTTGAATGGTGCTCATCATCATTAATCTCATCATTATGATCATCAGATGACGATCATAATTTTCTGCCTCTGCCAATACTGTCTGTTGTATCTATGACCCCGACTCCTGTGCAATTTGTTCCCTCTGGGTCTCTCCGCATTGATTTAGTTTCCAATGCAGAAGCTTTTCAGGCAGCTTCCGTTTTGAGAATTAAGTTTCCTAGGGCTAGGCTTTTGCAGCAATTTAATTGGCTGCATGCATTGGAGTTGGTCCCTGTGGTGTTCAGGGACCCAGAATTGGAGGAGTTGATCTCGTGGAATAGGTCTGTGGCTCTTCTTCCTTGCCCCGTGGAAGTGATTTGCCCCCACTTCTGGTCTTCCTTCTCTGTACCAGGTGTTGGGCAAGAACTACGGCTCTACCCCGGAGCCATTGTGGAAGGCTGAGGGGGGCCGAGGTAGAGCCTGAGAAATGTCCATGAGTGCCCTTCAACTCTTCTTTGATTCTGGTTCCCTCTACAGAGAGCCTTTTGCTTCAGGAAGATACCATTTCATATCTTCGTATGTGTGATAATGATTGTTCGGTTCCAAGTCCCATTTGGAGGTTTCCGTCTTCTATGTTTTCCCTTTGTTGGCTTGCATGAATTTGTTTTGGTACCTCCTGTGGAATTCAGACTTTTTTTTTCTTTTTTTTTATATATAAGGCCTCTTTTGGGTACAGGTCCATCTCAGTTTATTGGCTATAATTTCATGGGGCATGGCAATAGGTTCTGTCGAATTTGCATGCTCAGTTGGCGGGAGGCGTGTTCTGCCCTTAACACTTTCGCGCTTTAGATTAGAGATAACTCGTCACCGTTTTTTCTTACGATTCCGCATAACAGCCTACTTTTCTCGTCCATCGAAAAAATATTTCTATAAATTCTATTTTTTAACCGAAATGGATGGGGATACTCTCAGATTTTTCTCCATGAAATTCCCGTTCCCGAAACATCAGATGAGCAACTTCAGGATCAGAAGCCTGAAGATGGTGGAGTGAAGAAAAAATGCTCAACTGTTGATCTTCAATCAACATAGACAGGGTAAGTACACCTATTTGGAATTTATCATCATCTATAAGAAGTTATATTATATACCTTTTGTAGAGAATTTATTTGCGAATTTTTGGGTACCAGAATGAATATTATATCACATAAACTTCTATGAGTAAAAAAAAAAAACACAAAGTATGTTTGGGGGTGTGGCGAGCGTGTGGCAGTGGGTTCCCTTTAGCCGTTGATATATCCAACACGTGGGAAATATTTGTATGTGTTATGTATATGTCTGTGTAGGGAATTTTACTGCGATCACTGTCATACAAATTATAAAATGTTTCAACAAGTATAAACATGACAAACATCAAACGAATGAAAACAATGCGTTCGTTTCTGCCGCGAACGCATACTGAGCGACGTGGTTCTATATTTGGCGCTTCTCTTACACATGCTTTGTACAAATGTTATACATTTCATCTTATAGAAAATTTTATTGCGAACACATTGGTATAAAAAAGAAATACGTACATAGAAAAGTAGGGTCAGGAAACGTATAAATGTATAAACTTTCCAAGCATGATTTCCCCCCGTGTTTTCGCCAGTGCGCTCGCGGCTAACTACTCTCCACTTCACACACTCTTGCGGGTGAGCAATTACCTATATTAAACATTCATATGCATATGTCCGTGTAGAGAATTTTATTGCGATTCCAATGATACCAAAATTAGCGATGTAGGACAACTGTAGGCTTCGCAACCATTAAGAGAGTGGAAACATTTTGTTGCTGTTTGGCGCTCTCGGCGAGTGATCTGCATAGTTTTTTATTTGGTGTTGATACTCCTTATGCTTGGGCGGCATTTTATAGGTATGCTCTTATAGACAATTTCATTGCGAACACAGTGATACCAAATTTAAATACGTGCGCCTTCAATTATTGTCAGGACAGTCAAAAGAGTGTACACTTTTTCGGTCTTACCGCATAGGCGCGCGAAGTGCCGAAAGCATCTGGGGTATTGATTTTTTTTGAGCGCCGAGAGCGCGAAAGTGTTAAGCTGTTCTTGAGCGGCACTTTTGCTCTGTTTGGGAATTGTGTTTCCTCCAGCGCTCTGCAAGGATGTGGGCAAGTGGCAGCTACCTGTACTCTTATTGTGGGGATTACCATAAGGCAGTCTTGTAGGCTTGGGTCCTTGTGGAAGGGCTCTCTGGGCAGCTTCATCTGTGGTTCTTGTCTTGGCGAGGAGGAGGAGGATTCTGCTCGCTCCGTGCTCCAGCTTCACCACCAACTGCTCTCCAGTGGTTCATTGTCTGAACGGAGGGGCAAAGGGAAGTCTCTCTAGTCCATTGGCCTGAGGAGCTTAATGCTTCAAGAAGTTTGGCTTTTAGCTTCATGGGGTCAAGTTCTATATTGCGTTTATGTGCATGGTGCCCTCAACACTCTCTTGATTGGTTTTCTTGCTTCTATCTCATTTCTAGTGAACAGTCAATGGACTATCCTTTGAATCTGCAAGCCATTTGTTCACCCTGAAGTGGACCTCTTCATGTTGGCATGGAACCAGCACCTTCCCTTCTATATGGTTCCTTTCCCTCATCATAAGGCTCTTGAAGTGGATGCCTTTCGACTGGACTTGTCGAGGTGGAGCTCCATTTACCTTTTTCACCTGGTTCAGTTGTTGCTCTGGATTCTGTCCATTTTGGAGTCATATTCGAGGAGGATGATCCTTCTGTCTCCTTGGGGCCAGTCTAACCATGAATTGCCCGGCGTCTGAAGCCAGGCAATTTTCTGCGGCACTGCCTCTTTTAACAGATTGGCATAATGATGTACTTTGCTGGTTCAACCTCCTATGCTGTATACATCTGGAGTTTTTGATTTTGTGTGTGTGTGTATCGTCATCTGTACGGTTAGCAGGTGACTGGTTTGTTGGTGTCCTACATGTGTCTCCATGTGGAGGCGGTACAAGATTACTCACCGCTTGTTTTGCCACTCTTCGTCGTCTTTGCCTCATTTTAGTTCTTCTGCTACGAGTTTTGAAAAAAATTAAATGTTTCTTTTGGTCTGTGTGAATTATCAGCAGAGTCATTTAATTTCAAAGTTTAGGTCTTTGTTATCTCTTCAGTTGTCTGTAAACTTTCTCAGACCTGGATGCTTTCCCGGTGTGATGGTGACTTTTGTCAGCTGCTCTCTCTGCCTCTGAGGTGGACCAGGTTCTGACTCTGGTCCCCAGTTGGCAAACCTGAACTCCTGCTTCTGATGTGACCCATTTACATGTAGCAATCTAAACAACATAGCTTCAGAGAGCCACTGGGGCTCATTCAGAAAGAGGCATTTCATTACATTCAATAATGGGTTATTTTTGTAGCTATGTAGTTATTTTTAATATGTACTTACATATTAGGCCTTAATTTATATGTAAATTTACCTTTGAAAACATTTACAGGGTATCTTTTAAGTTTCACAGAACTAAGGTATACTGGGAAAACATTACTCTATACAGTAAACAAGAGTGTACAAAAACCTATTTTACATGGCTATTTTGTGGGGATAAACCCCAATGTTAGTGTGTTTCATCATAAATTTTATTGAAAATGATTGAAAGTGTTTTTGGGGAAAACAATATATTCATGCATGTAAATAATTTATATATATACAGAATATTATATATATTTATACACACATTGCATTGGTGGACAAAATACACAGTTCCCATCCACCAGAAAACATGGTACATAATAGAAATGTGAACAAAATATATATAGTTCAGTGACACCTCGACTTACGATTGTTCCGACTTACGATAATTTTGAGTTACGATCTAAATTTGATCAGAAAATGCAACTCTACTTACGATAGAGTCATCGACTAACGATATTCGTTGATATGCGTTCGGGTCGACCGAGCGCGTGGTTCCTGGTCACGCGGGCAGACCTGCCTCAGTTTACCAGAGCCGCCGGCTTAGTGACAATCACACTTGTAGGAAATTTAATTATTTTGGTGATTTTTTGTTTTTTTGAACATAAAAGTAATTATTATATATCACACTCTGGGTCCCAAGAAAGTCTGTGGTAAGGTTCAACCTAAGAAAACACATGTGAGGATGACCACAGAGGAAAAACAAGATATCATTTGTAAACATGAAAATGGTATGAGAGTTGTTGATGTAGAGGATGTTCCTTCCTCATTTATTATAGAGATGTGAGCAGCAGCATGGCAAGAACTGCAAACTTTTGCTGAAACAACTCACCCAAATCAAGTTGCAGTAGGCTGTTGCCTTAACCTTCTCATTGACGCTGTGATGCATCACTACAGACAAATATTGAACAAAATTTAAAACAGAAAAAAATGTCTAAAAGGTTCATTCAGTGAATGTCAGGCTCCATTATCTATAAAAAAAAACAAAATTAATAAAAAAAATTTAAAAATTAAAAAAAAAAATATCTAAAATGGTTCGTTCAGTAGATGTCATTTTCTATAAAAAATAATAAAAAAAAAATAAAAAAAATTGAAAAAAGAAAAACAATCAGTGGCTGATGTTATAATGGAAGGGAACTCTCCTTCCAAACACTAACACCTCTCCTCCTCCTCCTCACAGTCTTCCATACAACAACAAGAGTCCAAGAGTCATCAATAAAGACGAGCAATAACGTGTACATACTTTACTACTAAACATTTGGCTGAATTACGTATAAAATTTACTTTGAAATTAATTTTTTGGGGAGTGTGGCACAGATTAATTCAATTCCCATTTTTGTTATGGGAAAATTCATTTCGATTTACTATATTTTGACTTACGATATTTTGATATTTGATATTTTGACTTGCTTACGATTTGACTGGGAACAGATTACCATCGTAAGTTGAGGCCCCACTGTACTAGCTGTAAATGCATGAAGAATGCATATTGCTGAGATTTCTTTTTTATCACATGATCCTGTAACATGGAGAGCATCATACGAGGTGTTTAATACGGGTTTGTATGGACCAAAAGCATACTGGAATGATTAGTTACATAAGGCACATTTATGATATTTAGTGTAAAATCTTTCTTATTGCTAGACATATAAGAGAAACTAAATTAAGACAATTTGGTAATTTCAAAGAGAAGAGTGTGTGTGTTTCATCGCTTTAAAGTGTTTTATTAATAAATTAGATTTATAAAGTGTGTTATTGATAACAAATTATAGGAATAATCAATTTCTACCTATTTTCCCTCATCCAAAGTTTCAATCACATTCATGTTGTTTATCATCATTGCAGTTTCGGGAAGAGCCCTTTGGGAGGCCCAGAGCCGTGGGAGGCGGTGTAGCCAAGCCTTAGGAATCACACGAGGGCTTTGACGCCCACATTGGCCTACCCAGATCCAGGACAAGGATATGGCTCTCACTCTGAGGCAAGGAACACATCCCATCCACCTGGGCTCTAGGAGACTCCAACTGTCGACCCCACGTGTGTGAGGCCCAAGCTCTATCCATCGAGCTGTTGAACAGTCTCTTAAGGAACACTAAACTATTTTTCTACTACATGGAAAAAGACCTGTACAAATTATAAACTATATGAACTGTATATTAGTAGCTACCAATAAACATTCATAAACTATGTACCACCCTTTTGGCAACCTTCCTATGAGAGACTAGATAGTAAATATTGTACATTACTCACTGGGCATTTATAGTCAGGTCATCTCTGACGTATGACACTCCTCTTTGTGGCTGAGTAATACTTACAGTGGCTACCGACACTTCCTCAGTCAGCTGTTTTGTGATCCAACTCGAGCAGTGTAAAATCTAGTATTGATTATCTATTTTTTTTTAGTACAAAAATTAATTGTGGTTAGGTTAGGTTAGGAGAAAAAGTTGCACATCCAGGCCAAGAGAAAAGCCTTAACATAGCAAATGAAAGTGGGCATAATAAGGCACTCGTTGAAAGAAGAAATATTAACTCTGATTTTACATATGTACAGAATATGCCACTCAATAATCAGTACGTATCAAAGATGAAACTAGAATTTAAAAACGTGAAGAGTTCAGCATTAACGACCACAACCATAGTGCAGTGTTATTTCTGACACGTAAAAGCTACGGATATCTTTAACCATCTCTGTCTTCATTAACCCTTTGACTGTGTATCACATCAGGTGATGGGGTGGCTAAATATGCTCAACCTGTACATCCCATCAGGTGAAGCATCAGGGGTACTGCGTAAGATTTAAAAAATCCTGCACATACACAGGGGCTCACATTTACTTCCTTAGGTCTCCATTAACCATCCTCCATCTTGAACAAAATCCTAAGCTCCTCACTTTCCTTCTAGGGCCTTAGCTCTAGCAATCAAAATAAATAAGACTGGTCCTTTATTCAATATATTTCAAAACCTGCTAGGAATACACCAAATTTGTATCCTTATCAGTAATTACCTAAGTGTAGTTACAGGATGAGAGCTACGCTCGTGGTGTCCCGTCTTCCCAGCACTCTTTGTCATATAACACTTTGAAACTACTGACGGTCTTGGCCTCCTCCACCACCTTCTCACCTAACTTGTTCCAATCGTCTACCACTCTGTTTGCGAAAGTGAATTTTCTTATATTTCTTCGGCATCTGTGTTTAGCTAGTTTATATCTATGACCTCTTGTTCTTAAAGTTCCAGGTCTCAGGAAATCTTCCCTATCGATTTTATCAATTCCTGTTACTATTTTATATGTAGTGATCATATCTCCTCTTTTTCTTCTGTCTTCCAGTTTTGGCATATTTAATGCCTCTAACCTCTCCTCGTAGCTCTTGTGTACAATGTACACATGAAGAGATCTAGTATCTTTATGCACTGCCTCCTAGCCATTTATACCTGGCATACTAATTACTTCTCTCAACTTGAGAGGATTTCCTTACATAGCATCTTCTACCCCCCCCCTCCCTATTTCACTGATTTATTATGCACCCCATACCCATCCCGTGGGCGGTGGTCTCCGTGACTCAATTAGTTGTCCAGCTTTGAGAACCTATCTTCTATTTATTGCGCTGCATCTATGGAAAGTCACATTCCACGTTTCTTGCTAACAAATGACGAACAATTGGGAATGCTTCCCTGTCATCAGCTGGGCACTTCCTGTACTTTATAAAATTATGAAATGAAAATGTTCAAGAACAACAACAACAATGTTTAAACACTAACAGACTTCAGGTATTTCTTTTGTGTATAGTACTTTGATAGAAAAGAATTCCTGAGACTTGGAACTTCAAGAACAAGAGGTCATAGATTTAAATTAACTAAACAAAGCTGCTGAGGGAATATAAAAAATTCACTTTCGCAGAGTGGTAGACGGTTGGAACAAGTTAGGTGAGAAGGTGGTGGAGGCCAAGACCGTCAGTAGTTTCAAAGCGTTATATGACAAAGAGTGCTGGGAAGACGGGACACCACGAGCGTAGCTCTCATCCTGTAACTACACTTAGGTAATTACACCCTACAATGTGGACATTACATAAAGAAGATGGCTTGTTTGGACACTCATCACAGTACTACCTACTGTACTGTGTTGTGGACATTACATAAAGAAGATGGCTTGTTTGGACACTCATCACAGTACTACCTACTGTACTGTGTTGTGGACATTACATAAAGAAGATGGCGTGTTTGGACACTCATCACAGTACTACCTACTGTACTGTGTTGGGGACATTACATAAAGAAGATGGCTTGTTTGGACACTCATCACAGTACTACCTACTGTACTGTGTCAAAGGTGACTTTGATGTGTGTTTCAACACTTCATAACAACAGTCAGTAAAGTAATTATGATAAAAAATGTTCTACTGGTAGAGATTCAAGTTGAACTAAACCAAGTTGTATGATAATGCCATTTGACAAACATTGATTCTAACAGCAAATTAGTTAAAGTATTTTGTAACTAATTACTGTGTTTTCCAGCATATAAGATGCACCTAATATGGATATTTTGTGGATTTCTTTTTTTTTTTTTTAGTATATTTCATCATTCATTTATAAAAAGTGATTTTGTGTATGTAAATACCATATACATATTCGGTGGTGGACCAAAAACATGCGTCCAATCTGCCAACAAATACGGAAATTATATGTTGTACAATACAGTATAAGTGTATACTTTTCAGTGGTGTTATAATTGAATGTGTTTAGTGCGAGAGAATGAGAGTGTGACACAGAGGACAATGAGCTCTCATGGTCATATCTTGCTCCAGTGCAGAATGCTTGCACGCTGGACACGTCCAAACAGCAGTCACGTCCATGATGGGTCGTCCCGTTACAATGCATGTTGCAAAGCGTGTGTTGCAACTTGGGCAAACACTCACCCTGAAAGATAGGCGGCACGCGATTAATCCAAGTTGCGTAATCTCGGGTTCTTTGATCACCCATTTGTAATACAAAATTTAGGTCAGACCACCATTAATATTAATTAAAATATGACTGAGAAGCACATAAGAATGATTAAAAATGTTTCTAACTACCTATTTAACCACCAGAGTATGGACATTGTCATGATTGATTGTTGAAATGCAATATAGTCGTCATCATATAAAGATTTATGTTTTGTGTCAATTTTGAATAACGATGTTGTCCATATGCAGTCTGTCCACACATACAAAGATCCAAGTTCGTTTATCCAGCTGCCGAACCCCCCTGTTTATAAATGAAAAGCGGTTTATACACGAATTACAACTGATGACGTCCGAACACTACCAGAACAAGTACTGTACTTCGCTCACATCCTCTGTTCAAACCACAATTCTATAAATGCTTCACTCACGTACTACAAATACAAATAATCGCCAACAAAATAATCGTGATTTCTCCGTGGTGTCTCCGCAGTCTCCGTGGTGTAGTGGTAAGACACTCGCCTGGCGTTCCGCGAGCGCTATGTCATGGGTTCGTATCCTGGCCGGGGAGGATTTACTGGGCGCAAATCCTTAACTGTAGCCTCTGTTTAACGCAACAGTAAAATGTGTACTTGGATGAAAAAACGATTCATCACGGCAGGGGATCGTATTCCAGGGACCATAGGATTAAGGACTTGCCCGAAACGCTACGCGTACTAGTGGCTCTACAAGAATGTAACAACTCTTGTATATATCTCAAAAAAAAAAAAAAAAAAAAAAAAAAAAAAAAAAAAAAAAAAAAAAAAAAAAAAAAAAACCTAAACACCTAACTTAACCTATATATAGAATTTTTATGTATAATAATATTAATTGATAGATGAGAACAAACCAATTTTTAAAACACAGTACAAGTATGTTAAAACTGATGAATGCATCCGGGGATGACGGTCACTGCTTTAAACAGCCTAGTGCGAGGACGGGTTGCCATATGATTCCGATATGTTAATGATATCTCCCAGTAGTCATGGGAGGTCACAAAATAACTTGTAGTCATAGACTTCAGCTCCTGGGCCTCTATCATATGACCATTGTAACACTTGCCTAAATCAACAAAGATCTTCACTGTATACATTAATTTTGGTGTACTTTTTATTTTTGTGAACTTTTGAATATATTTCATGTGAGAAATAATTGGCCAAAACTTTTACTTATGGTAAGGGGAGTTGAATAATACTTGTGATATGTAAGACTTTCTGATAGAGGCCGTTCCACCTGACCATCTATTTATCAAGTATTTACGTTGCATTTTGTACACCATTTCTTTATTAGTGATTTGAAATTCTGGTCTTGTGTTATACCTCCAGCAATGAAATTCTAAAAATCAAGTTTTGAGGTATACAAAAAAAAAAAGATCATTCGGTTGGTTATTAGAGCATGTAGCATGATTCACTGTGCCTTAGGACTCGATCATGCATGTCAACATGTTTGTATAGTGCCACAGGAACTCTCCAACCTCTCCTTAAAGGATCTTGTGGGCAGTACTCACCGCTACAGAGAGGCTGGTGAGTGGATTTGGGTGTACTGCTGACTAACTGCTAAAGGTGCCACTCACTCTTTGTCATCATAGGGAAATTGTGGCCTATGAGAAAATCTACTTGGGCCATGAGCAATTGCTCCTGCACTTGCAATAGCCCATGTTGAATTACCCAAAGAGCTGACAATAAGACACTGAACAAATCCAACAGGAGCTGTGATGAGGGTTCAAACCTATGGCTGGGTGTTCCCAGGCGCACTCTAGTCAACTGTACCACCACATTGTTAAGCTAAAGCGCGCCTGGGAACACCCAGCACACAGGTTCCAACCCTCATCAAGGCTTCTGTGGATCTGTTCGTTGATATATCACGTTAATGTGATTTCTCAGTGTATACAAGACACCGACATGCCAGTGGCCGAGATAATGATGCAAATAATAATCTCTTCCACTCTAATAATAATCTTTCCACATGTCGAAATCTTGCGTCAAGTCGTCGTCGTCCTGCCTAAACGAATGTTCACTGGAGGGCATAGAATGCCAGGGGTTCTTAAATCAATGTTTATAGTGATGCAAGGCTGTGAAGCAGCTCTACCCTTGAGATGGTGTCAAGAATCATTAAGTGAATAATAGAGTTGTAGAGCAAGGCATATGTGAGAATAGTATGGGGAAAAGGGTTTGATTGAAAGCATGTATAATTTAACCTAATTTATTAAAGTAAATTAACACTATTACACATAGGTACTTTACGTTAACAGAGAGTATCACGGCCACAAAAGTTAAACAAACGTGGAACTTGCTTCCCGCCAATTGTTAGGCCAACAGAGTCAACTATTTGAACATTGTTGATTCTCTCTCATTAACCAGTCCGTCCTCCTAAGGTTTCCCAACGTCAAGAAAACGGTCAATTTAAAGTCTCCTCTCCTAACCTACCAGAGGACCCAAAACAGAAAACGGAACGGTACGTCACTCTTGCGAGCCGCTTCCATTTTCTAGTAGGACAATTTTTGGCCTTGTATAAAGCATACGAGAAAAAACCGACGTTCTCTGTAGGTGGACAAACACTGACAAACACAAGGGCATACAACAACATACTTAGAACACTTCTGTCAGTTGGAATCCCTGCACCACAGTGATGATAATATCTCTTAAAGTGGATTATCATCAAAGTACACAACAATGACATAACAATGAAAGAGAATACACAATAACATATGACAATAATATACACTGTAATCACTGAGAAGATCAATAGGAGTCATGAGGATTCGAACCCATTCACTTGGTACTGCCAAGGAAATGCCCTAGATCACTACACCATGACCATGGTAAAAGCAATGGAACCTGGGATTCCACTGAATTCTCTAGGGGTCCTGAGGCTTCCAAATAATTATAGCCCAATCAGGGGTTCACGCATTGCCCCCCTTCCCCTTGCACGAAATTAAGCTGAGGCTAGAACCTCAGATGACATGGGCTGCCATCTGGAGGCAGTTAGAGCCATCAGAATTAAACAGAGTATTTACCCCAATGCAATGATTATTTGCAGTGTTTTCCTTAGGATACCTAGGGAAAATTTCCTTCAAGCAGTCTCTTGTTTAATTGTGTTTGTGATTTCTGGTGGATGTTCTCTAGTGTTGGGGTTTATCTGATGAGAACCCAGGCCCAGACTTTGGTCTGGGTTGGTATCCTGGCCGGGGAGGACTGACTGGGTGCCAGTCCTTAACTGTAGCCTCTGTTCACCCAGCAGTGAATGGGTGCCTGCTGATTGTTAAACCATTTGGTGGGTCATATTCCAGGGATAATTAGGATTAAGGACCTGCCTGAAACTATGTATTCACCTAGTTGTATTTCACCTAATGCTTGTGGTGGTTGAGCTCTGCCCTTTTGTCCTGCCTTTCAACTGTCAATTAATAACTTTTTTACACACACACACACACACACACATCCAGGAAGCAGCCCGTAGCAGCTGTCTAACTCCCAAGTACCTATTTACTCCTAGGTAACAGGGGCATCAGGATGAAAGAAACTCTGCCCATTTGTTTTCCACCTCGACCGGGGATCAAACTCAGAACCTCAGGACTATGCATCTGAAGCGCTGTCCACTCAGCTGTCAGGCCATGATAATGTGTGCTAGTGGCTGTACAAGAATGTAAGATTTCTTGTACATTGTATCTAAATAAATTAAAAAAAAAATATCTGATGTCTTGCTTTCTCCACCTTGTAGCGTGCCAGAACCTGGTCCTGCCTCCTGGAAGGCAACAGGTGGGCCTTGGAGGCCTAGTATGTTAAGGCTTGGTAGTGCCAGAGCTAAGCTAAGGGAACTATTGAGGGGGTCCCTCCCAGGAATTATCCATAGGAGTTAAAGTACTGTTTAGTAAAAAATTAATACACTGAAAAGAACTCACCAGTCTGGTATCATTGTTTCGCAGCTAGTGCACTCGGCTCGATTGCTACGAGAATCTTTTGGACTGTACTTCATGAAAATGTTCATTGCCAGGTCCTCGTATGCCTCCTTCTTTTCCGGAGATATCTGTAATTATGTAAAAATAATTTTGTTTATCAAAACCCCTGCGTTGAATGTAAGGAAATGCCTCTATCTGGAGGATCCCTTGTGGCTCTCAAGCTATCCTGCTGAGATTGCTCCGTACTAAAAGGTGACATCAATCGCAGAAGTTCTATTTGGCCTCCTCACAGAGGCGCAGAGCGAGTGACAATTCATCATCCCATCGGGATGGTGAATTGTCATCCTGGCATCCAGAAAATCAGTGAAGCTTTACAGACAACTGCTGGATTCAAAGAAAACAAAGCCTCAAAACCGCCAAACAACTCTGCAAAGGATTCACACAGAACAAGAGTTTAACTCAATCTAGCTCGAAACTTGCAAATGCTGATTGCCACTACCTGGCAGCCCATTACCTTCCCAAAGCCAGTTACCCCACCTGGTCAGTTCTGCACTGGTGAACAACCCTCTGGTGAACACTGAGGCAGGGCAGGAATCAGGGAGCCACTGGTGAACACTGAGGCAGGGCAGGAATCAGGGAGCCACTGGTGAACACTGAGGCAGGGCAGGAATCAGGGAGCCACTGGTGAACACTGAGGCAGGGCAGGAATCAGGGAGCCACTGGTGAACACTGAGGCAGGGCAGGAATCAGGGAGCCACTGGTGAACACTGAGGCAGGGCAGGAATCAGGGAGCCACTGGTGAACACTGAGGCAGGGCAGGAATCAGGGAGCCACTCGTGAACACTGTGCACTAGTCAGAGCGAGGCTGCCTCCACAGGAGGACGACAACCACCTCAACTCACCAGGGAAGGTAACCCCTAGCTGGTCGTAGCCTTACCTTGAGGTGCTTCTGGGGCTTAGCGTCCCCACGGCCCGGTCGTCGACCAGGCCTCCTAAAGTCAACACCAGCAAGCACCCAGTAAAGTTAACTCTAGACATGTGCAGTTCAGGGTGTACAGGTAAGAACCTACACAAGAAGTCACGCATAGAAGTTGTCAGGCCTCCAGTTGATTGACAGTTGAGAGGCGGGACCAACGAGACAAAGCTCAGTCCTTGCAAGCACAATTAGGTGAGTAGAGAAACATGTGAAGCAAATACTGTACTAAAATAAAGAATGAGGACACAAGCAATTGGGACACTGCAAGACGGAGTCTAAACAATGGCTTTCACTCATCAGAAAACTGGGACTTGTGGGTGCTAGCAGAATAATGAGTGGGAGAGGCAATGTGTTGACATATCATACCAGGCTTAATGACTGACAATATGGCCAGGTGTATCTAGTGGTTGGGTGTGTGGCCACCAGGTGGCATGCAGCTGCTACTAGTGGGTAAACCCCCTCATGACTGTGTGGATAATTGTGTGGTCTTGTTTTCTGCATTATGTTTACCTTGCTATTGCCTATTTTAGCCTTTTCTTAGTCTGAGCCATCTCATATAATCAGCTTCCTGTGCCTCAATAGAGGGAGCCAGGTTTTCACCTATGGTCCCCAGTAGGCTTACAATGACTCACAAAGGCCTGGCGTAGATTTAATTTGGTGGAGCGATCCAGGTAGCTAGCAACAGAGAGCCACCAGAGGAGCCCTCCCAAATAAACATGTTTCTAAGTCCACATTACCTCCGTTAGAGCCTCCAACTTTATAAAAGCTCGGGAACATGTTGCAAATGCTCTATTAGCACACGAGGCCAAACCCAGAAGGGCATAGATGTCTTCTGGATCAACGAGTCCCTCATATTCTCTCAAATGTAGGCATGTCTTCATGGCGGCATCAACGTAACCTACAGAGGATACAAAAACATTTTGTAAATGAAAGATTTGGACAAGTATGCAGCCAATGAGTCACAATAGTGTGGCTGCAGATATGATGACCAAACCACACACCAGAAGTAGACGACCACGTTTCGGTCCGTCCTGGACCATCAGCGAGTCGACTGTGATAAGTCAAGAAAATCGACTTGATAATGGTCCAGGACAGACCGAAACGTCGTCGTCTACTTTTGTAATCCTTTTTTTGTGCTACTGTTCACAGCATAAAGTATGTAGTGCACAGTAAACTACCACTCACAGGATGAGTATGGGGTGCACAGTAAACTATCACTCACAGGATGAGTATGGGGTGCACAGTAAACTATCACTCACAGGATGAGTATGGGGTGCACAGTAAACTATCACTCACAGGATGAGTATGGGGTGCACAGTAAACTATCACTCACAGGATGAGTATGTAGTGCACAGTAAACTATCACTGACAGGATGAGTATGGTGTGCACAGTAAACTATCACTGACAGGATGAGTATGGTGTGCACAGTAAACTATCACTGACAGGATGAGTATGAGGTGCACAGTAAACTATCACTGACAGGATGAGTATGAGGTGCACAGTAAACCTAAGATGGCAATAATCAACGATGATGACCATTAATATAATGTTTGAATTTTCAATAACGAACCAACTTTGTGACGAAGGGGTTGCAAAACACTTCAAGTACTCCTGCAAGTGCTGTATATTGCTATACACGAGTCGGAGAGGAGTTGAGGATAATGCTACAGTAATAATGACAGATAAGAATACCATAGAAATACTGAATAATCTTAAAAACTGGCCTTCATATAGCTGTCGTTGAGCTAAGAGGAAGAAGTGATAAGCTTCTGCTCCTTTCCAGGGATTGTCCAGCATGTTGGCCTGAGTGTTGCCTCCCTGGAGGTCGGCAGGAAGTGCGCTTCCTTCGTCAAAGAGACCCATTAAGGCTGCACTTCGACTCCCACTCGCTGAAAGATATGCTTGGTTTCAATTTCAGGGAATGAACATACAGTAATTATTGTTGACCAGACCACACACTAGACGGTGAAGGGACGACGACGTTTCGGTCCGTCCTGGACTATTCTCAAGTCATTCTGAATCGACTTGAGAATGGTCCAGGACGGACCGAAACGTCGTCATCCCTTCACCTTCTAGTGTGTGGTCTGGTCAACATACTTTAGCCACGTTATTGTGACTCATCGCCTGCATACAGTAATTATTCACACAATATACTTACAAATTCAAACTGTGAATTTGTTTATAAAACACGTCACAGTAAATCGTGTAGTATCTCCATCAACATGAGGTATAACCTTCCTGTGCTAGTGAGCCACTAAGAGAAAACATTTAGAGTAATAACAATGGAGCATGGAAATCATATAATGAGAGACAGAGAGGAATGAAATAACTGGTATATAAAGTCTAGCGTTTCTTATTAATCTAAATGTTTTCTCTTAAAGTATCAGTTTGCTTTATTTGTGTTAATTTTTATGTTTCATTTGTCAGTGTTTCTAAGTACAGATGTTGAATTGTGTATTTGTAAATGTTTATGCCTCGTGTGTGTGCAAAGTTTTTCCTGCACGTTTTGTGGGGGTAGTGTCCCTGCACCCCCACGAGGACAGAGAGGATCCTGACTTGGAGTCAGGATGTGTGTCGGCTGTGCTCGTGTACCTGCTTGATATGGTTCCGGGAGTTCTTCTACTCCCCAAGCCCGGCCTTGACTTGTGAGAGCTTGGTCCAACAGGCTGTTGCTTGGAGCGGCCTGCAGACCCACATATCCACCACACCCTGGGTGGTCTGGTACTTCTTGAAGAAAACTATTTAGTTTTCTCTTGAAGATGTCCACGGTTGTTCCCACAATATTTCTTATACTAGCCCGGGGTGTGGCGCCCACACCCCGGGTTAGTACAGTCGTACAGTGTAGTACAGTAGTCAATACAGTCGTACAGTTGTTGGGGGTTTACCTCCGGTGAGCAACCGTAATCAGCAATAATCCTGGCAAGGTCGCCAATGTTGGGTTAATGGTATAATATTTCCACTCTCTGGTGGTGAGCAACAGTTATCTCAAGGTCACTCACCGTAGCCCTGCGGGTCTTCACTCTAATCCTCTCGGCGCCACTGCACGCCAGGAGAGTATCCCAGTCAATCCCAACCGGCCTCTGATTGAGAAGGAGTGGGAACACACTTCTTGTTCACTGAACTGTTGTGTGGCCCGCCCCAACAATAGGGCTTTACTATTAACCACAAGGTCGCCAACTGGTGTTTTCGGTGTCCAGTAACACGTCAGTGGACTGGTTGAATTAGTGGTAGCCTTGGCAAGGTCACACTCAATATATCAGGAATCAGGCAGGTACTTACTTTTATCACTCTTTGCTTTCCAGTATAATATAGCCACAAGATAAATGGAGGGGATGATATAAACACAAAAGTATTTTGTATTTTACTTAAAATTCATGAAAGATGTCACAAGGTCATCACAATAAGTAATCAGCTGATCCAGGTGGGAGTCGGTCGTTCCCATGTATATTATACACTCACCACGGTGGCAACACTTCCCCCTCTCGTCAATGTCACGATCAGCTGAGCGCCCCCTTCCGCGCGAAAGTTTTTATTGCTTGTTTCTCTAGCGGCACGCGCGCTGTTTCTTTAAGTTCTCAAAGATCACTAGAAGCTCGCACACTCGATATTTGCAACAATAGCACGTATTACTTCGCTACACTGTTCTCGGGCTTAAACAATCGTTTCTATAATAAATGCAACAATAATTCACTGTAACGGTTTTACACTGCCCTTCATTCAATGATATCTTATGAAGTATTTAACCCTGGAGTTCTCAGTACTTCCTTTCGTGTGCGATAACACAATAAATCACTGCACTCGCAAATGGTTATTCAATGCACGAACATAGACATATATAATATAGATAAATCAGGCATCAATAAATGGTAAATAAATAGTTACTGGGCACATAGCCTAACTTCCAAATACTGGCATAATATTATATATAATTTCTCACTATATGTTCACATTAAAGTCTCCTGTAAGATATACAAAACACAGTAAATTTATCACTTGTTCCGGGTGCCTGTACACACCAATAATAAACATGAATATTATAAGTACTCTTGATAGTACTATTCCGCACACTGGTGCCTTACTGTGACATGGGTGAGACTTGCTCACGACATATAAAATCCTCAGGCTAGATAATATAGCCGAATAGTATAGCTGACTAAAGGGGAATGGGGAGGGAAACTAGAAACACCTACAGTACTTCCACCTATCCTCCGATGAGAGTTGAGTTGTAGCTCCTGGTCCTGGTGTCGGGAACACCCCCACACACACACGTCGTCGTGTCCTCCAGGAACTACTCGCCGTCCCACCGTTTAGCGCGTCGTCTCCGTGCCTTCTTCCCTGCAGGTCCGTGCTCCTCCTCGACTTCTTGTAGGGTTGGAGTCGGTCTCCTGGCCGTTGACTTCTCCCAGCAACGGCTGCCGCCTACTTCTCGGCGGCAGTCGTCCGGATTCCCAACTAGTCCTCTTCTTCCTCTGCTACCCAGTGGCTCTGGTCAGCCACTACGCCGTCACGACTGGGTGAACTGCTTCAGACGTCGCCTACGTCACTGCACAGACTTCACTTCTTCTTGCACAGTACCTGACTTGGAGCACTTGTTGCTCAATAACCGTCGATTCCCTCTCTGGTTCAACACATGAACTAAGGAAGACTTCACAGAGTACTGGCAGACTTCAGGTGACGCGTAAATCCACGGGAGCGGGAAACAACTGTCAAACTGACAGGACCAATCGTCGCACGTCCAACCTCCTTGACGTGTCGTGTCTGACTGATGGCGCCAACGCGGCGCGCTGCCCGGACCCCCCTTCCTTCGTGACGTCACTTTTGCCACGGGGGGTTTTCATTGGCTCCCTGTGCCACATTGCTGTCGGTGACCAATCCGGTGTCACTGACGTCACACAGTTTTGGCGGGGAAACAGGAGAGCCAGCGCCATCTTGGCTTCCTAAAGGGCCTAAACCACAGGCCAAAATATTATTGTTTCACAAATTTCTCGTCTCTCCGAGAACACTCCACTTTCCCACATATATCAAATTGATGCCTGCGACGTAGAGAACGCTTGGGTAAAGTGGACATGACTCTTACTGCAGGCGTGGGAGAAATATAAGGGGGGGAACACCGTCACACAGTGTAGTACAGTAGTCAATCTGGTGAGTGAGAAATTATTTCATGTTGAATTATGACCCATTCACCCGTGTCTTTTAATAAGTGTAATGCATGCACACTGTTAGTTTAAGTCCCGTGAATTACAAATAATTGTACCATTGAGCGTTTCCTCTTGTGTTAGAGGCGTATCTTTATAATTTACATTTGCTCGGCATTCCTAATTTTTAATATCGTACATGTACTGTAAAGAAGTGAGGAGGTTTTGTTTATTTTTATTATTGCACGTATGTGCTGTATAAGCTATTCCCCCTCGTTACAGTGTGTTAACATCCCAGCAATGACTTGTTGCCTCATTACATGCATGCAGGACACAAAACTGGAGGTTCTTTTACCTACAGGATTATAAACCCGTGGAACCGCCTACCCGCCAAAGCCGTAAATGCAAAATCTCTGTTGGGTTTTAAAATTCAGCTGGAAAAGATCATCAGGGCAAATGGGGGGACCTTTGACAAGCTGCGGGCTTCCTGTCCTTATCGAGGCCACTAGCATTAGTGGCCTCGATAAGCCACTCTGAGGGCCACTAGTATTAGTGGCCCTCAGGTAAATTCAGGTAAATGTTCATCATTTAATTCAGGCAGTTGTTTGTTTTCTTGCACTTTTGCTTTATGATGTTCACTTTTTCTAGGCCTTGAGTTGACCTGTGATCTGCAAGCTCCCCTCGTGGAGGCAGCCAGGTCCTGTCCTTCAGTAGGCTCAGGAGTCAGATGGCCCTCAGAGGTCTAGCGTGATTCCCTTAGGATTGACAGCCCCAGAAATTTACCCGATTTACCCGAGGGCCACTAAAACTAGTGGCCTCGATGAAGACAGGAAGCCGGCAGCTTGTTGAAGGTCCCTCATTTGCTTTGATCTTTTCCAGATATATTTTAAAACTCAACAAGTTTTGGTAGTTACGGTTTCGGAGGGTAGGTGGTCCCTGTGGGTGAAAAAGCATCTCCTGCTCCACCTGAAATATAGCTCACGGAGCTAATGAATTGTCCACTAGAAAAGACCATTTAATTATGTTCACTGTTTGATTACATTTTTGTACTAAACTGCCTCTCTCCATCAACAGGATGCTCAGAGAAGAACAAGTCTGATGCATCACCTGAAAACAAAATGTATTATAGAGGAGAAAGCTTACAACTCCTCAGAGTAGGTGTCTGTGGTGGGATATTGGGAAATGCAAGTTGCTCCCAGGGTAGATACTCTGCTCTGGCCCTAGTTGGAGTGACACGGAATGCTCGGGCACAAACAATGTGACCACCATACACACAATCATGAAGTACTAAATGAAACAAAGCAACGCCCCACAAGAAAACAATCATTCCAGAGGAAGTCAACACAATTTAGCTGAAAAAAAGAAGAGGCAGTTGACAGGCCCCACAAAGGCAGAAGTGGAGCGTGTGGCCATAAACAGAAGAATGAGGAAGTGGGCTGGTTGGTGCCACGGGTGACCTGCCTGCCATCTAGTGGCGGTCTTGTCACAATTAAGGTATTTATCATAGCAATGATCATTTGCCATGCTTTCTAGGTCTGCCTAATACTGTATCCTGAAAGCAGCCATTTGTTTTGCTGTGAATATGCTTTTTTTTTGTATTTTGTTGTTTCTGAGTGTTTCTCTGACCCCAAAGCTTTCCTGACCTCAGAACGAGCTTGATTCTTGTCTTGGAATCTAGTAGGAAATGAAGTGACCACAGAGGCCTGGTGTGAAGAGCTAAGACATGATGAAGATCCCTGAACAGGCTGAGGAAGCTATCGAGAGATCCCGCCAATAAAACACTAATTAATATTTGTATCAATCTTACCTTCTTTCATAGTTTGTTTCATTCTTGAATTGTGTTCCTGAACCAGCTGGGCAGCAAGCAGATACAGTTTCTTTACACGTAATGGACGGGCTTTCTTCTTTCCTTCTTCCTCCGCAATCTAAATATGACAATCACAGTTTATACAAGGTTTATTGATAAATATCAAGCATTGAATGATTTTTTTATTTTATTTATATATACAGTACAAGAGTTCTTACATTCTTGTCAAGCCACTAGCGCGCACAGCGTTTCGAACAGGTCCTTAATCCAAATTTTTCCCTGGAATATGACCTGCCAAATTGCTTGAAGTGGCAGTTCAGGTAATTTAGGGGAATGTCTAGCCTGCCTGACCACCTCACGTGTGAGCCTCTCCTAAAATTCATCCAGTCCCCCATGGGAAAGAAGGGGTGGCTATGGGGAACGTCTGAGACTGTCAGAAATGGGAGTGTCATTACATTCAAAGCTTGATTTCTGGGCCGGCCCTCAGTTGTTCCTCGGTGCATATTCCCAATGGTGCCTCAGAGAGAAAAGTGCCTTTGGTCAGAAAGAAAGAAGTAGATTAATAAAGGAACAAAAATGTAGCAGCTAACCCATGGGGTGACAAGGCTAGAAATCCACGTCTTGGATGAGAGGAGTAACTTGGTGACGATGAAGAACATTCACCAGGTAACAAGCAGCCATGCCCGAATGTCAGCCCAAGACATGTTCCCAAACACAGCAGCAAGAACTGTGAACTTCCGATCATCATGGGCGTGAAGGTAGACCGCAGGTTGGTTAGACTGGATAACCCTGAGGACGACCCGAGAGATCCGAGCCCTGGAACAGTGAACGAGGGATACCGGATCAACCCACAGTGCGTCCCCGGACACAGAAGCCGAGGTGCGCAGGTAACAACGTAAAGCAGCAACCAGTCACATCACATGATGCACCCCCGGCCTGACCAACCAAGCATCAATAACCCACGGACCCCACCGGAAGCCCGAAGTCTCATTCTTTGCCAGAAAAGAAAGAGACGGCTGTAAGCGAACAAAACGTCCACCAGGACCAAAAGAGCAAAGCCCCTACACCCGAGGAGAGCATGAAGCTCCCCGACCCCACCCCCAGAGGCCAAAGCCAACAAAAACAACGACTTCTGAAAGCAGTCTTGGACCGAAGGGGCCACCACAAACCGAGAAGAAGAGGGAAAGGAAAGCACCCGGTGAAAAGAACCAGCATGGTTCAGGCAGCGCATGAGCAGGCCGGAGGTGGAAAAACACATGAAAAAGCTTACGAAACAGAGTAGAAGTGATATCCATCCCCAATGCAAGCTGTGAACAAACCGGAGACAAAAACCTATGAGCCAGGGCCCAAGCAGAACCAACAGAGAGCACGAGGACGGCCTGCCATCACGCGAGGCGAGAGGCATAAAACAGACACACACTGCCTCCAGGAGGATAGGTGCACACAGTTTAAACAACGCCGCCGAGGTCAACGCGGCAGACCACAGCCTGGCACTTGACGCCTCAACATCCTCCACAAGCCAATCCAAAGAGAGCTCGAAAAGGGAAAAAGAAGCGAAGGACTGAGGCCAAATGCCAACGAGCATAAAGATCCTTGGCAACCAAAGAAGCTGAAATGGAAGGGACCTGGACATACAACTGGAGCACACCAACCTCATGAGGAAGCACAGGGGCGTTCAAGTACGCATTAAGATGCTTAAAGGCTAAGTAAACCTGCAACACCATAGTGAGCTCTCACCACTCAAGCATGCGGGTATGACAGAACTCATGCCATGCCCCCAGCAAAAAGAAAGAGCAGTCTGCAAGCCAAGAAGACACAGGAACCTCATAATGCACCCAATACGGAGAAGAACACTCGAACTCAAAAGAGATCGGGTCCGTCACCAAGGCAAAATCCAGACCTCGCAGGAGGTAGGCACTGAGGGCCTCTTGAGCCTCTGAAGGGGAAATACGAGAAGTAGAAAACCTCCGGAAGGACGAAGCTGCGGAACCCAAGGGAACCCGGAAATATACCCAGGGGTGGGGCAGCCGAACCCATATCAAACTCGTACAAGGAAGGACGATACGAAAACCCCAACCTTGCAACAGCAGACCCTGCCCCGAAGGCACCAAGGCCCAGACAGGATCAAAAAGTGCCGAAGCGCCCCAGACTGACTTCCCCCCAGCCCCAGAAGCCTCCAAACCAGGTTCCAGGGCAGAGCCGTCCTCAATGCCCTCCAGCCTTAAAAGAAAGGCAGAGTCCAAGGGAAAGGCATCAATGAAGAAGAGCCCACTGGAAGGACCCAGAAGCCTCGACAGGAGGAACAGGTTCAAATGCCTCACATCAAATGTGGCAATCCCAGAGTCGCCCAAGTCTCATCCCCAGCTAAACCCTGCCCTGACTCTGAAAACAAGGAATTTTAGAGCCACCGCTCCAAAACACAGCAGGCATCATTGCTCGGGTGAAAATCCTGTCAGGCAATCGAGACCAGAGTAGACAACCATCAAAGCCGGCTTCAGTCGACAAACTAGCAGTCGGCTCAGTGGCATGGAAAGTAGGGGGGGGGGGAAGGGGGGCGACGCAAACGAGCGGCATCTGGTGTAGTGACATGTTGCTTGTTATCTTGTTTTTCTTCGGGGGAGTTTCTAGCCTCTGTTCGGTCTCGGGTTGCAATTTTTCTACCAGAAGGGGTCCGTTTTGGGGGTGCCTACCTTTCTGGGTGCCCAACCCTGGTCAATGGCAGACATGAATATACAGCACAGTGGTGTTTCAGCTTACGAATTTAATCCGTTCCCAGAGACTATTCGTAACCAGAAAATTCGTAAACCAAAGCTAATTTTCCCATAAGAAATAATGTAAATTGAATTAATCCGTTCCACACTCCCAAAAATATTAACTTCAAAGTAAATTTTATACCTAATTCACCCAAATCTCTAGTACTAAAGTATGTACAAGTTATTGCTTACCATTATTGATGATTCTTGCTGGCGTATGGAAAACGGTGAGGAGGGGAGAGGAGGAGAGGTGTTACTGTTTGGAAGGGGAGTTCCCTTCCATTATAACATCAGGCAGTGATGACTTTTCTGGGGTACTCTCTCTCTCTCCTATGTTTTGCCTGAATACCACTAAGACCTGGTTATGGCTCACTGCTTGTTTGTCTCACTAAGAACCTTTCCATAGAGACTTGTTTTCCCTACATTTTAACATCTGTCTGTAGTGAGGCATCAGTGTCATTGAAAAGGTTTTAAGGCAACTGCCTACTACAGCTTGCTCTGGGTGAATTGTTTCAACAAAAGTTTGCATTTCTTCTCATAGTCTACACCACTTCTTAATTGTTGAGGAAGGGACATTCTGTACTGCCTCCTCTTCCCCTGAAGACATTTTCTCACCTGCCTCTTGTTGCTGCTCATAGTGAAGGGCTTGGAGTTCTTCGGTGGTCAGTTCTTCGCAGTATTCCTCCACCAACTACTCCACATCAGCACCATCCAACTCCAAGCCCAATTTCCATTCCAGATTAACAATTTCCTCAATAATAGGCACTTCAGGTCCAGGCTCAAACCCCTCACAGTCTAGTTCTGAAACACATTCAGGTCACAATTTTCTCCAGCCAGATGTTTTTCTCCATTTTCCACATTCTCACAAGGGTTTTCTTGGCTTGAACCTTATCACTGGCTTTCTTGGACCCATGATGAGATATATAATAGTAACTTTCATGTTCAAATACCCAAAATAAAAAAAACACTGAAATTGTTTACAAAGAATTCAGGTGCGAATGTCACTAGGCGGGAGGCACTGGTAAACTGAGGTGCGGTTGCCGTGCTACCACGTACTAGGTCGGCCATACGCATATCAACAAACTAAGTTACCCGAGGCAAAGTTCGTAACTTGATTTGGATTTTACAAACAAATTGGGATCGTAAACCAAAAAGCTTGTAAAGAGGGGCATTCGTAAACCGAGGTGTCATTGTACTCTCATACAAGGGAGTTTCATAGGCCATTGCTCCCTGTGCCTCTCTGAGGGCACCAGGTTCTGGCTTGTGGTCCCCAGTAGGCAAGAACTCCGTATGACTGAAGCCCCAGACTAATATAGCTAATATCAGTTCGGTAGCTCCAGGGAGCTGACGGACCTTCCCACAGAAAGAATTCTTCTGCCAGTTGCAGAAGAATTGTAAGACACCAAACTCTCTTGTTTGGGCTCTGTTACATTTACTACTGCATCCTCAGGTAAAATGTATGGATCCAGTGCCAACTTCTCAAAAGCAGGCCTCAAGCTGAATTTAGGAAAAGAAGATAGTGATTCAATTCTATAAATCTCTGGTGAACCCCCATTTGGATTACTGTACCCAAGCATGGAGAAATCATTTTCAAAAGGACATAGCTGCTCTGGAGAAAGTGCAACACTGGGCAACAAAAGTCATTGTAAGAGAGAGAGACGCAACAACCACAGAGTTATTGTAGTAGAGTACTCCGAGTCATGAGAACATAATGTATATTTATAGAGCCATGCAAAGCAGCTGGGAACAGCAACAAATAAAATGAAAACAAATTTATTGGAATTGAGGGAACAGACAAAATTTACTGTATAAACTAAAATACATTACCTGATATAGCAATTTTGCAGCATCAAGTAGTTTATCAGCCTTCCGAAACAGTTCTATAGCTTGCAGACGATTGCCTTTCTCCAAGAGATGCGATGCATAACGAGCAAGCAAAGCACTTATCTCGGTTACGTTGTGCTGTTTTGCTAACTCTACTGCTTCGTGCCACTGGTTTAGGGCCACACATGTATCAATAGCAGACTTCACACAATTGCACTGAAAAATATATACAGTACTGTCATACCGTGAAGATTATCTCTACGACGAATTTATTTAAGAGTCCAGGGGTATATTCTTTTACAATACAATAGTTAATACATAATTCACTACGGTACTCAACCTGTTATTAGACGTCTAATCCTACCTTCATGTAGGCATCAACAGCCTGCTGTGACATCCCGACACTTGTAAACATGTCCGCGATGGAGGGAAGGAGAGGAGAGTCGTCAGGCAGCGAGCGTACAAGGGACTCCATGGCCTCAAAATCTTCCAGTTGATAGTAGCACTGAGCTAACATTTCATGGTTATGTGCTAACTCAAACTGCTTTACTGCCTCATCCCTGAAAATTTGTGAGGTAATTAATTCTACGCCAGTGGCCTGTTTGTGAGTAGACAAATATTCGTAATGTCCTTTGGGTGTTCAAAGTCAGTCAGTGCCCTGTGGATGTCCAAACTATGCTAGTGCCCCTTGTACCCTGGGGTGTCCGAATTACGGAAGTATCCCGGGGTATCCAAACTACGGTACTACACTGGGATGTCAGAACTATACTAGTACCCAGGATATCCAAACTATGCTAGTACCCTAGGGTGTATGAACTATGCTAGCACTTTTTGGGGTGTCCAAACTATTTTAGTACTTTCTGGGGTGTCCAAACTGTGCTAGTACTTTCTGGGGTGTCAGTATTTTCTGGGGTGTCCAAACTGTGCTAGTACTCTCTGGGGTGTCCAAACTATGCTAGTACTCTCTGGGGTGTCCAAACTGTGCTAGTACTCTCTGGGGTGTCCAAACTGTGCTAGTACTCTCTGGGGTGTCCAAACTGTGCTAGTACTCTCTGGGGTGTCCAAACTGTGCTAGTACTCTCTGGGGTGTCCAAACTGTGCTAGTACTCTCTGGGGTGTCCAAACTATTTTAGTACTTTCTGGGGTGTCCAAACTATGCTAGTACTCTCTGGGGTGTCCAAACTGTGCTAGTACTCTCTGGGGTGTCCAAACTGTGCTAGTACTCTCTGGGGTGTCCAAACTATTTTAGTACTCTCTGGGGTGTCCAAACTGTGCTAGTACTCTCTGGGGTGTCCAAACTATTTTAGTACTCTCTGGGGTGTCCAAACTGTGCTAGTACTTTCTGGGGTGTCCAAACTATGCTAGTACTCTCTGGGGTGTCCAAACTATTTTAGTACTCTCTGGGGTGTCCAAACTGTGCTAGTACTTTCTGGGGTGTCCAAACTGTGCTAGTACTCTCTGGGGTGTCCAAACTATGCTAGTACTCTCTGGGGTGTCCAAACTGTGCTAGTACTCTCTGGGGTGTCCAAACAATGCTAGTACTCTCTGGGGTGTCCAAACTGTGCTAGTACTCTCTGGGGTGTCCAAACTGTGCTAGTACTCTCTGGGGTGTCCAAACTGTGCTAGTACTCTCTGGGGTGTCCAAACTGTGCTAGTACTCTCTGGGGTGTCCAAACTGTGCTAGTACTCTCTGGGGTGTCCAAACTGTGCTAGTACTCTCTGGGGTGTCCAAACTATTTTAGTACTCTCTGGGGTGTCCAAACTGTGCTAGTACTCTCTGGGGTGTCCAAACTATTTTAGTACTCTCTGGGGTGTCCAAACTGTGCTAGTACTCTCTGGGGTGTCCAAACTATGCTAGTACTCTCTGGGGTGTCCAAACTGTGCTAGTACTCTCTGGGGTGTCCAAACTATTTTAGTACTCTCTGGGGTGTCCAAACTATTTTAGTACTTTCTGGGGTGTCCAAACTGTGCTAGTACTCTCTGGGGTGTCCAAACTATGCTAGTACTCTCTGGGGTGTTCAAACTGTGCTAGTACTCTCTGGGGTGTCCAAACTATTTTAGTACTCTCTGGGGTGTCCAAACTGTGCTAGTACTCTCTGGGGTGTCCAAACTATTTTAGTACTCTCTGGGGTGTCCAAACTGTGCTAGTACTTTCTGGGGTGTCCAAACTGTGCTAGTACTCTCTGGGGTGTCCAAACTGTGCTAGTACTCTCTGGGGTGTCCAAACTATGCTAGTACTCTCTGGGGTGTCCAAACTGTGCTAGTACTCTCTGGGGTGTCCAAACTATGCTAGTACTCCGGGGTATAAAAACTACACTAGTACCCCAGGGTGTCCAAACTATGCTAGTACCCTAGGGTGTCTGAGGCATGTTAGTACCCTGGGGCGTCCAAACTATACTAGTACCCCAGGGTGTCCAAACTATGCTAGTACCCTAGGGTGTCCAAACTATGCTAGTACCCTAGGGTGTCTGAGGTATGTTAGTACCCTGGGGTGTCCAAACTATACTAGTACCCCTGGGGTGTCCAAACTATGCTAGTACCCTAGGGTGTCTGAGGTATGTTAGTACCCTGGGGCATCCAAACTATACTAGTACCCTAGGGTGTCCAAACTATGCTAGTACCCTAGGGTGTCCAAACTATGCTAGTACCCTAGGGTGTCTGAGGTATGTTAGTACCCTGGGGCATCCAAACTATACTAGTACCCTAGGGTGTCCAAACTATGTTAGTACCCTAGGGTGTCCAAACTATGCTAGTACCCTAGGGTGTCTGAGGTATGTTAGTACCCTGGGGTGTCCAAACTATGCTAGTTCACCAGGGTGTTCGTGGTATGTTAGTACCCTGGGGTGTCCAAACTATACTAGTACCCTAGGGTGTCCAAACTATGCTAGTACCCTAGGGTGTCTGAGGTATGCTAGTACCCTGGGGTGTCCAAACTATGCTAGTACCCTAGGGTGTCCGAGGTATGTTAATACCTTGGGGTGTCCAAACTATGCTAGTACCCTATGGTGTTCGAGGCATGCTAGTACCCTGGAGTGTCTAGTACCTTGCTAGATAAACAGGTGTATTAGATGAAAGGAAACATGCCCAGCTATCTATCCTGCCCAGGAATTGAACCGTGGATCCCTGATTGTGAATTGAGAATAACACCAACTCTACTACAAGAGTCTGATGCCATGTTTGACAGGTATGCATTTAGTACTTACTAGTTCAGTACAGACCTAACTGTTTTGTGAGTGTTCTTGTACACTGATGCACAATTGTTCTCATAGAGTACTAGGAAGGGTACCCAGCGGTGCCCAGGAATAGTCTCTCTCTCAAACTCCACCACTATTTTTTTGCCCCTCTTCCAGCATCCACCCCCCCTCTCCCCTCATCCCCCTTTTTATCCATCTTCACTTCCCCTCCACCCTTTCCCCTCTCTTCCCTCCCATCTCCCATCATTTTCCCCACCTTTCCCCACTTCCCACTCACCCCCAATCTCCCTATAGCATCAATGATGGATACCATTTTAAGAAGAATGGGAAGGATTGTTGCATATGAGGCTCAAGTCAACAGAAAAAAATCAGAAACATGAACAAAAATTCAAATGAGTAATCTTATCAGTGACAGTTCCCATAGCAATATGTTGATTCATTGTCATTCTTCCTTGTGATGTAATAGAGGATAAACACTTACCATTTATGTCTATCAGCATAATAATGACCAATGTTATTCAGGGCTTCTTCCATTTGTAAGTCATCTCCAGATGATCCAGATTTAAGGAGCTGAACCACACGGAACCAGTCGCCTAATTTGCGCCGCAGAGATATGGCAATGTCTCTGTAAAAGAAAAATCAATTGAAGAAGTGTATTATTTGACATACCATGAAATACCAGTATAGGAACTAGTTGTGGGTCTAAATCATATATTTCTGGTAAGCTAGCGGAGAGCACTAGATAATAGCATGCAAATACCCAGTTACGCACTGTGGTACACAAACAACCAGTCACACACTGTGGTACACAAACAACCAGTCACACACTGTGGTACACAAACAACCAGTCACACACTGTGGTACACAAACAACCAGTCACACACTGTGGTACACAAACAACCAGTCACACACTGTGGTACACAAACAACCAGTCACACACTGTGGTACACAAATAACCAGCACAATGGTTGCTTTCCGTCAAACAGGAATAATCCATGTCTCCATGTCAAACAAGAATAATCCATGTCTCCATGTCAAACAGGAATAATCCAGGACCTTTGGGTCCATCGAGATCATCCTTTCTGAGGAAGGATGATCTAATGCGCCCAAAGGAACACACAACTAAACTCTGGGGGGAGCCACACCCAAATCATACTTATATGGGAGGGAGGATATGAAAACCCTTCTCCTTGCAAAAGGAGACCCTGCTCAGTTGGAATAAGAAACCACTCAAGAGCCGAATGAAACCCACAGGCCTATATCAGATTTCTCAAACCCCGGAAGCTGCACTTAAGGGAGCCAGCATCTATGCCCGCTGCCCAAGATAGAAAAGCAGAGTCCAGGGGGAGAAGCTTTAGACGAGGTGGGGAGGGAGGCCGGCTAAAACTCCAAAGGCTCAGCAGGACTAGCAGACTCAACTGCCTCCATGTATGACATGGAAGGGGCAACCTCCGGAAATGACTAAGCCACATCCCAAGCTAAACCTAATCCTGGCCCACACCCTTCAGATGTTTCAGGGCTGGAAACAGGAGGGAGGATCAGAGGAAGAGTGAACCATACCCGAAAGGGAAAGAAGAGGTAGTGTGGACAGAAACAAGGTGGAATTCATCAATATCTCCAATTCTGGGTCCTCAAACACCAGACAGGGCAGCTCTAGGGCATCCAACCAGACACCTCTGGAGGTGGTGAGCCCCCCCCCCCCCCCCCTCCCAAATGAGTGGAGGAGGTGGGAGTGAACAAGCTCACTCTAGTTTCAAGAGAGTCAATAATTTGTTTACATAGTTCAGAGTTCATTAGGCTGGTTGTGAGGCTTTAATTTTTTTTTAACCCAGCAGCAGCCTGTCCTTCAAACAAAGACCCAAAGTCCATTCCATGCAGGCGCTAAATCCCCCCGTTTATGAATGAAAAGTGATATACACACGACTCACAACTGATGACGTTTAAACACTTCCGGAACAAGTGCTGTACTGACGAATTTTGTTTGAACTACAACACTGTAAATGTTTCACCCGCGTACTACAAATACAAATAATAGCAAACAGAACCTAAACACCTAACCTAACCAGTGCCTACATATGTACAATATGCTAATATAAAATAATATTAATTTGTATTTGAGAAAATTCCTGTTTTGAATGGGCAGCACGTTCAAATTTATGAATGTGTCTTTGGGGTCGATCTCTAAATGGAATGGACTTGGTCTGAGGACGGGTTGCCAGCACTGGTTTGCTTTGACTTGCTGACTTTCTGGATACCTTGCCCTGGTAGGTGGTGAAATGTCACTGCTCCTCTGTGACAGGGCCAGGTTCTGGCCCTGGTCTCCAGTAGACCTCAGAACTCCACAGCTGATGTGACCTAGTAGGTTGGAATCAAATTAGTGAATATGATTCCAAATATTCCAAATATGATCCCTCTTACAGCTTCAGGGAGCCATAAGAGGCTCACCCAGAAATGCACTAAATCATGTTTTCCTCTACAAAATCCTTATAAATTAGGTCGATCTTACATGCCATCAAATACAAGTAAATATTGTTATAATTTGAAAGCCAACCCACTTACATTTTTAACCTCTCACCGAGACTTTCCATACAACCTGCTGCTTAATCTTACTGTTTAGTTTACCTTCGGTCTACCTCTAAATACAGCTTCTCTGCTTCATCAAAATCTTTAAAATATGCTGCTACTTCTGCTTTACGTAGCGTTTCATTCTGGATGTTGGAGATGCGTTTGACCAGTTGTATTCCCGGATAATCCTTGCATCGGACAAAGGCCGCTTCTGCATTCTTGAGGTCTTGCTTTTCTAGAGCAGCTTCAGCAAGCAAACGCCTTGAAGGGAAATTTGAGCAAATGAGTCAATAAATCATGAAATAATCTTTAAGGTTATGAGTTCATTGAGCAGTTGTCACGTACCCAACTTATCCTCCCAAAATGATAGTACCTACAGCTACTATGGTAGTTTTAGGTACCATAGTAGCTATAGGTATCAGAAGCAAACTCATCCAAAGCCTAAATAAGCAATCCTATGCATAATATCTGCCAGTTAAAGCCTAATTTAGCATGTGTGTGATGTACAAAGCCTAGGCAAATTTAGAGTTGGTGGATGCCTTCTTTCTCTTACCCTCTACAAAATTAATAGTACAAACTGTAATCTTTTTTTGGGTGCAACAATCCATATTTTGTACATTCATCCACACTGGCTATAGGCACTGTCATTTCTGAATGACAAGTATAGCACCGACGTGTATTACAGTTGCAACATTTTATACGGTCACAGCAAAGATGGAATGTGAGGGGGACTGTACAAAACAATAAGCATGTTGGGCTGGGACCAATAGTGTATTCTCAAATATTCTCAAGGCGAGGGCACCTCGGGTATCAGAGATCTATCCAAGAATGAGCAAATAACCCACCAGAAAGCTTAAGCACATCAAAACATGTGATCACTTGAAAAAATGGAAATAAGCTCTTGGGCAAACCAAGTCAACTGATTTTGTTGCAGGCAACAATTCCAAACCTTAATGTGCCAAACCACCATCAGTTAGTGGCCCAGATCACCTGGGGCCAGATTCGCGAAGCAGTTACGCAAGCACTTACGAACCTGTACATCTTTCCTCAATCTCTGGCGGCTTTGTTTACAATTATTAAACAGTTAATGAGCTCCGAAGCACCAGAAAACTGTTTATAACAATAACAACAGTTGATTGGGAAGTTTTCATGCTTGTAAACTGTTTAATAAATGTAATCCAAAGATTGAGAAAAGATGTAAACGTTCATAAGTACTTGCGTAACTGCTTGGTGAATCTGGCTCCCCTGGGGTCCAAGTCAGCTGCCCACCTCATGAGTCGCCAGTACTGAACCCCAAACTGCACAGGTAGAGAAGGCTGCTTGAAACTTGGCTCAAGTTGTCAAGATGAGTCTCTCATAAAACTACCCACTAAAAAGTAGAGAGCATGCAGCATGCACATATGGGTAAGCAGTGCATAAACCATCCTTTAGCACAAAACACGGTCGCACAATGAGGCTGCTGCATCATTGTCCATGGTCTGAGGTGGCTCAACCAGCACACAGGTCCAAAGTTGACAAACAGCACCCACAGAAGGGTGAAAGTACTCCAGAAACCAACAAACATTATGATAAAAGCAACGGGAATGTCCATCTATTTAAGGAAAATAAATTGCTTGCATACCGGAAAGCAGCAAGCAACAAAGTGTGGCACTGAATATGTTGGGAAGCCATCACATGCCGACCAACTACGAAGATAAGGCAAATAAACCCTCCAGGAAATAACAAATAATATAATAGCTGTGGCCCAATATGTAAACAGGGAAGCATGCCTCAGCATCATTAAAGAATGTGGCACGCTGAGTGACCACGGCGTACCATGTAAACGAGCGACACCCAGTGCACCCCAATAAAGCCAAGGAACACCCCTAACAAAGGGCCCAAACAGAGCAATTCAAAATTCCTGAATAGTCCAAGGAAAGGCCCCCAACCTGGTGGAGAGATCTCACATGGACGAACTCCTGAACACATCAGAGAGGGAAAGCTCTGCCTGTGCAAGGGCAGCATTAGTGGGCATACAGGTAAGAGAGCCCAGGGTACATGCAGCTCAAAACATCCAAAGAGCCAAACCCAACACAAGAAGCTGCAATCAAAACACACAATTGAAGTCCATATTTAACAGGAAAGAATACATTAAAGTAAATGGTTCCCACAGGACAACCAAGTGCAAGGACAGCCGGCACTTAGTTTGAAACTTTGGGGCTTGCCTGTGAGCTGCTGTGATCGGAAGCAACACTAGCATGTGTGAAGGATGTAAATACTAGCAGGAGTACAGAACTGACTTGGGGAGCCAGCTGGGAGCCAGGGCCGGGCCACCTGGTGGTGGTGGTGATCAGTACTAATGAATCTCGAGCTCATTTGAGCGAACCCCTTGTTCCGTGCCGGCAGTTTTTGAGCCTTTATTTTTGGGCATCCTCCTATAAAGCTATAAGGTTGCTATAAAGCACCCCGCCAGTTGCTGTAAAGCTATGTTGACTTTCTGGAGGCTTTTTCTGTCAAGGTGTCAGATTGTTACTTGCACATCTTATGAGGATGCCAATAGTGTCAAGTATCCAGTAAGCCAAACACAGCACAACTCTTTGTGACTGATGTGATCTTCTGGTATGAATCAATCTCACTAAGAGTGTGGCTTCTGGGAGCCACAAGGAGTTCCCTCCAGAAAGAACACACACAAAAAATAGTCAGCACCATGTTAAAGTACATATACATAAATCACTAATTATAGTACTGTATATGCAAATCACCTTAGTTACAGAATAAGTAAATCAACCTACAGTATACATACTATACATAAATTACCCTAGAAAATATGTAAATCCCTTAGTTCCAGCATATATAAATCCCTATAGGTACAGTGCAATGCAGTACTTGTATAGTAATAATTACCATAGTCTTGGGTGAGGATTTTCATCAATAAATGCTGCAGCATCCTTAATAGACACCTTCTCTAACAGGTCTCTAGTATCCCTGAGACTCTTGACCTCTAAGGTAAGCAAGTGGTCCATGGTGGGCGACTCAGGTTCACGCATCACTTCATCCAGAAGTACCGCACGAATCTCCAGGTCCTGAAACACATATATCCACATGTAGACGACGAGTCACAATAACGTGGTTGAAGATATCATGACCAAACTACACACCAGAAGATGAGGAGACAACGATGTTTCGGTCTGTCCTCGACCATTATCAAGTCGATTGTCCACCATCATATTCACCATCAAGGTGGACGATTGTCCACTGATATATCCACCATCACCTATACACACAAGAGTTAAAGTTTCAAGCCAAAACACATCTGTGTTCTCAAGATATTACACAAGCTAAAATATATCAAATATTAAGCAAAACTAAAATACAGCAAATATGAAGCAAAAACTAAAATACAGCAAATATGAAGCAAAAACTAAAATACAGCAAATATGAAGCAAAAACTAAAATACAGCAAATATGAAGCAAAAACTAAAATACAGCAAATATGAAGCAAAAACTAAAATACAGCAAATATGAAGCAAAACTAAAATACAGCAAATATGAAGCAAAAACTAAAATACAGCAAATATGAAGCAAAAACTAAAATACAGCAAATATGAAGCAAAAACTAAAATACAGCAAATATGAAGCAAAATCTATTACATGTTTGTAACAGCCTTTTGTAATAGCCAGTTTAAAGGCTTATTTAAATTAAAAAGCGGTAGAACAAGAGTAAGTCGATGGAAGCTGGGACATGCAATTGAGCCCAAGACTTGCAAGGAAGTCTCTTGTTCCCTGTACGGGAGGTGAACAAGTAGAATGCACTGTGGAAAGAGATTATTGAAGCCAATTCCATCCATAACTGTAAAAAAGAAAAATGATGAAAATGTTAATGGTGAAAGAGATAAGTAGTGTGCCAGGTATGACTGACTAAGAGGCAAGAGCATGTTTACCTGAAAACTGCAGAGATAACCAGAACTGGCAACAGGCTCCTCTGGATCCATGTTACGGAAGACGTACATGCGCGTCTTCTCCATCATGGCAAACAACTCCGGGTTGTCCTGAGCCCAGCACATATCCCAAACATCTTTGCGCTCAAATTTCAGAATCGAGCCCATAACCTGCAAGAGCATGTATTTAAGTGTGCATTTAAAATGTCACCTACTGTACAGCTACCTGCTAACTTACCATTCTTAGCCTCCACTTAATGATGTGTTAAGTGTACACCACAAACACCCTCACATTATATACAGTTTTACACAAACTAAAAGCTCTATACAATGTCAGTTAAGCACCTTTATTATGCACCCCATACCCATCTTGTGGGCAATAGTGGAAAGAGTTACAGAGGCACATAATGGGCTCAGGGACTGAACCCCAAAATTAATTTAGCTAAGCAAGTTACAGTCTTGATGAGCTAGTTACAAAATTCAATGCCCATCGTCATATCAACAATACATTCGAGATTGACCACAAGTATAGTTTTTAATTTAAGCAACTGACATGTGGAGAGCTAGTGTTACAATTAATATGTTTATCCTGCGCACCGCCCCCCATCCAGTGGGCAGCGGTGGATAGGTACACCGCCCCCCATCCAGTGGGCAGCGGTGGATAGGTTACACCGCCCCCCATCCAGTGGGCAGCGGTGGATAGGTTACACCGCCCCCCATCCAGTGGGCAGCGGTGGATAGGTACACCGCCCCCCATCCAGTGGGCAGCGGTGGATAGCTTACAATCACTTAGTTACTACCTACAGTTAGCAAACTAGGGATATTTGGCTAAGATTTCTAGTAATAGATCATTTTCAATTAAATATTTACACATCTTTGGAACATTTGTTATGGAATTGTATCTGAATTCCTGTATCTTTTTGCACTCCATCACATAGTGACGGAGGGTGTGCAAATAATTTTGTTGACAGTTTACATTTGGTCAGGTCTACATCAGCAGATAATGAGAATTCCCAGAGATACTTGTAATTGAGTCTAAGCCGAGCAGTAGTAACATCTAGAAGTCTGCTAATTTTATTGGATGATCCATAGATGTGTGGCTCTTTTTGCATGACAGTAGTATGATGATAGATGGAATTACTAGTGTAGATTCAACCTCACAAGGTTTTGTAACTTCTTGTTGTATAATTGTTCTCAGACTGCTTGTAGGCAATTCAAGGTTATAATCAATTCCTTCTTTAAAGATCGATTCTTTGGCTAACTCATTAACTCTATCATGCATTTGTAGGTCAACATGAGATGGAGGCCACATGAAAGGGACTGTTACCATTATAATCACAAGATTATGATGTACTGTATCTTTAGAAAATAATGAGGCTGTTCAATGGGACTAAACCCACATATGGTTGGGGTGTGCAGGGATGCACATTCAATACCATTGTATGACTTCAGTATTCCCCCCATGACATTATACATGTATACAAAATGCAATAAACATTTATAAAGGTAATGTTTAGTGTGATAAAGGCACTCGCCACAAGAATTTCACTGATGCCTTAACCATTCTGCTAACAAACAGCCTTTACACAATTATTCAAATAATCTAAGTACTGTATCACTTGAATTTTCATTTTTTTTCTGCTTCTGCACATCATATGATATTACCTTTACTCTGTTTTCCTACACTTATTTAAATTACATTTCCTACACTTTCCCTCTATCTTCCAGTTTCTCTTGCTTTCAGCCCATCGCTCAAGAGTAGACTGTCTACATTGCATCCTTCCATTGTCTTTGTGACACATTTGGTTGCCCTGAGGTGGATCTTTGTGTGTCAGCATGGAATTGGCAGCTTCTGGGTTACATGGCTCCCATCCACCCCATTCAGGACACTAAGTGGATGCTTCAGCTGAAATGGGGCCAATGGAGGTTTCTTGATCTCTTCTCTCCAGTTCAGAGGTTGCTTCAGGTTCTGTCCAGATTGGAGACTTTATCCAGCAAAGTCCTCCTGTTGGCTCCCTTTTACCCAGCCCAGATGTGACTTCCACCCTTTTGGGCCCATTGTTTCTTTGATCCTCAACTGATTTTCCATTGATTTTCTCCACCTCTTTCAGTGGATCAGCCAAGAGATGTTTCTCAATGGTTCAAGGCTCACCACTGATTTACACATTTGGAGTTTTTGACCTTCATATACTGCTTTTTGGATGGTCCACAGGTGGCTGATCTTTTGGTGTCTCGCCTGTGACTTTTGTCATAGTGCTAAATTCCATCTTGTTCTCTTGTTTTGTCCTCAGTTTCTGTTCCAGTGGTTCTTTCATTTGTCGTGATTGTTTGTGGATAAGTTTCTCGTACCAAATACCTTTGCCTTGTGTCGTTCAGCCCCAGCTGAGCCTCTGCTCTTGCCATTTGGTCTCATCATGTCATCCCCGTTTTGCAAGTTATCTTGGGCATCTTTTCAGCTTGCTCATGTTCCTCCTGATCCTTCCTGGTCTTTAAATAAGGTTTTGGTTTTCTCTCCTCACCTCAGTTTTCTAATGCCTCTTTTGTCCAAGACTGTTTCTTCAAGGCTTTGTTTTGTTGGCCCCCTTGCTTCTGGTTGTTGGGTTGGGAGTTTCATGCTCTCATTTTGAAGCAGAATTTTGTTTTTTTAGTCCTGAGAGTCATTTTCTTTGCTTACAGCCATCTCCTTCCTTTCTGCTAAGAATGAGATGGTTAGTTTAAGGAGCGAGGTCATAGGTGACTGATGATTTGTTGATTTGGCCAGGGGTGCATCTCTTATTGTGTCTGGAGGTTGTGGTCGTTCACTGCTACCCCGTGCACCACTATTGGTGCACAGAGTGAAGTATGCACGTATCCCCTGGTAAGTCACGTCACAGTCCACATCTGTGGACCCAGTGTCCTGGTTCCTTGTTCCAGGTCCTGTTTGTTACAGATTGCCAACAGTATCACCAAGTGTAGCCAACCTGTGGTCTACCCTCAGCTTGATCATGTTCCACAGGTTGCGGCTCTATCAATGGATTTTTCAAATTTGTTTTGGGCAATTCAGGCTTATTGGGTTGTGCTGGTCCAACAATGTGGTGGCATTTTGTTACTTAGTAAAAGTTCTTGGTCTGCACCTGACTTGTGTGGTTTTGGGGAAATTAACTTGTTGCTAATTCTCCCCTTTAATGTGGATGGGGGCAGAGTACTCCCTGTGGCTCTCTCTTGTCCCTGGTTTCATTCTCCAAGGTGAGACAGCACCAAGGAACCACCATTGGAGCCCTCCCAGAAAACGGGACGTGAATATAATGAAATGCCACTTTCTGGTGTGTCCTTGATGGCTCCTTGAGACCCTTTCATCCTGATTCAGGGGATTTGGTTTTAGTGTCTTTCTGGATAAATGAATGATATGTCACTGCTAGGGTACTGAGGAGGTCAGTGTGCAGTCACCTGGTGGTGTGATGGTGAACTAACAAATAAATGAATACACAGCCAGGTGTTTTGTTTTTTTGAGGGGGGGGGGGATTAATATCTTGTTTTCTATGTTTTGTTTACCTGGATGATTGTATGATTTGGCTCGTTCACTTTACTGGTCGCCATTTCTTGGTTATGATGATCTAGAATACCCTGCACCTTGCACCTCTTTAGAGGGGGGCCATGTTTTGGTCTCTGGCAGGTTTACAATGACTCACAGAGGCCTGGCGAGGAATGAACTGTGTGAAGCTATCCAGGTAACTAGCACTAAAGAGCCACAATTGAAGCCCTCCCCAGAAACACCCTCATCTCAACATTGGAAAGAGAAGAGTATAATCAGGTCAGACAATAACTGTACAGTACATACGTTTACTATCAGATTGTTTTGCCGTATAAGACGCACCTAATTGACAAGGACATTTTGTGTAATTTGTATTAACTTACATCATACTCTACATTTATTGAAAGAGATTTCCAAATGCTTTTGTAGGGACAACAAATGATTTTGTGCATGTAAATACAAAATAAATAAATATAAATAAATAAATTATATATATATATATATATATATATATATATATATATATATATATATATATATATATATATATATATATATATATATATATATATATATATATATATATATATATATATATATATATATATATATATATATATATATATATATATATATATATATATATATATGGTTAGTGGTGGAGCCAAAACATGCATCCTATCCACCAGAAAATGCAGTAAATGCCTTACCTCTGAGCCGGTGGTGTCTGAAGCGCGAGTGTCCAGGTCTAGGAACGTGAGCAGCCCAGTGATGTCAATGATTGCTAACCGTCTACAGTGAAAAGAAAGTATTTTCAAACTATGGAACAAATATTTTCCAAAAATAATTACAGGCTATAATTTTAGTGTCTAAACAAACTGTTGATCTCATTTCACCAGTCATAGAAAAATTGAGACAAACAATAAAGGAATTGGAAAACATTTGCAAAAATATATTTATCAGCTTCATTATACCTTGTGAAACTTTTCCTTTGTCAATATAATGTATTTCATATCTTCACATACAGTACTTGACAATAACAATCTATACTGTTCTTAAACATGAATATTATGTATACTGTGCTCTGTACATTGTTGTATACAAATCTGAATACATTGTTGTATACAGTGAGGATTCCAGATTGCAACTTCCAATGGAAAAGGAGTAATTTGAACCCTTCTGTTGAGACACTGAACCAGGAAAGCACAATCCAGGTGATTGTGGATCACAGAGCCCTGCAGGAGAGGGATATATTGAAATGCCATCCAAACTGCTGCAAACTGCCTCAACCATGACATAAGCTAACTGCAGATGAGGAGACCACAACCCATGATCAGCATGGCAATAGTTACATACAAACCTCCACCTAAGGTTCAACATATCCAAGAGCAACTCGAGCAATGGAAGGTAAGTGTGCCGTGGAACTAAATCCCAAAAGGCCCAGAGGACAGTAAAAGATCAAAATCTTCAGAGACTGACAGCATCTGTAATGAGCAGTCTCACCCCCCCCCCTCCTCCCCAAGAGTCAGTGAGATGCTCACCACTGAGGAGGTAAGTTGTGTGCCCTCACCCAGATCCTATATACTGTAATGGTAAGATCATACAGACACAATGTTTATATCGTACACAGAGAGTAATGACACTATTGTGATGCATCAAGGAGAAAATCCATAGGAGCAATGACGAGGGATCGCACCGATGAGGTGGGTGTTCCCAGGCACACACTCTAGACAACCAGGCCACGACATGGTCAAAATGATTGCAACCTTTTCTTTACATGATCCATAAAGTGCTTGAGGTCCTGATGGGAAAGGTAAGACCCAGTAACCCCAGCAGAAGATGGTCCTGTAACAGCAGCAAGTCTGACTGCAAGTTAAAAGTTTTCAGAACTGCCACTGCCTGCCGGCTGCTCCAAGGAACAGCCTTTTAGATCAAGTTATAATAAAAGCCTGACCCAGGTAAACTCCCAGTATAGTGTGCAGAGGAATTATTGTGTACAAAGACTATATATTCTGCTCTGTGGAAAATGCAACACAAATGATTAACTTACGAGGAATTGCAGTTGAGCGAGAGTCTGTGGGGCCGACATGGCAGCGAGTAACGTGCAATGAGTGCAACATGGGGTAGCGTGTATCTCTGCAAGCTTCCAGATTCCCTGCCAATTATTAGTACTCGCTCACTGGCAGTTATACAGCATACTGGATCACTTGTTGCCTGAAATATTATAATAAGGCAGTCAAATTTTGCATTAATGCACATTTTTATTACATTAATCAAATCAAATCAAATCAAATCAAATCAAATGTTTATTTAGGTAAGGTACATACATACAAGAGATTTTACAAAGAGTGATGGATTAATATTAATATTAATAGACTAACTGGTTTCATACAATTTCTAGAGAACACCTACTGGCTTTTTGAAGCTATCTTGCTTCAAGATATATATCTATGGCTCCTAAATACTGTCATATCATAGTGATACTAGATACCATGAAAGTATCCACGGATCAGTACCTAGGGAGAGCAGGTGATACTCTACCACTCCACCAGGAGAGTATCCAGGGACCACAACCTGGGGAGAGCAGGTGATACTCTACCACTCCACCAGGAGAGTATCCAGGGACCACAACCTGGGGAGAGCAGGTGATACTCTACCACCCCACCAGGAGAGTATCCAGGGACCACAACCTGGGGAGAGCAGGTGATACTCTACCACTCCACCAGAAGAGTATCCAGGGACCACAACCTGGGGAGAGCAGGTGACACTCTACCACTCCACCAGGAGAGTATCCAGGGACCACAACCTGGGGAGAGCAGGTGACACTCTACCACTCCACCAGGAGAGTATCCAGGGACCACAACCTGGGGAGAGCAGGTGATACTCTACCACTCCACCAGGAGAGTATCCAGGGACCACAACCTGGGGAGAGCAGGTGATACTCTACCACTCCACCAGGAGAGTATCCAGGGACCACAACCTGGGGAGAGCAGGTGATACTCTACCACCCCACCAGGAGAGTATCCAGGGACCACAACCTGGGGAGAGCAGGTGATACTCTACCACTCCACCAGGAGAGTATCCAGGGACCACAACCTGGGGAGAGCAGGTGATACTCTACCACCCCACCAGGAGAGTATCCAGGGACCACAACCTGGGGAGAGCAGGTGATACTCTACCACTCCACCAGAAGAGTATCCAGGGACCACAACCTGGGGAGAGCAGGTGACACTCTACCACTCCACCAGGAGAGTATCCAGGGACCACAACCTGGGGAGAGCAGGTGACACTCTACCACTCCACCAGGAGAGTATCCAGGGACCACAACCTGGGGAGAGCAGGTGATACTCTACCACTCCACCAGGAGAGTATCCAGGGACCACAACCTGGGGAGAGCAGGTGATACTCTACCACTCCACCAGGAGAGTATCCAGGGACCACAACCTGGGGAGAGCAGGTGATACTCTACCACTCCACCAGGAGAGTATCCAGGGACCACAACCTGGGAAGAGCAGGTGACACTCTACCACCCCACCAGGAGAGTATCCAGGGACCACAACCTGGGGAGAGCAGGTGACACTCTACCACTCCAACCCGAACAAAAATCAGTCAACCTACGAAGAGACAAAAAGTGACTTAAGGCTCGCCAAGAAACTTCATACTGCCACCGATACGAAACACACGGTTTAACACCATTAGCGAAGCCACCTGATCACCATACAAGTTGCGATAAACCCACATCAGAAAGAACAGACCCGAAGATCGAACCAGCCACGTACTGGACCTGACCAATCTGCTGAAAGAGGCGAAGCCACAGAAAGATCCCGGGTTTAGACACTGAGCAAGCAGTGCCTAAAACCAAGGCTGGGCCGGCCACCAAGGGGCCAATAGGACTACTCTCTCCTGGTAAGTCTCCAACCGAGCAAGAACCCGAAGCAAAAGCTAGACCAGGGGGAAGAGGTACAGATAACCCAACCTCGACCAGTCCTGCCGAAAGGCATCAAACCCGACGTCTTTTGGGAAAGTGTGTCTGATCAACACCCTTGTGGTGTCGGAAAAGAGCACCACAAATACCAAGAGATGCCTCGACCACATGAAGAGGTCCACTGCCGGGTGTCCGTACGTCCGACAGAGCCAATTGAAGGAGTTGGCGTCGAACGTCCATTCCGTGAACAGCGGAATGAATCAGGACAGGCCATCCACCAGGACGTTTAACACCCCTTGGATATGAACCACCCGGAGAGCCAAAACCCAAGAATCCAGCAGACAAGTCACCCGAAGAGACCAGCCCCAAAGAACCAAGGACTCATCGAACCCCTGCAATTCAGACAATGAACCACTGGGGAGCAGTCTGAATGAAGCTGAATACTCGATCAGCAAATGACGCGAACCCTCTGAAGTGAAAGCCACACCTCTGCGAACTCCCACACTGTGCTGTGAGCCCGACAGAAGGACGGACCCCACTAACCCTGGGTGGCCTGGTGACCACTGGTCACAAAGCCCCAGCCGGGAGACAATGCATCTGTGAACACATTGAGTGGGGCCTCGGGTAGGTGCCACGGCACTGAATCCCCAAAAAATCCGAAGAGGAAGCCGGCGACACAGCAGCCGATGCAAGGTCCCCAGAGGCCGAACCCAGCGATCGCGAGAGCAGCGGAAGAGACGTCCCCGAAGGAACCAGAACAGATCTCCTAAGCGGGGCAGCTTCGGGGCATCTGGAAAGGCAACCAACCTAGTGTGTTGCAGCAACCTAAATTTCGCATGCAACGCTGAAGCTGCCTGCACTAAAATATCAATATTAATGGACTGGGTGAATTGGAGTAGAAGCAAGGAGGAGACAAGGAGACAGAGGTACCTTCAAATTCGCACGAAGTGAGATGGGACTCAGAGAACGCATCCATTGGACCAATCAGCCACAATGAAGTTTTCCAGGGCCCTTAGGCTGACTGCTAAGGGAAGCCCAGGAAAGGTACTGCTAACTGGTTATCCCAGACTACCAAGCAAACAAACAAAAAGCTAAACCCTTGCGACGTGTACAATCATGGGAGGCCTAGTGAAGGGCCACCACAATAATACAAGTGGTCCAGTAGCCACACCAGGCAGACCCCCACCAGGGAGACCTCCACCGGGCAGACCCCCACCAGGGAGACCTCCACCGGGCAGACCCCCACCAGGCAGACCCCCACCAGGCAGACCCCCACCAGGCAGACCCCCACCAGGCAGACCCCCACCAGGCAGACTCCCACCAGACAAACAAAACAAAAGGAAAAAGAAAACCCCCGCAAAAGTACAACGTCCCCAGGAGGAACAGAACCGGCCACTATGGGAATTATAAGACAGTTGCACAGTACCTTGCACCCCTGCCAGCGACGATACTACCTCATACCCAAGGTCAAACAGTGGCAAGAAAACTCCAGCTGACCCCAAGGGCAGACAATCATCGAGCAGCAAAAGAACCCTGCGGAGGTAGTTCCCGAACAGTTTGTGGAAGGTAAACCCAAACCGCAAGGCCAGTACATACAGGGTACCTAGAGAAGGTGACCCTAGGCACATGCAGCCCGCAGTACTCCTGGAATTACACCTAGCTCGCACACCTCAGCACAACACCGCAAGAATTACACCTAGCTCGCACACCTCAGCACAACACCGCAAGAATTACACCTAGCTCGCACACCTCAGCACAACACCGCAAGAATTACACCTAGCTCGCACACCTCAGCACAACACCGCAAGAATTACACCTAGCTCACACACCTCAGCACAACACCGCAAGAATTACACCTAGCTCGCACACCTCAGCACAACACCGCAAGAATTACACCTAGCTCGCACACCTCAGCACAACACCGCAAGAATTACACCTAGCTCGCACACCTCAGCACAACACCGCAAGAATTACACCTAGCTCGCACACCTCAGCACAACACCGCAAGAATTACACCTAGCTCGCACACCTCAGCACAACACCGCAAGACACACAACTGCTAAAAGATTGGTGCCAAAATGGAGCAAGATCACTTTCACTAAAAAAATCTATGACTTACAAGGCTACTCATGCCCTTGCCACCTCTTGGGTGACTTAATCTTCAGCAATCAATCAATCTCGCTCCCATCACAATCGATTTATTAATGGTCCAGGACGGACCGGAACCTTGTCGTCGTCTCTTCTGGTGTGAAGTTTGGTCATCTTACTTGATTTACCTAAAGGCCATTAACACTAGTGGCCCCAACGAGGACAGGGAGCTGGCGTCTTGTCGAAGGTCATCCCATTTGCCTTAATGATCCTTTCCAGATGAATTTTAAAACCTAACAGTTTTGACGTTTGCAGCTTCAGCGGGTAGCCAGTTTCATGGGTTTATAACCTTGTGGATGAAAAAGCATCTCTTGTTCTCAGTCCAACATTATTGAGCTTGAAACTGTTGTTCCTTGTGTTACATCTCACCTTTTGAAGAAATTGTCAGGATCAACATTCTCCAACTTGTTTAGTATTTTAAGTTTCAATAAGATCTGCCCTGTCATGATTGCAAGGTTTGCAGTGTTGTTAGGCCTGTGGCCCTCAATCGTTCCTGATATGAGAGTTGACTTAGCTCTGGAATGACTCTTGTTGCATGGTGTTGCACTTTCTCCAGAGCAGCTGGTGAAGAGTAGGATGGTTTGAGTTCTTGACTTTTAAACTAGAAAAGAAATTCGGGTTACTGCAATCCCTGTTGATTGAGAAACACAAATAAATTTAAATAGGTTAAATTTTGCACATTCCCTGTACAAAAATAAGGCAGCCAACTTGAATGGGGGGGGGAGGGTCTCTCATGATTCCCAATACCAAGCATAGACAGTACATAGTTTTTGTATAAGTAATTCACGAGGAATCCAAGATGGCAGACATAAGGGGCGATTGCTGGAATTACTCCAGAAATGAAGGAATATATATATAAATTGTGAATCATGTACTGTACTTTAGCAGCATAAGCAAATAAGAAGTCGAACCAAGGTATTTGCTGTACCACTGCAGACAATAATATCTACATGTACAATACCGTATTATTAAAATTAGGAAATAATCTTAGCAATACAAGCATACCTCAAACAATTTTTCTCCTTCCCTGAAAACATCGGAGACTCCTGTCGGTGTGTCGTCAATGTGGTAAAGACGTTCATGTCGGTCAGATTTAACTGCACCTAAGAATAATATATATGATATTAGTATTGTACAGTATTAATATTTAAACAGCCTGATCTATCAACTAGATCTAAATAATATATTACAAAGAAAACAAATAATTAAGGTTGCACACTCTGGGTTCAATTGCCCATTTGTGCGTTGTTTGTGCTCGTGTGGCTGCCTCAGAGTTGCCCGTTTCATTTTGGGGGTTTGGGGTTAGAGCAGCTGGTGTTGCTGCTGGTGCCCTTTTTGCTGCCATTCCTTCCATTATATTTGAACATTTGACCACTTGAACAGACAAGACCCGTGATCGTCACAAGGTGGAGTTCACTGCTGCGCTGGTAAATGCCCTTCCTGTACCACTCTTGCGATAGCGCAAGTGAGAGGTGGTCACATCTCAGAGGCACTATTTTCAACACTGCCATGTCCACCTTCGGTAAGAGGCAGAACAAGTCAGCAGACTGGTTCAAGGCCAGTGCAGAGGAACTGTTACCTCTCGTAGAGGAAAAGAGACAAGCTCTCTCATCCTACAAGAACCTGCCCTCAGAAAGGAACCTACAGGCCCTCCGTACTGCCCGCAGTAGAGTTCAACAAACTGCAAGGGGCTGTGCTGACGATTACTGGCTCCGTCTCTGTTCCAGCATTCAGACCGCAGCCACTGTCGGCAACATAAGAGGCATGTACGAAGGGATCAAACAGGCAACAGGTCCTACACACAACAGGATGGCTCCTCTGAAGTCAGCCACCGGAGAGATCATGAAAGACTGATCAACAGATGAATCACTGGGTGGAACATTACTTCAAACTCTACTCCAGAGAGAATTTGGTCAGCATAGAGGTCTTGGATGCAATCAAGTGCCTGCCTATCATGAAAGAACTTGACCTTGAAGCAACTGGAAAAGTTGAGAAAGCACTGGATTCACTTTCCTCAGGGAAGGCCCAGGAGACGACGGGATTCCACGTGAAGTTCTCAAGTGTGCTTGAGGAACACATAAAACCAAGCTTCGTGAAGCTTCTGTGCCAGTGCTGGAGGGAGGGCTCAGTGCCACACGACACGAGAGATTGGAACATCATAACTCTACAAAAATAAAGGTGACAGAGGCAATGTCAACAACTATCGCGGCATCTCCCTCCTCAGCGTTATTGGCAAACTCTTCGCCAGGGTCGTCTTGGTCAGGCTTCAGATTCTTGCTGAGTGTACCCAGAGTCATTGTGCGGTTTCTGAGCAGAGAGGTTGACCAGTGACATGGTGTTCTCCCTGAGACAGCTTCAAGAAAAGTGCAGGGAGCAGAGAAAAGCCCAGTACATCACCTTCATGGACCTTACAAAGGCCTTCGACCTCATGAGCAGCGACGAACTCTTCAAGATCTTGGCCAAAATTGGCTGCCCACCCACCCTAGTCAGCATGATACAATCGTTTCACAAGGACATGACGGGCACAGTCGTGTACGATGGCTCAACTTCTGAACCATTCAACATCAACAGTGGTGTTAAACAGGGGTGTGTTCTTGCTCCAACCCTGTTCGGTATCTTCTTCGCGATCCTCGTCAAGCATGCCTTTGGAACATCCACAGAAGGCATCTATCTCCGTACAAGATCTGATAGTAAGCTCTTCAATCTATCCAGACTTCGAGCAAAGACAAAAGTACAGATGCAAATCCTCAGGGACTTCCTTTTCGCTGACGGCACAGCCATCACCACCCACACACAGCAGAAGTTCTGCAGCAGCTACTCAACCGCTTTGCCGCAGCCTGTTCCACATTCGGCCTGACAATCAGCCTGAAGAAGGCACAGGTGATTGGACAAGATGTTGTCCGAGTTTGTGTACCTGGGCTCCACAATCTCGGACACCATTTCCTTGGACACTGAGCTCAACAGGCGTATCAGGAAGGCTGCAACAACACTGGCCAGGCACACAAAGTGCGTTTGGGAAAATGCCAAACTGACAGTACACACTAAGGCACAAGTCTACATGGCATGTGTGGTGAGTACACTTCTCTATGGCTCGGAATCCTGGATCCTGCACTCTCACCAGGAGAGATGACTCAGTACCTTCCACATGAGGAACCTGAGACGCATCCTTGACATCATGTGGAGAGACCGCATCACCAACAACACAGTACTAGAGAGAACAAATCCCTTCAATGTTCACTCTCCTGAAGCAGAGAAGCATGAGATGGCTGGGACATGTCACACGCATGGAAGATGGCCACATACCTATGGACCTGTTATATGGAGAACTGGCATCAGGAAAGAGGCCCACCGGAAGACCCCAGCTGCGTTTCAAAGATGCCTGCAAACGTGACCTCAAGCAGATGAACATTAGCATCAACACTTGGGAGGCAGCAGCTGCAGACAGATCTGCTTGGAGATGCAAAAGTGCAGAAGGGTCTCTGGTAATTCGAGGGCGAACTGAGGAGGCAGGTGGAGGATAAGAGACTACAGAAGAAGTCTCGACCACTGACAGATGCACCCGCTTCAGCGTTTATCTGCGATTGCTGCGGTCAGGACTGCCATTCTCTGGTTGGACTTCACAGCCACAGCAGATGTTGCACCCAACTAGACACACAGGACACAACTCCATAACCCCAAGGGATTGACAGATGCCTACACAATAGGTATTTTATAATATAATTTGTAAAATATCATGTTGTATTTATGTTTGATTAAAAGTTTTAAAGCACTATACAACAGTTTCGCTTTGATCAGGTGCATCATGGATGATAAGACAGCCACCTCCCGACACTCGCCTCGGTGACTGCTTAGATGAATAATCCTCACTTAATCGAACATTTCTATGTTCCACTAAACAATTTGTACCAAATATAATGTGTTCAGACAATCAGAAATTCAAGAGAACAGGGTTCATTGAGAGTGAGAATGTGATGTATAAAGCAGTCAGAGAAGAAGAAGACCTTGAAGGTTTTGTCTGAACATTTAATATTTTCTTCTACCACCTCTAATTTGTTATTTTGATTATATTCTATTAATACAGAAAATAAAGACTACAATTAAAGAGAAAGTTGTACAAAAAACACTCTCAATTTACTTGTTAATTCTATGGAACTATGTGCCTTAGGTGTCTTGAAATGCCACAGATAGAAGTTTTCTTTTGAGGCTGCCATCACATAACTGTTTGTCATAGCCAGATAGTGCGGCTCTATATCTATGTACTTGCCTGAAAAAAACAAAAGACAAAACAAATTAGGATAAAAACATGTAAACTAGAACAGGCTACTTTTAACACAGAACTGTATATCATATATCTAACTTTATCAGATATGAGAAAAATTTGCAACTTAAAAAAACAACCGAATTGAGTGTAATGAAACATCTCTGTTTGCCTGGCCACAACACATGAAAGTCACAGCAGCCCTACGAGTCTTTATTAGACTACTGACGACCCATGCCAGAACCTGGCACCCCCACCTCACACAGAAGCAGGGAGCAGGGGACTCTTTATAATCACCCTCACCATAGCAAACATCTACAACATGATGACCAAGCCACACACCACAAGATGAAGAAACGACGATGTTTCGGTCCGTCCTGGACCATTATGGAGTCCTTATACTATTTGATAATGGTCCAGGACAGACCAAAACGTCATAGTTTCTTCATCTTCTGGTGTGTGGGTTTGGTCTTCATATCTTCAGCCACGTTATTGTGACACGTCATCTGCATCCAGAACATGGCAAAACAAAACAGACAGCTGCAAGGTTCACATAGAAAAGAAAACAGAAGCAGCAAAGAACTGTGAACGATCCATCCAGTAGTCAGCTCAGCCCCCCTTATCCCCCCCCCCTCACCACCTAGTACGGCTGACAAAGTAACAGGTGGCAGCACTCCAGGAGCTGCTAGCTCCCATGTTAACACTATTCAGTCCAAAGGCTAAGACAACCAAATGATGCAACTGGAAAGGGGAAGAAAGCCCAGGGAACCACTAAGATCCAAAACCAGAGAAATGTTTCATTAGAGTCAACACTGGTTTTCTGGAGAGGTGGAACAGTGGCTTCTATAAGTTAACTAACCACAACTAGGTGAGTAAAGAGAATAAAAAAACCAGGACTTACCAGGGAGGAGAATGAAGATTAATCTCATGAAGAAGAGAACTTGAACCCAATAAAATGCAATACAAGCCTGACGGGGGATCAGGAACAGCGACCAGGTAACGAGCCACCAGGATCCCGGTCGAACGCCAAAACCAGAGCCAAGAAATTAGAAAAGAACAATGATGAAATAAATACAAAACCCCTCCTCATACAAAAGGCAATGGACCAGGAAAGGAGCCACAATCCCCTCAGAACCCTAAGACCTTTAAAGGGTATAAAGAAGGCATCAACAAGGGAGGCCTCTGAATCCCAGGAAGACATCAGGAATATCCCAGGGAAAATAAAGAAGTGAAGGAAGGGAAAGTAGGCTATAGTCTTCATGAAATCTCCAAAGAGCACAACCCCCAAATCTGCTTCTAGCAACTCCAGACCTGATGGTGTCTGTGGGTCCACAGCCAAGTTACTTAGGAGCTGAAATTAAGGACAGAATCTGAGAGCTGACTGAACAGGGGCTGGGTGAACCAGCCTGGACAAAGCAGAAGCAACGGCCAAAGCCAGCAATTGTCCTCTCATGTTGGTGACAAAAACTTAGCAGGCTAGTTCTGAAAAATATTTGTTAGTAGTACAGTATACTGTAAATAGAAATTAGAAGCTATGCATACAATGATCAAAATACTGTTAAAAAGATATATGTGCACCACTTACTGTCAACAGGTGTTCCAATGGCATTACAAATGATGAGACCAAACTGTCCCGAACCATCGTCTGTGCGAACTGCCAGTACACAGTGCTCTCCGGAGGATGTCATTCCCATCAAGAACTTGATATGTTTGATAAAATGCTGGTGAGAAGATTTAGACACAAGTATTAATAACACCACCACTGAATTACATGTCATCACTTACTAATAACTGCCAAAACTTGTAGCTCAAACTACCTAGCTAGTGCTAACAAACTACCTAGCTAGTGCTAACAAACTACCTAGCTAGTGCTAACAAACTACCTAGCAAGTGCTAACAAACTACCTAGCTAGTGCTAACAAACTACCTAGCTAGTGCTAACAAACTACCTAGCTAGTGCTAACAAACTACCTAGCTAGTGCTAACAAACTACCTAGCTAGTGCTAACAAACTACCTAGCTAGTGCTAACAAACTACCTAGCTAGTGCTAACAAACTACCTAAGTGCTAACAAACTACCTAGCAAGTGCTAACAAACTACCTAGCTAGTGCTAGCAAACTACCTAGCAAGTGCTAACAAACTACCTAGCTAGTGCTAACAAACTACCTAGCTAGTGCTAACAAACTACCTAGCTAGTGCTAACAAACTACCTAGCTAGTGCTAACAAACTACCTAGCTAGTGCTAACAAACTACCTAGCTAGTGCTAACAAACTACCTAGCTAGTGCTAGCAAACTACCTAGCTAGTGCTAACAAACTACCTAGCAAGTGCTAACAAACTACCTAGCAAGTGCTAACAAACTACCTAGCTAGTGCTAGCAAACTACCTAGCTAGTGCTAACAAACTACCTAGCTAGTGCTAACAAACTACCTAGCTAGTGCTAACAAACTACCTAGCTAGTGCTAACAAACTACCTAGCAAGTGCTAACAAACTACCTAGCAAGTGCTAACAAACTACCTAGCTAGTGCTAGCAAACTACCTAGCTAGTGCTAACAAACTACCTAGCTAGTGCTAACAAACTACCTAGCAAGTGCTAACAAACTACCTAGCAAGTGCTAACAAACTACCTAGCTAGTGCTAACTACCTAGCTAGTGCCAGCAAACTACCTAGTGCTAACAAACTACCTAGCAAGTGTTAACAAACTACCTAGCAAGTGTTAACAAACTACCTAGCAAGTGCTAACAAACTACCTAGCTAGTGCTAGCAAACTACCTAGCTAGTGCTAACAAACTACCTAGCAAGTGCTAACAAACTACCTAGCTAGTGCTAACAAACTACCTAGCTAGTGCTAACAAACTACCTAGCTAGTGCTAACAAACTACCTAGCTAGTGCTAACAAACTACCTAGCAAGTGCTAACAAACTACCTAGCAAGTGCTAACAAACTACCTAGCTAGTGCTAACAAACTACCTAGCAAGTGCTAACAAACTACCTAGCAAGTGCTAACAAACTACCTAGCTAGTGCTAACAAACTACCTAGCTAGTGCTAACAAACTACCTAGCTAGTGCTAACAAACTACCTAGCTAGTGCTAACAAACTACCTAGCAAGTGCTAACAAACTACCTAGCAAGTGCTAACTACCTAGCAAGTGCTAACTACCTAGCAAGTGCTAACAAACTACCTAGCTAGTGCTAACAAACTACCTAGCAAGTGCTAACAAACTACCTAGCAAGTGCTAACTACCTAGCAAGTGCTAACAAACTACCTAGCAAGTGCTAACTACCTAGCAAGTGCTAACAAACTACCTAGCAAGTGCTAACAAACTACCTAGCAAGTGCTAACTACCTAGCAAGTGCTAACAAACTACCTAGCAAGTGTTAACAAACTACCTAGCAAGTGCTAACAAACTACCTAGCAAGTGTTAACAAACTACCTAGCAAGTGCTAACAAACTACCTAGCAAGTGCTAACAAACTACCTAGCTAGTGCTAACAAACTACCTAGCAAGTGTTAACAAACTACCTAGCAAGTGCTAACTACCTAGCAAGTGCTAACTACCTAGCAAGTGCTAACTACCTAGCAAGTGCTAACAAACTACCTAGCAAGTGCTAACAAACTACCTAGCTAGTGCTAACAAACTACCTAGCTAGTGCTAACAAACTACCTAGCTAGTGCTAACAAACTACCTAGCAAGTGCTAACAAACTACCTGGCAAGTGCTAACTACCTAGCTAGTGCTAACAAACTACCTAGCTAGTGCTAACAAACTACCTAGCAAGTGCTAACAAACTACCTAGCTAGTGCTAACAAACTACCTAGCTAGTGCTAACAAACTACCTAGCTAGTGCTAACAAACTACCTAGCTAGTGCTAACAAACTACCTAGCTAGTGCTAACAAACTACCTAGCAAGTGCTAACAAACTACCTAGCTAGTGCTAACAAACTATCTAGCTAGTGCTAACTACCTAGCAAGTACTAATAAACTACCTGGCTAGTGTTAACTACCTAGTTAGTGCTAGCAGACTACCAAGCAGGTGTTAACAAACTACTTAGCTAGTGCTAAAACACTACTTAGCTAGTGTTAACAAACTAGTCCAGAAACCATCTTTGGGGTAACATAGGTTCTATCAATGAACAATATTGGTAACTTCTGAAGACGTATCTCAGTGTTGTTTGTAGTTAGAAAAGGAATATTTAACATGTATAACGTCACTAAAACTATAGCCATGTTCTCTTGAACTTGATACTGTCATCTCTCCTGTGAGAAACGAAGCACATGTGGGGAAGGATTCTTAATAAAGTGGTAGCAGATTTAAAGCCATTGCAAGAAGATATAGTACACATGCGCGTCTGATGAGCAAATCGAGTCGGAGAGTTAGTAAGAGCCTAGATATTACCTCTGGCTTTGATGTGTAATGCAAAGCTACAAAGAGAATGTATTTAAAGGCATGATGATGACCAAACAGCACACCAGAACATGAAGAGACAACAACAACTTTTCGGTCCGTCCAGGACCATTATCAAGTTGATTGTCAACTTGATAACGGTCCAGGACGAAGCAAATCATCGTCATCTTCTGGTGTGTGGTTTGGTCATCATATCTTCAGCCAGGTTATTGTGACTCGTCTGCATATTTAAAGACAGTTCATCACCCACCTCATTATTGCGTGTATCCCAAAACGTTACACAAGCCTCTGAACGCTCAGGTTTCGTATATGTATACACAACCGTGTTGGCAAAAAAACACCATCGGTAGTCTGGACGGATATTGGCAAAGTAGATGAAGGAGTCGACGGCCAATGCAATCCGAAGTGATCCACCCTCCCAGGAACAAGCAGTAATTTGCTTTCCGGGCACTTTTAGGGTTCGCAGATGCTGCAATGAGAATATATTTGTGTAAATCATATAAACAAAGCATTAATACCAATGTCACATCTATGATGCATTAAACATGCTCTCATCCACTACACCATTAAACATTTATGCATTATAGTAATACAGTGTAATCAATGTTCCACTACAGCGAGCTATGAAGACTTCTCTATGGTCTCTCTCCATAAGTATAGAAAGCTTTAGTGCTGGGATTTCAGCCCATTTCTCTTGATCTGCCTCTTCATAAAAATGGCTGGTCCACTCATTTGTCTCTGTTCACCTAGCAGTAAATAATTGGTAATTGTTGTGAGTTACCTCTTTTGCACAAGAGGACCTCACACCTAATGCCTTTGGCTGGATGACCAGTACTGTACAGTTCTGCATTCTGCAACACAATGAGATTTATGATGTCTTTAGCAGCAATCTTCAGTCTTGCTGTAGACTTCTTTCCCATCTGTTAGGTCTGAGAGTGATTTGTGGTCTTTAGTATTGCTTATGTTAGATTCATATTATTAGGAGGATTCTTTTTTGTTTTCAATTACTTCATGTCTTTTACCTTATGTTGATAAATGGAAGGGAAGGGAAGGGAAATATCAAGGGAAAGCACCAAGCCATTACGACTATATAGTACTGGGAAGGGGTCAGGATAAGGATTTGGGATGGGACTGGGAAAATGAATGGTGCCCAACCACTTGGACGGTCTATAAAGTAATCGCCGACCTGCATGAAGCAAGACTGTCACTTTACCGCCCAGCCCAAGTGATTGGAGTTTAAATGGAAGCATGTAGCTTTTTTGTGGAATAAAGAAATAAGAAAGATATGGTCTTCTAATTCCACCCTAACCTTAACATTTCTTGACTAACCATCATCAGTTACAATAATAATAATAATAACAACAATGCAGATCATATTAATGTGATGTATCAACAAAAAAAATCAGCAGGAACCAAAAGGAGGATCCGAACATGCACCCTGGGTACTCCCAAGCCCACACCTTAAACCACTGGACCATAATACACTGTAAATTAATGCAACTTGAGATTCAACTGAATCCTCTAGGGTTCCCGAGGCATCAACCTGATACCAAATCAAGGTTTTACACATTACAAGCATGCACTCACATTACCCACATGAGAACAGAAGATGCTTTTTTACCCACAGAGTTATTAACCCATGGAACTGCTTATCTGCTGAAGCCCTAAATGCCAAAACTCTGTTAACGTTTAAAGTACAGCTGGAATAGATCATCAAGGCAAATGGGGGGAACTTTCGACAAGCCACCAGCGTCCTGTCCTCGTCAAGGCCACTAGTGTTAGTTGCTCTCAAATAAACTCAGGTAAGTACTCTGGCGTGGAATAGGAGTCCCCTCCCCCCAGGGTCCAGGTTCGAATCGCCCCGCAAGGCTCCAACCTCTTTTCTCAATAACGACGACAATAATATTTTATTGATAAAAATACAGAGGATCAGACCACAATGGTTACTTAGTAAGCTACAGTATTTATATGTCACATATAGTCAATAATTATGCAAGACACACTGGAAATTGTTTTGCAAATTTTACCTCACCAAAGGGAGTATAAAACTGGACAACATTGCAATCCTTCTCGCCTATGCCTGAGAGATGAAGGATGCCAGCCACTGCCATCACGCTTCCATCGTGATTCCACTGACACGCGCACACACTCATCCCGGTGTCTATCAGGACAGGTACTGAAATAATAGTGTATCAAGTGTAAACAGAGAAGAAGTCAAAAACACGGCTGAAAACAAATAACCCAACATACAATGTAGGGATAGCACAAACAAATGCAAAAAAAACATGAACCAGGCCTATTCTATAAATTTATTAAAAGCAAATTACATGCAAAGGATAAACTCTAGAGGTCAAATATTGGGAACAGATGCACAGAGAACAATAAGGAAATGTGCAAAACATTAAATGAACAGTTCTAAAGTGAGTTTGTACATGATGAGGTTTTCAGAGAACAAGACACAATACGGATTTCAGAGAGCAATGTACCAGTAAGTGTCTAGAGATGAAGTAGAAACCACTTTTTTTGCACTCAGACTACACCTGAGACACCCAGATTGGAGTCTCACCATGAGTTCTTAGGGAATGCAGAGCCGAGTTGAGCATTCCACTCCAAATCATTTTTCAGGCCTCTTTAAAAACAGAAATCTTAGCAGATACAGTATATGGAAAAAGCCAAACATAGTCTTAATCTACAAAACCCACAAAATTACATACATGATTTGCTGACAAACGTGGTACTCAAACACTAGAAAACCAATGAGGGCAGTATTCAGAGGCACTATATTTTATATATACAAGAGTTCTTACATTCTTGTTTAGCCACTTATATAGACTGATATAGACTTACATAGACTGGAGAAATGTAGTACCACAAAGTGGTACTGAAGTGGAGTACCACAGGGTACTCCACCAGCACCAGTTCAAGCACTGGTAATGTTCAATGTCTCTATAAAAAACCAGAGGTAATACAGAATTATTTGAACATGTTTGGTGATGCTAAAGTGCTAGGGAAGATAAAGATATTTAGACAACTGTTGTGCCCTTCAAGATGACCTGGACAAAATAAGTGTATGGACTAACACTTGGCAGATGGAATTCAACGTGAACAAACTGTGATCACCATGTGGTATATAACCAAACCATGATACATCTGACCACCTCTGGTCAGATGTATCATGGTTAGGTTATATACCATATGTATATGGTTATACATGTGGTATGTAACATGGTTAGGTAATATACCATGATACAAGATGTATAATCTAACCATGTTACATACCACATGTATAACCATATACATATGGTATATAACCTAACCATGATACATCTGACCAGAGGTGGTCAGATGTATCATGGTTGGGTTATATACCACATGGTGATCACAGTTTGTCTCGTTACCTTCGAGTACCTAATTTTCTTTAAGCTGATGTTTGGCTTGCTGTACACAGAGACAGAGTAGAATACTTTGAAACACTGAGGGCCCTTGACAATCACTGCCAGGGACGGCAACACCACATCAGCTAAAACAGACAGCAATAGTCAGAGATATTCAGGTGATATTCAGGTGGCACTACATTAAAAGTGAAAGCATGAAACTCTGCACAGAGAAAGAGATCTCAAGGAACAGGGTGTATCTGATTTTAGGATTGTCATCATCCCTAAATCAACAACAATGTGTTTTCAGAAACAACCAGTTTACTTAATCGGTCTACATAGAACTGGGTAGCGAAAAAGTACACATCCAGGCACTTTCGGGCCTGCGGACCGCTCCAAATAACAGCCTGTTGGGCCAAGCTCTCACAAGTCAAGCTTGGCCCTGGACCAGTTTTGGGGAGTAGAAGAACTTCCAGAACCCCATCCAGGTACAATCCAGGTACAAGTGTGGCCTGCCAACTCCCAGACTAATTATTTAGCCAGGACTTACCTAATTGTGCTCGCGGGGGTTGAGCTCTGGCTCTTTGGTCCTGCCTCTCAACTGTCAATCAACTGATGTACAGATTCTGTGCTGTTTAACTAGTATTAAAGATGACGTAAAGCTTTAAAACTAAATTCCCTTACCGTCATCACTCTCGTTGCGCATTATTTGCATCCTTCCATTATCATAACATATGGCTAGCGTGGGACAGTCTGGCTCGACATAGCCATTACGTCCATTGTACCACGTCAGGCCAACAACGACCGCCCCCAACCCCATACTACCCAAGCACTGGATGTTCAGTCGGCTCTGAAACATGCAATGACTATAAGAGTACAGAACCTACAATGCCATACACTGGAATTGGTATATACCAGTCATTACAAATTATATCCTGTCGAAAGAATATAATTATTTTATTCAAAATTTAAAACACACGTTAACTATAATTTATTACATATTGTTTCACTGTTAACATAGGATACATTGCTGACCTTTACTTTATAATTATGTAACATTATGAAACACACACTTACAATAAACACAAGTCTTAACAGATGAAAAGTCACAATAACGTGGCTGAAAAATTTTGACCAAACCACACACTAGAAATTGAAGAGACGACGACATTTCACGATCGACTTGATGATGGTCCAGGACGAACCGAAACGTTGTCGTCTTTAATTTTCAGTGTGTGGTTTAGTCAACAAGTGTTAACAAATTCAATGTTTTACCTCATAAAATTTATCTCATTACGCAAAATGTTTTTCAATGCGTTCATTTTACTATCAAAACCATAACCCAGTATGATCAAATTTTGAGGCTGTATGATAGGATCAGATCTACATCCCTGGACTTTCCAGCCACTTGCATTACCAGTGGACTGTTATGAGTTCAGTTCTTAGCGCACGTGTTTGCAGAGTCTAGCGATGCGTGTTCGATCTCATCATAAGGTCTCAATATTTTCTCTTAGATAAATAATGTTCTTGTGATATCACTGCATATAAAACTGTACACTTACGACAAAACCTCCAGTATTATCATACACGTGTACTTCTCCATTGACAAGTGAGAAGAGCAGGAGGCTAGAATCAGGTGACCATTCAACACCCATCAGATGCTGGCCTTTCAGCTCCTTACCCCAGATACGATTTCCGTCCACACTTCCTACAATTACTGCGCCTGAGGGTACATGAAAATGAAAATATTTAATATACAAAACAATGAAGCAAAATACTGTAAATGCCCTATGTATTACAGTATACTACAATTAGAATTTACATTTATTAAACAAATCTCCCTTTGTAATCTTTACAAAATTAAACTATGCATATACAGTGGTGAACATGTACAATATTACTCCATATTTTGTGTACTCTATGTATATATACTGCACAATTAGTGCTTATGTAAAACAGGTACAACATGATAACATTCGTTCATATTGGTTGAGGAGGACAGCCTTATTATCACTAATGGTAACATGCCTCATGATGGACCCCGTAGCACAGTAGTCTACATCCTTGACTCACAATTAAGGATACTGGGGTCAATCCCTGGGTGGGACAGATATTACTGGGCATGTTTTCTTTCATCCGATGCCTCCGTTCACCCAGCAGTAATAGTTATCCAGGTGTTATGCGACTGTTGTAAGTTACATCCTGGGAAGACCAGTAGTTGGCCCAAGGAAAGACCTCAATAAACCTAACAGGCTTCCTGTCCCCTACTATTCAAACTATAAAGTGAACATACACTAAAACACTGAGAGAAATTAAGCATCCCACTCTGAGCAGTCACCAGTCGGGGTCCACGCACAACACTGCTTGAACACCTGGCTCTTGTCAAACTTTATCTCACCTTGGCAATGAACTTTACAAAAGTCTTGTGCTGTGAACATCATCATTGGGTTCACTGATATCTGAACCTTGTATATAGTCTTTATCGTTGTTAGGCTCTTCTGTATCATATTATCGTTAAATTACTTTAACTCCCCCCTTACCCCTCCTGGGGAGGGGGGAGCCGAGCAGACATGCGGCACAGCTCGTGTGACGTCATGCTTGTTTGTTCGTTTTCAATTGGGGAGTTCTGTCCACTTGTTTGCCTATTTTCGTCGTTTTTAATCAGAATAGGGGTTTGTTTTGAGGTGCTTACCTTTCAGGGTGCCTGTTCCAGTCAATGGCAAATATAGAATGCCTCAAAATCACATGTGGATTTCTTTAGGCTCCTCGTGCCTCTCTGAGGGGGGGGGGCCAGGTTCTGGCTCGTAGTCCCAGATAGGCCTAGAACTCCGTGCACATCGATTGATGCCAAAGTTAGGGATATCCATATCAGCCTGGATAGCTCCGGGGAGCCATAGGGGCTCCCCCACTCAGAAAAGGCTTTCGAGAGAGTTCCACATAAGTTGTTGTTCTGGAAACTGGAACATATTGGAGGGGTGACAGGTAAGCTTCTAACATGGATGAAAAATTTTCTGATAGCAAAATGAGGGCAGTAATCAGAGGCAATGTATCGGACTGGGGAAATGTCACAAGTGGAGTACCATAGGGTTCAGTTATTGCATTGGTGACGTTCATTGTCTACATATATGATCTGCCAGATGGAATACAGAATTATATGAACATGTTAGCTGATGATGCTAAGATAATAGGAAGGATAAGAAACTTAGATGATTGTCATGCCCTTCAAGAAGACCTGGACAAAATAGGTATATGGAGCACCACTTGGCAAATGGAATTTAATGTTAATAAATGTCATGTTATGGAATGTGGAATAGGAGAATATAGACCCCACACAGCCTATAAATTATGTGGAAAATCTTTGAAGACTTCTGATAAAGAAAGAAAGAAAAAGCTCTAGGGGTGGTTCTAGATAGAAAACTGAACACCACATTAAGAACATTGTGCGAGGAGCCTATGCTACACTTTCAAACTTCAGAATTACTTTTAAATACATGGATGGCAAAAATACTATAGAAATTGTTCACGACTAATTATTAGACCAAAGCTGGAATATGCAGTGGTTGTATGGTGCCCATATCTTAAGAAGCACATCAACAAACTGGAAAAGGTGCAACGACATGCCACTAAGTGGTTCCCAGAACTGAAGGGCAAGAGCTACGAGGAGAGGTTAGAGGCATTAAATATGCCAAAACTAGAAGATAGAAGAAAAAGAGGAGATATGATCACTATATACAAGATAGTAACAGGAATCAATAAAATTGATAGAAGTTCCAGGTCTTCCTGAGACCTGGAACTTTGAGAACAAGAGGTTATAGAATTAAACTAATTAAACAAAGCAGCTGAAGAAATATAAGAAAATTCACTTTTGTAAACAGAATGGTAGACGGTTGGAACAAGTTAGGTGAGAAGGTGGTGGAGGCCAAGACCGTCAGTAGTTTCAAAGCATTATACGACAAAGAGTGCTGGGAAGACGGGACACCACGAGCGTAGCTCTCATCCTGTAACTACACTTAGGTAATTACAGGAACAGAGCTACCTACTACACTTAAAACTTGCTCATCTTCTTTAATTTATCATAATAATTTATAGTGTCCAGTGTGAGTGTGTTTTTATACATGAACTGTATATCACTAAACCAAAATATATCTTTACAGTGTGAGTTTATTTTGAATCAAGAAACTGTGTATCAATACACCAAAATACATTTGCAGGCTACAGTAAAAGCTGTAATTACAAACCATCCTCATATACAATACAAATCTTTTGTCCTTCAGTGTTCCAGGCCATGCCTCGCACCACAGACTTATTACGATTGTTGATCATTTCTTCGTACCACGAACCCTGAAAGGATACAATATATAGTTGAATATCTCGCTTCCTATTGTCAACAACAGGAGGCCTGTATTTAGGCCTATCAAGGACCCCCCCCCCACTAGGTCAACTACTGACCTATGATACTCTCAACTTGCCCCAGGTGAGTGAGTGAGTGAGTGAGTGAGGTGGGTGGCTGGCCAGTACCACTGGTGATCTGGGCTACCATCTGGTGGCAGTTGGGTGCATCAAGGTTAGGGTTGTTCACCCTAGGCAACGATCATTTGCACGAGTTTTTCTCAGAGTTTACTTCTTTGTTTAATCATTCACACGATGTGTAAATACAGGTAGCATCACAGAGAAACACGCACTACCACACTCCACTAGTCACAGTAACACACCACAGCTTTGTAATATGTATTATGATCCTTGTCAATTATCATAAACATTACAAATACATTCACTGCCTCCATACAAATAGCTTTGACTCAGTCTTGTCCCTTACCACATCCCTTGTGTTGTCTACATTCAATCATCACATCCAGACTCACTCACCATCTCCGCCAGTCTTTCTTCCCGTCTTCCCCGCTCCCGTCTATGCAAGGGGGCGGGCCCAAACATTCCTCCGTGTTCATACTGCACCTTTTCCCCCATCTATGCAAGGGGGCGGGCCCTAACACTCCTCCGTGTTCATACTGCACCTTTTCCCCCATCTATGCAAGGGGGCGGGCCCAAACATTCCTCCGTGTTCATACTGCACCTTTTCCCCGCATCTATGCAAGGGGGCGGGCCCTAACACTCCTCCGTGTTCATACTGCACCTTTTCCCCCCATCTATGCAAGGGGGCGGGCCCTAACACTCCTCCGTGTTCATGCTGCACCTTTTCCCCCATCTATGCAAGGGGGCGGGCCCAAACATTCCTCTGTGTTCATACTGCACCTTTTCCCCCATCTATGCAAGGGGGCGGGCCCAAACACTCCTCCATGTTCATACTGCACCTTTTCCCCCCATCTATGCAAGGGGGCGGGCCCTAACACTCCTCCGTGTTCATACTGCACCTTTTCCCCCATCTATGCAAGGGGGCGGGCCCAAACATTCCTCCGTGTTCATACTGCACCTTTTCCCCGCATCTATGCAAGGGGGCGGGCCCTAACACTCCTCCGTGTTCATACTGCACCTTTTCCCCCATCTAAGCAAGGGGGCGGGCCCAAACATTCCTCCGTGCTCATACTGCACCTTTTCCCCGCATCTATGCAAGAGGGCGGGCCCAAACATTCCTCCGTGTTCATACTGCACCTTTTCCCCGCATCTATGCAAGGGGGCGGGCCCTAACACTCCTCCGTGTTCATACTGCACCTTTTCCCCCATCTATGCAAGGGGGCGGGCCCAAACATTCCTCCGTGTTCATACTGCACCTTTTCCCCGCATCTATGCAAGGGGGCGGGCCCAAACACTCCTCCGTGTTCATACTGCACCTTTTCCCCCATCTATGCAAGGGGGCGGGCCCTAACACTCCTCCGTGTTCATACTGCACCTTTTCCCCGCATCTATGCAAGGGGGCGGGCCCTAACACTCCTCCGTGTTCATACTGCACCTTTTCCCCCATCTATGCAAGGGGGCGGGCCCAAACACTCCTCCGTGTTCATACTGCACCTTTTCCCCCATCTATGCAAGGGGGCGGGCCCTAACACTCCTCCGTGTTCATACTGCACCTTTTCCCCCATCTATGCAAGGGGGCGGGCCCAAACATTCCTCTGTGTTCATACTGCACCTTTTCCCCCCATCTATGCAAGGGGGCGGGCCCTAACACTCCTCCGTGTTCATGCTGCACCTTTCCCCCCATCTATGCAAGGGGGCGGGCCCTAACACTCCTCCGTGTTCATACTGCACCTTTTCCCCCATCTATGCAAGGGGGCGGGCCCAAACATTCCTCTGTGTTCATACTGCACCTTTTCCCCCCATCTATGCAAGGGGGCGGGCCCAAACACTCCTCCGTGTTCATACTGCACCTTTTCCCCCATCTATGCAAGGGGGCGGGCCCTAACACTCCTCCGTGTTCATACTGCACCAAACTCCAAAATAGGTGTACAGACGGCAAGAGTCAAACATTGCCCTCTGATGAGATTATCCTCATATTCAGGAGTGATGTTTACAATATTCAAAGGCTCAATATTTGGAGTTTAACTGTGTTACAATCTAAATTTAGTCTCACCTTGTAGAGCATCCATACAATAATGAGGCCGCTCTGGTCGGATGACGTCAGCTTCTGATGAGATTCATTCCAAGTAACAACTTGAATTGTTCCAGTATGACCCTCAAGAGTTTGGTTCATGGACAGATTTGAGGGAGCTGCTAAACCCTTAATCTTTGCATCCTTACCTACAAGTGTATAATTCATATTAAGGAATGGAATCAAATTCACTGCTGTCACCTGGTGGTGGGAAACAAAAGTAAACAAATGAGGTGATTGATGTTCATCAAAGTCTGTCAGTGGCAGTCACACAGTAGTGTATCTGGAGTTTACCTTGAGTCACTTCCAATAGTTCGTCTATTTCCCATTCAGACATGGGGGCCAGGCTTGTCTTTTGTGATAATTTCATCTAAAAGACAGTTGCTTGGAGCAACCCACAGGCACACAAATCCATTATAACCTAGTTTATCCATCACTTCCTGCAGGAAGTTGTCTAATTGACTCTTGAACACATCCACTTTTGTTCCAGTAGTATTTATTTACCTGGTAATTTTGTTTGTTTGGGAAAGGGGGAGGGGAAGATCAAAGAGCAATTGTAGGAAGCACTGAGAGGCCAGAGTATCTTCAAGATTGATACTTTCTTCAGTGACTCCCATGAATCATGTATGGGCTCGCTGGGATGAGAAAATCTTTAGAGCAGGGATGGAACCAGCATCCTGAGGAACCGCAGATCTGCCCCTAAACCCTTACACACACAACAGATCATAACTTTATGGAGAAGCAGAATGATATCAGAAAGGCATTTTATAAAACTTTACAGCCTAATTTTTGTGACTTATAATAAGAATAAGCTATATTATTATTAAAAATATGCTTATTACATCCAAAACTGCTTCTTTTGCATTAAACATTTTAATGAAATTAAACATTAATAACATTAAAGATATTTAAGGAGATAGAGTTGTATGAACCGAGTGACACCTTCATTTTCATCCAACTCAAAATAAACCAACCATTGGAGTCAATGGATTACCACACCCACAACACCTTACCAGGTAACGTTCTGTACTGATGAATAAAAGTGCAAGTACAAGTTACCCACATCGCAAAACCTGCACATGTAGCAAGCTCCATTAGAAATAATGTAGCACCTACAGTACATAAATGATCCCAAAGAATTCCACATTTACATGAATCCCACATACCAGTAATAGCCTCTGCAATATATTAACTTTATTAACAATAGATTCAACTTACGATCCTAGGCAGGGAAAGACAGCTGGGGGCATCTCCTTACACCCGTTACCTCTGTTCACCTTGCAGTAAATAGGTACTTGGGTGTTAGTTGACCATTGTGGGTCAGTTCCCAAGGGATGGGCAGACCTTCTGAATGTTCAAGAGCAACTCGAATTTCCCACAAAGAAGACAAACAGAACATTTTCAGGGATTCCATGAAATACTAATGACATCCAATAGATCCCAGTCAACTTTGCTTGTAAGTTGGTTGATGGTTCCCATCAACTAACTTATAAGCAACCTGGGTCTCAAACAGAAGTCGGATGGATGGGAATATATGGGCACCATTTAAATCACAGCATTGCCAGCCACACACCAGGTAGCAGCAACAGAACTACGGACTACCACCAACCGCTGTCTTTCCAGATGTTACCATCACCAACATCATCAGCATCTTACGATTCTACTTGTCACAACACCGTCATACCATTCCAACATCAAACATTGTAACTAAACTATATCAAATAATAATAATAATAATAATAATAATAATAATAATAATAATAATTTTTATTTAGGTAAGGTACATACATAAAGAGATTTTACAAAGTTTGTTGGGTTAATAGATAGAGCTAGTACATACAATGCCTAAAGCCACTATTACGCAAAGCGTTTCGGGCAGGAAAAACATTAATGACTAAAGCTTAAAACTAATGGGTAAAAAGAATACACATCTTAAACTCCATATTGTGTGTTTATATCACTATAATAACAAGCATCACAAACACAACTGAATATTTACCACTCTAAAGCAAACCACATAAAGCCAGAACACAACTACTGTATACTGTTCTGTACAACATTCTGTTCGGGGAGCCGGTGGCTGAGCGGACACAACACTGGGCGTGTGATCCAGTGGTCACACTGGTATATCATTATAGTATGTTGAAATATGTATAGGGAATATCAGAGGTCACAAACCAATAACCACTATTCTTACATAAACAAAACCTTATTCCTAAATGGTAATCCTGATCTGAAACTCTTCCCTGACAGATGTAACAGAACCCCGAGTCAGACTACATCCGTGCAAACACTCCATGCAAATAAAAGGACCCAGTCTATGGCTCTCTTCCTAATGAATTAAAAAGAGTTGTCCAACCTATACTCTACACAAAAGTCCAAAAAGTACCTAATTTCATCCTCATAGTGTCCCACCTTGTGCTACCAACTAATCCAATTTAGTACTTAAAGACATTCAACTCCATCAATATAATCTATTCTATCAATGTGTAATGTAATAATTATGTTTAACTCAAATTCTGTAATCCTTATTCTTTAGCTTGGGACCTGCCTGAAATGCTTTGTACTCACCTATTTGTGCTTGCGGGGGTTGAGCTTTGGCTCTTTGGTCCCGCCTCTCAACTGTCAATCAACTGGTGTACAGGTTCCTGAGCCTACTGGGCTCTATCATATCTACATTATAAACTGTGTATGGAGTCAGCCTCCACCACATCACTGCCTAATGCATTCCATCCGTTAACTACTCTGACACTGAAAAAGTTCCTTCTAACGTCTCTGACTGAAAAAGTTCCTTCTAACGTCTCTGACTGAAAAAGTTCCTTCTAACGTCTCTGGGCTTCGATTGGGCTCTATTTGTGTTAGTGGCTTTGCAAACATGTTACACTCAAACCCTCAATGTATGTACTTTCTCAATCCAATGTATTTTGTATATAAATAAATAAATAAATACATTATCATCCAGTCCTGCATTATACTACACTTTCATGGAGATTGTAATCATTCAAGCACAGTGCTATGATTTATATACAAGAACCTTCTGTACAGCCATAATGTAAAGCAACAATGTATCAGCTTTCAAAAATAAGGTGAATGTATTAAAACATTTAGAACAACCATCAGCGTGTACATACCAGCTTCCAGCTTGAGGACCTTCAACAAGCCATCATCTCCGCCACACGCGATGTATCCCTGATCTTTGTTCCACCCCACACATCGTAAACGAGTGTTGTTGGGGATAGCAATCTGTAAATATAAATCCGGTGCTAAATGTAATGAAATTCCTTTTTCTGGCATGTTTTCTCTGTGGCTTGCTGAGCTATCCACATGGTTAGCTAAGGAAGCCTCCACGGAACACCATCCCCTAAACCTACACCAACATTCCTTCTCTTGGGCTACAAGACCCAAATATATCATTTTTGTACAGCTGTCAAAATAAAGTTAAAAAAAAATCCTCAACAACAATGGCAGGGCCTTTGACAAGCCACCAACTTCTTGTCCCCATTGAGGCCAATAGTGTTAGTGGCCCTCAGGTAAATTCATGTAAATTACATTAGGATGTGTTTGCTTATCTTAGGTTGAGTTAGGCTCGGTTGGGTTACACTGTGTTAGTTTGGGTTGGTCTGTGCTGGGTTAGGTTTAGGGGTTAGGTTTTGAGAGGTTTGGTTTGGTAGGGTGGGTTTGTATTGGGTTGAGTTTGTGGGTTGGGTTGGGTAGGTTTTAAACTCCATTAGCAAACAATCTTGGGCACGAGGCAACTTGTATCCCTGAGAATCAAACCCGAGATAAATTGTATTAAGTCAACAGCGGTAACCAACGAGCTTAATCCTAATTTTTCCCCCGGAATACGACCCGCCAAATGGTTTAACAACCAGGCACCCATTCACTGCTGGGTGAACAGAAGCCACAGTTAAGGACTGGCACCCAGTCAATCCTCCCCGGCCAGGATACCAACCCAGGCCAAAGCGCTCGCAAAGCGCCTAGCGAGTGTTTTACCACTGTGCCACGGGGACTGCATATAATAATATATTTACTTCAATTACTTGAGGACCACTAATATAGTGGCCTCGATGAGGACAGGAAGCCGGTGGCTTGTCAAAGGTCCCTCCCATTTGCCCCATCCCCCCCATATGCAGATATATAAGCGAGATATGGATATACATAAACATTTTAATTAAACCCTCTGGTATTTGTTAAATAGAATATTAATATTTATTGTCATTATTATTATATTTGTATTCTGATAGAGGATGTGTAACCATGGTAACAGAGAGGTCAGCACCACACACCAGGACACTCTCTAACACCATAGGTGTAAGAGCACATGTTGCAGCCCCTCACCACCTGCACGAGCAGTGAGGAGAGTGAGAGTGACAGTGAGTGACGGTGAGTGACAGTACCTTCTTACTGAGATATATGAACATGTCTCCCGCCGGCCCTCAGCCCGCCTCACAACATCAACAAACACAGGAATGTCACTCAAGTGCGGTTCAAAAAGGGACTCACAAAGATATACCCTTCTACGTCATCACTACCCATTAAATAACCCTATCTTAGCCTAACATAACCTAACCTAACTCATCCAAACTTGCCCTTCCTTAACATAACGATTATAAAAAATACATCTTTATTTATACATGTATATACATATATGAATACTGTGAATACGTGACGTCATGGACTTAACTCTCGCAATCTTTTTGGAGTTCATTGATCACTTCATAATAAACTAAATAATTTAGTCTCTCATGTACTACAGAACACCGAATTTTTATCATTTATAATATTCTATTTAAGTATACTTATTATAAATTTTGACAAATTAACCATGAAATAATATGTTTATTAAAATTGTAACCTATCCACCGCTGCCCACTGGATGGGGGGCGGTGTAACCTATCCACCGCTGCCCACTGCATGGGGGGCGGTGTAACCTATCCACCGCTGCCCACTGGATGGGGGGCGGTGTAACCTATCCACCGCTGCCCACTGGATGGGGGGCGGTGTAACCTATCCACCGCTGACCACTGGATGGGGGGGGGGGGGCGGTGTAACCTATCCACTGCTGCCCACTGGATGGGGGGCGGTGTAACCTATCCACCGCTGACCACTGGATGGGGGGGGGCGGTGTAACCTATCCACCACTGCCCACTGGATGGGGGGCGGTGTAACCTATCCACCGCTGCCCACTGGATTGGGGGGCGGTGTAACCTATCCACCGCTGCCCACTGGATGGTGGGCGGTGTAACCTATCCACCACTGCCCACTGGATGGGGGGCGGTGTAACCTATCCACCGCTGCCCACTGGATGGGGGGCGGTGTAACATATCCACCGCTGACCACTGGATGGGGGGGGGGGGGCGGTGTAACCTATCCACCGCTGCCCACTGGATGGGGGGCGGTGTAACCTATCCACCGCTGCCCACTGGATGGGGGGCGGTGTAACCTATCCACCGCTTACCACTGGATGGGGGGCGGTGTAACCTATCCACCGCTGCCCACTGGATGGGGGGCGGTGTAACCTATCCACCGCTGCCCACTGGATGGGGGGCGGTGTAACCTATCCACCGCTGCCCACTGGATGGGGGGCGGTGTAACCTATCCACCACTGCCCACTGGATGGGGGGCGGTGTAACCTATCCACCGCTGCCCACTGGATTGGGGGGCGGTGTAACCTATCCACCGCTGCCCACTGGATGGGGGGCGGTGTAACCTATCCACCGCTGCCCACTGGATGGGGGCGGTGTAACCTATCCACCGCTGCCCACTGGATTGGGGGGCGGTGTAACCTATCCACCGCTGCCCACTGGATGGGGGGCAGTGTAACCTATCCACTGCTGCCCACTGGATGGGGGGCGGTGTAACCTATCCACCGCTGCCCACTGCATGGGGGGCGGTGTAACCTATCCACCGCTGCCCACTGGATTGGGGGGCGGTGTAACCTATCCACCACTGCCCACTGGATGGGGGGCGGTGTAACCTATCCACCGCTGCCCACTGGATGGGGGGCGGTGTAACCTATCCACCGCTGCCCACTTGATGGGGGGCGGTGTAACCTATCCACCGCTGCCCACTGGATGGGGGGCGGTGTAACCTATCCACCGCTGCCCACTGGATGGGGGCAGTGTAACCTATCCACCGCTGCCCACTTGATGGGGGGCGGTGTAACCAATCCACCGCTGCCCACTGGATGGGGAGCGGTGTAACCTATCCACCGCTGCCCACTTGATGGGGAGCGGTGTAACCTATCCACCGCTGCCCACTGGATGGGGGGGCAGTGTAACCTATCCACCTCTGCCCACTGGATAGGGGGGGGGGCGGTGTAACCTATCCACCGCTGCCCACTGGATGGGGGGCGGTGTAACCTATCCACCACTGCCCACTGGATAGGGGGCGGTGTAACCTATCCACCACTGCCCACTGGATGGGGGGCGGTGTAACCTATCCACCACTGCCCACTGGATGGGGGCGGTGTAACCTATCCACCGCTGCCCACTTGATGGGGGGCGGTGTAACCTATCCACCGCTGCCCACTGGATGGGGAGCGGTGTAACCTATCCACCGCTGCCCACTGGATGGGGGCGGTGTAACCTATCCACCGCTGCCCACTGGATGGGGGGCGGTGTAACCTATCCACCACTGCCCACTGGATGGGGGGCGGTGTAACCTATCCACCACTGCCCACTGGATGGGGGGCGGTGTAACCTATCCACCGCTGCCCACTTGATGGGGGGCGGTGTAACCTATCCACCGCTGCCCACTGGATGGGGAGCGGTGTAACCTATCCACCGCTGCCCACTGGATGGGGGCAGTGTAACCTATCCACCGCTGCCCACTGGATGGGGGGCGGTGTAACCTATCCACCACTGCCCACTGGATGGGGGGCGGTGTAACCTATCCACCGCTGCCCACTGGATATGGAGCAGTGTAACCTATCCACCGCTGCCCACTGGATAGGGGGGGGCAGTGTAACCTATCCACCGCTGCCCACTTGATGGGGGGCGGTGTAACCTATCCACCGCTGCCCACTGGATGGGGGCGGTGTAACTTATCCACCCCTGCCCACTGGATGAGGGGCGGTGTAACCTATCCACTGCTGCCCACTGGATGGGGGGGCGGTGTAACCTATCCACCGCTGCCCACTGGATGGGGAGGCGGTGTAACCTATCCACCGCTGCCCACTGGATGGGGGGGCAGTGTAACCTATCCACCGCTGCCCACTGGATGGGGGCGGTGTAACCTATCCACCGCTGCCCACTGGATGGGGGGCGGTGTAACCTATCCACCACTGCCCACTGGATGGGGGCGGTGTAACCTATCCACCGCTGCCCACTTGATGGGGGGCGGTGTAACCTATCCACCGCTGCCCACTGGATGGGGAGCGGTGTAACCTATCCACCGCTGCCCACTGGATGGGGGGCGGTGTAACCTATCCACCACTGCCCACTGGATGGGGGGCGGTGTAACCTATCCACCGCTGCCCACTGGATGGGGGGCGGTGTAACCTATCCACCGCTGCCCACTTGATGGGGGGCGGTGTAACCTATCCACCGCTGCCCACTGGATGGGGAGCGGTGTAACCTATCCACCGCTGCCCACTGGATGGGGGCAGTGTAACCTATCCACCGCTGCCCACTGGATGGGGGCGGTGTAACCTATCCACCACTGCCCACTGGATGGGGGGCGGTGTAACCTATCCACCGCTGCCCACTGGATATGGGGCAGTGTAACCTATCCACCGCTGCCCACTGGATAGGGGGGGGCAGTGTAACCTATCCACCGCTGCCCACTTGATGGGGGGCGGTGTAACCTATCCACCGCTGCCCACTGGATGGGGGCGGTGTAACTTATCCACCCCTGCCCACTGGATGAGGGGCAGTGTAACCTATCCACTGCTGCCCACTGGATGGGGGGGCGGTGTAACCTATCCACCGCTGCCCACTGGATGGGGGGGCGGTGTAACCTATCCACCGCTGCCCACTGGATAGGGGGGGCAGTGTAACCTATCCACCGCTGCCCACTGGATGGGGGCGGTGTAACCTATCCACCACTGCCCACTGGATAGGGGGGGCGGTGTAGCCTATCCACCGCTGCCCACTGGATGGGGGCGGTGTAACCTATCCACCGCTGCCCACTGGATTGAGGGGGGCTACAGGTACCTCTGGTAGTTCACCATGTTTGGGGCTACAGGTACCTCTGGTAGTTCACCATGTTTGGGGCTACAGGTTCCTCTGGTAGTTCACCATGTTTGGGGCTACAGGTTCCTCTGGTAGTTCACCATGTTTGGGGCTACAGGGTAGTAGTTCCTGTTTGGTAGTTCTGGTAGTTCACCATGTTTGGGGCTACAGGTACCTCTGGTAGTTCACCATGTTTGGGGCTACAGGTACCTCTGGTAGTTCAGCATGTTTGGGGCTACAGGTACCTCTGGTAGTTCACCATGTTTGGGGCTACAGGTTCCTCTGGTAGTTCACCATGTTTGGGGCTACAGGTTCCTCTGGTAGTTCACCATGTTTGGGGCTACAGGTTCCTCTGGTAGTTCACCGTGTTTGGGGCTACAGATTCCTTTGGTAGTTCAGCATGTTTGCGGCTACAGGTACCTCTGGTAGTTCACCGTGTTTGGGGCTACAGGTACCTGTGGTAGTTCAGCATGTTTGGGGCTACAGTTCCTCTGGTACCTCTGGTAGTTCACCATGTTTGGGGCTACAGGTACCCTCTGGTAGTTCACCGTGTTTGGAGGCTACAGGTTCCTCTGGTAGTTCACCATGTTTGGGGCTACAGGTTCCTCTGGTGGTTCACCATGTAGTTCCTCTGGTTCACCATGTTTGGGGCTACAGGTTCCTCTGGTAGTTCACCATGTTTGGGGCTACAGGTTCCTCTGGTAGTTCACCATGTTTGGGGCTACAGGTTCCTCTGGTAGTTCACCATGTTTGGGGCTACAGATTCCTCTGGTAGTTCACCTTTGGGGCTACAGGTTCCTCTGGTAGTTCACCATGTTTGGGGCTACAGGTTCCTCTGGTAGTTCACCATGTTTGGGGCTACAGGTTCCTTTGGTAGTTCACCATGTTTGGGGCTACAGGTACCTCTGGTAGTTCACCATGTTTGGAGCTACAGGTTCCTCTGGTAGTTCACCATGTTTGGGGCTACAGGTACCTCTGGTAGTTCACCATGTTTGGGGCTACAGGTTCCTCTGGTAGTTCACCATGTTTGGGGCTACAGGTACCTCTGGTAGTTCACCATGTTTGGGGCTACAGGTTCCTCTGGTAGTTCACCATGTTTGGGGCTACAGGTTCCTCTGGTAGTTCACCATGTTTGGGGCTACAGGTTCCTCTGGTAGTTCACCATGTTTGGGGCTACAGGTTCCTCTGGTAGTTCACCATGTTTGGGGCTACAGGTACCTCTGGTAGTTCACCATGTTTGGGGCTACAGGTTCCTCTGGTAGTTCACCATGTTTGGGGCTACAGGTTCCTCTGGTAGTTCACCATGTTTGGGGCTACAGGTTCCTCTGGTAGTTCACCATGTTTGGGGCTACA